TACCTGCAACACCATGACTATTGGATTAAAACAGTCATGTTTCACTAGTAGGTGTTAAACAGTAGTCATCATGTTTTTATCATGTGTGAACGCTTGGCTGGTAAACAATCTCTCATAAACAGACAAACGTGCATATGCACCTAATTATATAAACATTCTCATTGTTTCTTGTGCTATACCTACACTCGAATGTCTCGCTCGCAAATTATGAAATAAACGTACCTAACTTAGAATATTCATTACCTAAGAAAAAAGAAAATTATGATACAACAGCATACTGTAGCCACTTTTGATACCAACTACTATAAAATTATAAATGTCCGTCAGGTGGGCCGACGGCTTGTTTGCCCAAGTGTAATAAAAATTTAAGATTGTGTCCCACAAAAAAAAAAAACCTACTTTAACTGTGATAAAATCAATTATTTGGATCTAAACTACTTAACTGACTATGATAAGATTTCTGTGGAACCAATCTTTAAGTATATTATAAAATATAATTTTCTAAATCGGTTTAGGTCTGAAGGGTGTTATGAGATAACAAATATTAAAAAAAAAAAACAGAATTGACAACCTCCTTTTCGAAATCAGTTGAAAATAATTTATGCTCATAACTTAAGATCGTTCATTCCAAAGTAACGTGAACATTATGTCTATTAATTAAAAAAAAAAATTCAGAGTAACTCCAAAAAAATGTTTTGGTAAAATAGAGAAACTTGCTGGCTATTTGTCTATTGTATTATAACGTAAACAAACGTCATGAACAAATAAACGGAGATAAACTAGCCATATACCAATTAAAAACAAAGTATAGTAGTACTCCGTGCTTAAAAATTCTAATTTCCCGCCATTGTGTCCATCCATTTTTAAGAGACTCTTTGAAATCTGTGAAATTACTGAAGCTTTGCTGTAAACATGGGTGTCTTTAACCTCAAATGGTGGGGGAGGGGCAGGATTGTTAGTAATGGGATCTAACAGTCCCATTCCTAGCAATGCACCCTATCAGGTCGACCTCCACGCGGTTCCCCCTGGAAACCATCGTGGATATTTTTAACGGATTTTCTCACGATGGGCTAACTGACCTGCTTTCACCTCTCACTGGTGCCCCGCCAGCGTATACCGATAGCGCAAGCGGGGTTACCATTCCATTTTCACCCATTAAAAAAACTTCAAATGGTGGGGGGAAAGAGATTCTTAGCAATGAAGTTTGACAGGCCCATTGCTAACAATATACCATATTAGGTCGACCTCTACGTGGTTCACCCTGGAAACCATCGTGAACAATTCTTGTTGAATTCGTCACAATGAGCTAACTGACTTGCTACATCCTCATCTATCATCTCTCACTGGTGCCCCGCTAGTTTATACCGTTAACGCGGGCAGGGTTACCATTCCATTATTACCCATAAAAAAAAACTCAAATGGTAAAGCAAAAAGGTTATAGTTTCCGTCTTGCAATATTTTTAAGCGTTTAAATATTAGAATACAGTTTTACAAAGTATGTTGTCTATGAAAGTTTTATTACTTAATAAATATAATGCTTGTTATCAATCATGTTCTGTAGATACCTAGTTTTGATCATACCACTTGTAGATTAGGTTTTCAATCATTTATTTGCATAACCCCAAAGACGATAAAAGAATCAAAGATCAATCGCAAAACTGAAATAATCTTTAAATACACTAGTATTTAAAGATTATTTCAGTTTTGCGATTGCTCTTTGAAGAAAACTATTAGGTAAATCACTAGGTTTACCTAATAGTTTTCTTTAACAATATTTGTATAACTTGAGGTGAAAGTTACTTTATCTATAATGTATTATAATAAATATTTAATCAGATTGTATAGGTAAATAAGTACAAATATTTTTTTTTATAAAATTTAGAAAAACAAGCTGACGATGTACCTTATGAAAAGGGGTAACGTTAAATATCTACCATATATGTCAGATGTCTAGGAGTAACCGTCACCTATAAACACGCCCATGATATTCACCATGCGTTGTCATTCTTGAGAACTTCGGTGTAACATACAGACTTAGATAGAGTCTTATGAGGAACATCAAGCGGCTTAAAGTCAAACCAGCTCCCCAATACACTGGCTTACTGGGTAGAAATGGATTACCCATAACGCCGTAAGTAGTAAAATTATAAGAAACCGGTACTTATCATTTTACTGCTAACGTTGCGCCACAGATGTACCCAAATGAAGTGATAAAAATATCTTGTTATGTCAACACTTCACAGGATTACTAAACTAAGTACTTTTTATTTATAATTAACTCCTGTGTTTAATATTAAATCCAAAAGTATTATCTCTACCTACTTTTCATTCATAAAATTAAATTTAAGTGAAGTATGTACATAAATATAGTATTTATGGTATTGTAAACAAATTACTTTAGAAAACCTAATGTGACATTTTTTTAATAATCATAATTGTATCTAGAAAAATCAATTTGAAATATGGACAGAACGACATCTTTCGAGAATTTTCAAATTACTTTTTTAAATATTCTCAATAATAAGAAAAGAAATTTTGAATTTTATATTATGCAAGCAAACAGTGTGAGTGACTTCGTTTTTGCTTGCATGTAATATTGTGTAAATATAAGTAATACTTTACGCAACTTGTTTAAGAGTAACAAGTTAGGTAGGCGATACCTACTTGCCGATAATAAGTAATACCTACCTAACAAAGATAATGTACCTAGTTAGTACCTACTTATATTTATATATAAATGTAAAAAAACTGTCGTGTTAACATAACGTGACATTAAGTTATGTACACCATTACAACGAAGAATGTAACGTAATGCAAATAACATAGTATTTACTTACCCCTACTTATAACCAAAATAACAATTCAAAATAATATTTATGTTCCTGCTATTTCTGTAAATGCTGTGTTCGGCGTACCAAAATATATCGCAATATCTGGATCAGCATTTGCGCCGTATTGCTCTCGCCAGTGAACGAATAAGATGAAGTCAGAACAGTTGATAAAGGGAATATAATATATCTATACTCTTATAGAGTATAAGAGTACATAGCAATGTATGCTCTAGACCAGGGATAGCCAACGACTAGACCCAAGACCTACTGTTTACTGACAAAATTCTGTGCGATCTCCTAATTACATATTTCGTGATATCTCAAATGAAACAACATGGTTCAGTACACAATTATATAGTATTTTAGTATTTTTTATTTTATTAAGAAGGAAAACCTAAAATTTAAAATTATTTTTAGTAACTACTTATTACGTTTGAGTATTGCGTCTGAGCATCTTCCGCTAGATTAGCAAAATATTATATTTTTTTGCCTTGCCACGATCACGATCAACCTGTTGATTGCGATCAACCGGTTGATCGTGATCCACCCTTGCTCTCGACTTATGCCTAGAACAAGACTAATTAATTTTTGTGTATATACACAAAAATTTTAAAAAGTAGGAAAAAACAAGTTTTCACTCACTCGGTCGACCGAGTCAGTATCTACTCTACTGTGTACTCACCTTTATGAAACAGACCATTACTCATGAAGGACAGAGCAATGACATTTCCTCTCACTTCGTTATTCATCACGTCGCGTCGCCGTTTCACAGTAATTGAACAATTGCACTAATTACCAACGCTATCAACGTTATTATTATGAAATGTAACAATTAATAAACATGTTAACTGAAAATATTTACAGTTACACTCCTACACTAAACAGTAACTACTGTTTTGATAAAATATACGAGTAGTTTAAAAGTGCCTACAGTATAAATTTCAATGGAGCCGATTCGGAATATCATTCTTAAAATTCGACTATAATAAACTTATAAAAAAATATATGCCCCGATTTTGAATTTTTTTATTTATTTATGATGATTATTTTTATAAAAAAAGTTTTTTTTGTTGATCCCAAACCAATAACCAATAATAATAATATAATGATAACCAATAAGTTGATTTTCGGTATATGTATGTAGGTAGAGAAATTGCTTGTCAGAGTAACACAAAGTCAATTTTATTCTTAAGATTCTCCTAAATTTGTAATTTTGGAGATAAATTTATAAAATTATATGCAAAATTGTCGATTCTCTAAATTATCTTCTAAAGTAGCGTATTTTAAAGATAAATCGAGCGATTGACATTTCATCATCATCATCGACCCCAATGGCCGTTATTTATCAATCTTTTATTTATATCAGTATAAAATAAATACCACTCATTGAATAATTTCGATATGTCCAGAAAAAGCATGTAATAATAATATTAATAACGATATAATTTTATGCATATGTTCCTCATATGACACATACTATAAGTTATTGTAAATTCCTATGGGAATTGGATTTCTGTACGATCAGACCGTATAGCTATAGTCTTACTTTTTACGCGTAGTATATTCAAAAATTACATATCTTGCATATACTATACGTATCGCATACTTCTAATAGAGAACCACTTTGGATGATTCTGTTTCTTACATTAAGGTTTTCTCTTGCGTAAATCTCATACAAATTTTTTTAATCCCTACTAATTTTTTTTTTAAGTATGAACATTAATTAGACATCTAATTATTTATCTTGCTAATATAATAATTCTGTAACCACGATGTTTTCCGAAATTTCGGAACCAAACGAAACACAATTTTGATGTTAAAATTACATAATACATGCCGTTTGGAAATATTAAAAATGTTAAAATATCGTTCTTTTGGACTTTTATGATAGGATGTATAACGAACGAAATGTTAAACTCCATTTATTGGTCCGATTTTAGTATAAACAAAACACGAAATTGTGTCCGAAAATTCGGAATTTCATTTCATGGTAGATCCGCTGATGTATGTTTTATCTTGATACGCAATCTATACAAGTGGTCTATTCAATTGGTTTTCCTACTACTGAACTCACGCGTACAATGTAGCAGGCAAAATGTACGAGTAGTTATTATAGAAATAAAGTACACGTATAGTAATGACATTTAACTGTTACATCCTTGTCTACAGGTATTAGATTCTCTACGGACGTGACTAGAGACGAAGTGAAAGCTCTTGCTGCGTTGATGACTTTCAAGTGCGCCTGCGTGGATGTACCGTTCGGTGGTGCTAAGGCTGGCATCAAGATCAACCCCAAAGAGTACTCGGAACATGAATTGGAGAAGATTACACGACGCTTTGCACTTGAACTGGCCAAAAAAGGTTTCATTGGTAAGTAAAAGTTTCCTCCGTGATTAATTTTAAATACTTAATAGGACCTGTTTTTACCATTTAGTTTAACGACTTCAGTAAATACTTCCTTTAATTAGTCTTTTTTGCCTTAGAAAAAAAACGCAATTTTTCCACTTGCAGGACTTGGAATCATGGTAGCGTTCCCGTTCTTATTTTTACGAACTACTTAATATATAATAACTTAATCATGCTAACTTACTTAATTTTAAAAAGTAAGTTATTTAACTTCTTTGCATACTTAGTAAGGGATCAGGCGTGAAGATATATAAATAGGTAAATATTCCACATAGATAACGAAAATAGATCTAAACAGATTATTATGTCCAACAAATCGAACCATCGCGTCGATCGAATTTGATGACGTCGCACCTATTTACAAATTATGATTACTTTATCACTCAGTAATCATTATTAAACGGTTATATTTATTAATCTGTCAATGACAATAATAATTGTATCTAAAATCATGATTCGTAATCAGTATATTTTGTATCAAAATGAAAACCGTTATCGGTATTTGATAGGGTCTGATTTATTCAAATTCTAGCTGTCCTGTCCTAAAATAATGAAACAATATTTTTAAACCAGTGATTAACAATGGTCTATTGTTTCATTTACTCATGTCGCTTAAAAGGTATATATAGTCGATAAAACTGTAAGTATCAATTCAACTATAAACGCAGATGAGAATAGACGATACAAGTACTTTTATTTATGTGAAAACTAAACTCGGCCCTCCTCGTCTATTGGTGGAATTTCACATTTATAAGTATTGTTTGTACACATTGACACTTCGTTATAGGCCGTTATATATTACTAGTATTATAGACCTTTGAGAATGCCATCATTTTCTTCGCATTATCTTGTAAAGCACAGATTACAATTAGGTATATTTTCTGTTACATATGTTCTAAGTTGTACAAAAATAACAATATCCACGGTTTTCAACTTTATATACAAATAAGTAGAGATACATGTGTTCTTACATATAAATATTTATTTCAATTACCACTAAGAGCCAACAATCTTCACCATCAACAGATGCTCGCTTTTATATAATTCTTAGTGGACAGCTACCACTTCCCGACAGGTGTGGCATCAGCTCATTTGCCATTCTAGGGACATTAAAATTGTCGTGATACTTGATAACCTTTAACTTTGATATCAATGTTTTATATTGTAATATAGAACCATTCAAAGGCTGACCTTCATAATAGTTTAAAACAATAAACTGCAAACCAAGAAAATTACACATGCACGCATGTAGGTTACCTGTTAATTTGTAAACCACACTTGACAAGTAATAATAGTTATGTAAATATACACAACAAATATAAATGTGAATACATGAATTACATATTAAATCAATTTTATTGTTATGTATCGTATAAAATTAATTGATTAATAATTTGATGAAGAAATCAGATAAGAGTTTTTAACTCTTCTAAACAGCGTTACTGATTAGCCTATTATTTTATCTGCTAGTAACTGCCGTCACTTTCGCGTAGCAACTGATAATACTATTTTTATTTTATCTTATCTTAGTTGTAAAGAAATCAATTTGATTTTTTTCTGTGACCGGAAAATAATTTTTATTTGGTGGTGGAAGTTTTACGTTCAATCATTGAAAAAATTATTTATTCAAAACTTACCGACCTTGTCACATTGGTTAGGTTAGCAGCCCTTACTTCCAGTCATTTACATCTGTTATTGAATTTTGTGGTTTTATAATAAAGTATTTGTATTAAGAAATGAAGGTTAACTGGAAGAAGTCCCTTTTAAGGGATAAGTCCGCCTGTGTACATTTTGGTATAACCTAATATTTATATTATAATTGAATGTACAAAAGCATATACATAAATAAATAAAAACCACCACAAGAAATCTATTCTATAGATAATCATATCAGCTTTTAACTGTAAGAAAGGGGTGGCCTATTCTATGTCAGGACCTTACGGCAATTTCTATAGATAGTTTTTCGATGGAATTCTTTAGATTGGTGATCCGATCTCCATAGAATGGTTTTGTTGTGATGACTAGAACAGCATAAAGATGTTACTGACTGCAGGGCCCGGTGTCGATGTTCCCGCCCCCGATATGGGAACTGGAGAACGCGAGATGTCATGGATTGCCGACACTTACGCCAAAACTATTGGCTATCAGGACATCAATGCGCATGCTTGCGTCACAGGAAAACCCATCAATCAGGTTTGGCTTATGAATTAAATAACTACAACTGTCTTTTATCTATTTTACACAGAAACAAGTGAAACCAGACTGGTAGAAGTAGCACAAGAATAAATATTAATAAACCTAGTCCTTATTCTTATGCAAGTACCTCAATGTATATATTTTTTTAATGGAAGATAATGGAATGGTAAACCAGCCTGCGCTAACAGTATACACTGGCGGAGCACCAGTGACGGATGATAAATGAGAATGAAAAGGCTATCGTGATGAATATGCTTGAAATTTAGCACGATGGTTTCCATGGAGAGGGGAACACGGGGAGGTCGACTTTTTGGATATATTGCTAGCAATCCCTTAGTATCTGTTACTAACAATCTCTTTCCCCCCAATAATAAATTAAACAATATATTAAACAAATGGTGACTTTCGTGGCGTTGTAGTGAACATATTTACATTACTTAAATGAGATCCAGGGTTAGATTTCCGGTCGAGCCAATTTAAATAATGAGTTTATCTGAATTAGTTTTGATCTGGTGTTCTGGCTTGTCTCCCCAGATGTTTATTGGTTAGTTTTTCATAGCACAAATTACCCTTAGTATTAAGAACAAACGGTTTGGGTGACTATTCTACTTAAAGTATCAGTTAAAAAGTAAAAAAAATTAAACCTTTCTAATCCAGGGAGGTATTCATGGCCGAGTATCAGCGACTGGCAGAGGAGTATTCCACGGTCTGGAAAACTTTATCAACGAGGCTAACTACATGAGTATGATTGGTAAGTGGAGTATAATTAAATACAATCGCAATCGATTGTATTCTAGACTTCCTTGATAAACTTTAGACAATACAGTATTATTCAATACTGTTTACAAATTACGCGTAGTGATAATATAAACTACTTATTAAGTACCTATCTACTTTATTAATGAAGATATAATCAATAATTTCACTAAGTAATAATGAATGATACAATGGTACTTATTAAGGATTAATGTTCCTAACTAATATTAATAATATATAACCTGGAATATTATTAATAGAAATTAATAGCTTATAGGACCAATAGCATAACAGAATAAACCGGAGTAGATGAGCAAACTCTCACATCTACAAACTACAACAGACACAGTCGATATGCCTTGATCTTTATCGCTAATTAACCACATAATGTTAAAGATAGTCTAGTAATATAAAAAAAAATATATGTATACTCTATGCTGACAGCTATTTTTTCTTATATTACTACTCTGTGGTTAAGTTAAAAATAATACCTAAAAAATAAAACCAATGTGTTGTGTCATATTTTAATTTAAATGATGTAAAATTATAAATAATAATAATAAAACAACTGATAAAAATAAAAGATTTAATTCCACCCCTCAACACATAATTAAGATTGTGGTCGACAAAAAAAAACTTCAATTTTGGCAAAACTAGTTATTTTGATTTAAACACTAAAATACTTACCCAATTTTTATAAAATTCTATGGGACCGATCTGTAAGTATTTTCCTATATTTTTATATAAAAGGTTTTTCGAGTTATGAGGTAACAAAGATAAAAAAATTGAACGACTTATAATAAAAAATAATAGTAACTTCCTAAATCAAGTACACAAATATACAAGTCATGTCTAGTTTAGAAGTCAGCGCTCAGAATTTATGTACATTTAGGTTGGAAATTAATAAAGATTATTATTATTATTGTGAACAGGTACGACCCCTGGCTGGGGCGGCAAAACATTCATCGTGCAGGGCTTTGGCAACGTGGGCTTGCACACCTGCCGATACTTGGTCCGCGCTGGCGCCACGTGCATCGGCGTCATTGAGCACGATGGTGCTATTTACAACCCAGACGGTATCAACCCTAAGGTAACTTATGCTCCGATTTATTCATTATCTTTTTTTTGTTAAATATTTAATCAATATATAAGCATTACTTCTCAAATTTAATAAGCACTATTTTATATATAAATTTTTGAATGTTTTCTGATATTACTTTTATTACTCATACAAACTCATAAATATGTAAAATTCTACTTTTGTTTGAAAGAGTAGAGTCGTAAAGAAGAGTAAAGAACATAGTCGAGTTTCTTGTCCATTTTTCTAAGCTGAAAATGTTAGCTGAATTAGCCGGTAAAATTATAAAATAAGTTTATTTAAATAAGAATATTTTTATTCAAAAGATACCTATTTATATTTATGCCATTATACTATTCCATTTATGCAATTTTAATGGAAATTCTACTGCTAGTTACTACTGCTATCATATACTCGAGTCAGGAGTCGATAAACTCTCTAGGCTGTTCTCATCGTCATTCCTATCAATATAAACAGCTATATATCACTTAAATATCTTAAAAAGTACATCATAAATAACTTCACGCATATGTATCAATGTCATGTTGTCACTTACGTAGGAATCGCATAATTGCTGTTACCTTAAAACGTGTTTGACATAAAACGTAGTAATATAAACAATAGCCTTATAACTTTACTTTCTGATCGTTCACGAGGCTCATTGTTGAGGTTATAATTTTCAGAACGCATTTACATCAAAAGCGTTCCGAGTGTTTATTTGCTATACCGTGCTCGGCCTTATACGAAATCATCGTGCAACCATCATTAGCGGTGCCACGATGGAACTTATACACCTCTATATTTATATTCAGATCATATAAGCCACTTTTTTGTACTCAATTGGCTTACTGAGCTATTTTTTCATTTATTAACTATTTTTGCCCTATGGGCGTGTCTAGAATGTACCTAAACAACACAAAATGTTACGAAAGATATTATCATAAAAAATGTAAACGTGCTGAAACATCTCTGTAATGTTTGGGAGGTGTGTTGTTCTTGGCAATTTATATTCGTGGTTCGAGGGGCCACGTGACTAGCAAAACCGGTGTTCGCGAATAACCGAACATTGAACCTGTTTACGCCGGTCGCGTCCATCAACGGTGCTTAGTTTATTCGAGAGAAATAAGATCAATCTATATTTTATTTTGTACTGATTTGTATCCATAATACTTACTGTTCGAAATATTTGGACAATTTATGTTAGCAACATTGCCCTTTATAGTACTTTTTTTATGACAATGAAATTGATTCATGTGTATGTTTAACACCACCTGCGATATTGGTATACGCTGGCGGCGTTTCAAAAAAATATATATAAAAATAAAGTCAGGCCAGTTGACGCGCCGAATTCACCAGGAATTGTTAACTGGACAAATTTCAGATCATTATAGCCAAGTAGCCAAGATACAATTGATAATATAATGCTATGCCTAGGTCAGTGCAGTCTCTTTCTATTCACGTCCATGTGATGAGTCTTTTTTACTGTATTGCTTACTTTAACAATATATCCTTATAACTCGATTGTTATGCATAAACATGTTAAAAATATACGATAAAGGGTCTCCTTAGAATTTTGAGTACACACAAAAGACTATACAATACAGTTTACAGGCTGAAAACGTAGTACCTATTGAAATATTAGGAATCGGCATTTCTTCTAATTTCAATTCTTCTCTTTAATTGTTCCTAAAAAATTGCCATTAAAATGCTCCTAAGCCACCTGCATCAATTTATTCTGAAACACGGTACAAATAAAAGATATTTTATTGCCGTTTATTTAATGAATATGAAACACAAGTACTACCTATACCAACATTTTCTACCACTTTTTTTTATTATCAGGCTTTGGAAGACTACAGGATCGAGAAAGGTACGATCGTTGGCTTCCCTGGAGCAAGCGCTTATGAAGGCGAGAACATGTTATACGAAAAATGCGACATCCTCGTACCTGCTGCGGTTGAACAAGTCATCCACAAAGAAAATGCTCATAAAATTCAGGCTAAGGTTTGTGTTCTCGTGTTGTTTCTGCCTAAACAAATAAGTGTGTGCCAACGGCCGGTAACGGACCGATTTGTGGACAATATAAACATAATTATCTTTAGAATGTTTACATTTTTACATTGTTCACAAATTGGCCTCTTACCGGTATTATCATTGTTTTTATTTTTAATTAACCAAGCGTTTTTTAAATACTGTTGAATTATCCATTATCTTATGTTTAAGTAAACTTAGATAATAATTTAAATAGCTATTAGTAAAATACTAATTATTTATGTAGGTTATATCACGTTTTCATAGACATTTACGCAATAAAAATACAAAAAGGGTGAACACGCTATATCATTGTTTATTATACATTAATAAAGTATTGTGGCGTTGGTTAGTAATCGATAACCACTCTTGATTTCCAATTTAAAGTTAGAGAATGAAGTATACCCTTATTTTTGTTATTTATTTATTATAAAAAAGGGAAATATAAATAAGTCGGAGAGATACGTTATATTCCATAGATTTTTACAAAAAATAAAACCTTTTGTATGTTGCCATTAAGTCACGTAAAATTAATATCTTCTTTAAAGTAAAGAAGAAGAAAATAACTCACATTTATGGTTTCGTAAGAATACTTATAAAATTATCTTTAATGTTATATGAAGTTCTGAAATTGTATAATATGTACATTTCATACATAAAACACGGTCAGCCTCTCTGGCCTCTAGCAGTGATATAAATTTAAAAAAAAGTTACATTATGAACAATGTAACTATATATTTTTTACAATTAAAATACATTTAATTGATCATCAATTAAATTTTTCCATATTTATAAAACAGTTATGTACGTCTGATTCATAATTATTATGAAATGGAAGTAACCATATCATCAAACAATTTTTATTCGTCTGTCGAACCACATTACATCATAATAATACTCATATCAAGATAATATAGTGTAACATTTCATAAAATGCGATCATTTCATGAAATGACCCGACCACTCATGAATTATGGGCGATTCTACGATCGTAACACGACACTATACTATTATACAACCAGGCAGACGAGCAAAAAGAGCCTAGAAATTAGTAGGTATCACTCCTCTTGTTTTTATGACATGTCACAAAAAATCTATGATACGTATAGTATAAAGGCGTACTACCTACGCGTAACGTTTTTATAAAATATATATTTTTTGTTTTGTCATCATTATTATTACAATTTTTTTATAAATAATTATATCAACCGTTAACTGTTCAGTGCTGAACATGACCTCACTCATAAGGGAGATTTTTGCCAGTAGTTGTTTGGCAGTCAAATTGATAATTGCAGTGACATTTTAAGAGGGACGCTGCTGCTCATCCCCCTTAATCGCCTCTCACGACACCCACAAGAAGGGGAGGTTCATTCTATACCGGACCATATACTATTAAACGTATTATTACATATATATTACAATATCATAGGCGTTTATTTAGGGAGGGGGGGCGGCATGCCATCTCCGATAATGTCTGCCCACCCCAGGATGCAGAAAGTAAAGCTTCCCTTAAAGTTATGCACCTTTTTTAAAAGACTACGCTCCCTCTGCAATAATTTTAAATACGCTAATATCTAGTCTCCTTAGAAATACTTCCATAAACACGCTGTATTTTTTCAAAAAAATTGCGTCTTTTTGTGAAAAAATACTTATAATATTGTACTAATTTCACACTTAATTCTTTTTTTATCGCAAAAGCCACCATAATTGTTTATTTATATTTATTTTATTATCACTATTATATCTATTTTAAATTTTGTTACAGTATTATATTATGTATTATTCTGTGTAATATAAAGAAAACAACCTATATATAGATGTCAACTTACTGACCTCTTTTTAAACGTTTTTGATACTCATTACTTCATCTAAACCAATATGATCTAGATGTATTATAATATAAAATATAACTAGTAATTCATTCTGAATGTTGTCTTTGCACGATAAAGTTGATGTACCTACAAAGATATCAACGATAATTGTCAATATATTTTGATATATATATATATATATATATATATATATATATATATATATATATATGAAATATTAATCAGTGCCTAGCCGGTAAATATAACGACACACATAGTACACTTTATGGTTACCTCTATTTATACTACTCAATGAGATATATTCAATAAGAAAAAAAAACGTAAAACTTAAACTGAACGCTCGAATACATAGTCCTTGACTTTCTCCAATTTTTGTTTATTAAAAACAAGTAGACACTATGATCATTTTAAGAAAATTCTTTCATTGCTTGTGAATATTTTTGTACGTTGCTCTTAGACTATTAGATTAAATGTATATTTTAGCTTTTATTCTGCTTTGTTCGCATATAATACAGACTTCTCAGTCCTTCTGTGGTAGATGATTAGGATTTAGAGGCGATTACCATCCTATAAATCAATCATAAATCGTTTGTTGCAGAAAACTAGTTTCCCATATAATATCATTTATATATCATTACATTTGAACTGTTCACGAAATTATATATTATATGTATTAATATATAAATTATGCATGTAAAAATATTTTATTACATTTTTAAAGATATATTTGAGATATTTTTATGATGTGATGTCCATGGCTCATATCTAGGTATAAACGATGGTAACCAATTTCTAGCTTGTTTGCCATTCCAGGTAACTGAATATGATAGTGCTCATGTCTATAGGCGACGGTTACTACTCTCCATTAATTGGGCCGTCAACTTGTGTGCAATTCTATGTTGCATAAAAAAAAGAAGAAAAATTAAAGAAATATAAATTATTATTTAATACTTATAGATCATCGCGGAGGCCGCCAACGGCCCAACGACGCCGGCTGCCGACAAAATCCTGATTGACCGTAATATCCTCGTGATCCCGGACCTGTACATCAACGCTGGCGGTGTCACCGTCTCATTCTTCGAATGGCTCAAGAACCTTAATCACGTCTCGTACGGACGTCTCACATTCAAATACGAACGCGAGTCCAACTATCATTTGCTGGGTAAGAATGCAATTCCCTATACTTGATTTTTATCTATTATATATTTATGTAATGCCTGAGATGATGATGATGATATATTTACATATTTATCTTTACTATATAAATTATAGTTAATACTGCAGTTACTATGCATATGTTTATGTAGGTAAACTAACTAATATGTTAATATTTTACATAAAACATAACGGTGCCTAGAAACATTATTTAAATGTTTATATGAAAATTGTAAAGCAACAATTGCGAGTATTATGTTGAAGAATTATGTAGATGGAATTCGAATCTGTTAGCATGCCGAGGACAGTACTCTTTAACGTTTTATTAAACACCCGTTTCGAAATTAAAAATAACGGCATTCAATATCTGTGCGGTAACATCTTTAGGAATCTATGTACTTACCTAACAACACCTATCTATTTATAACTTCTATTTACAGTCGTAATCCGTCCGTATCATTTGAAAATAAGCTTTCGATGCGAGATTGTCAACAAATGACCGTTGTAAACGTAGCTATTTTTTTATTTATAGCATACACTCTGCTCCCGAGATTAGCACGACGCTATATAATTGGACGCAATATTAACAGACGTAACTTTATCGAGGTTATTATAAGAACATCTAATGTACATTCCCCGTTCATAATAATACGCTAAATAAAATCTATTATATAATTTAAAATTCCGATGAACTCACCGATGATTGAAAACACCGATAACAAATCAAATTAATCCGAGTGACTGCCATAAGTTCGCCACTTCCCACTTTGAATTCTAATATATACAATTAAATGTTCGCATGTCGAGTATTACGTTTATCAATAGATACTGTGAAGCCAGCAGTGCACATATACCTCTGACTACCCCATTAGGGATTATTGTCATAAGTATATTTTTTATTTATTTCAAAATTTACAAAAAGTAGGTATGCTGTCTGTTAATTCAAAATATGATCCGTGTACGTACCAAATTACATTAAAATCCTTTCAACTGTATAAGCGTGATTGAGCAAGAAACGTCCAAACACCTTTCCAAATATTTGTCTGAATACGTAGCCTATATGAAGACGACAACATGACGACTTTGTAACATACATCAAAGTAGAAGTTTATAATCAATAAACGCTGTTAATTATTAATTAGTAATAATTTATCACATACATTTGATACAAATTTTTTTTTACTAACTATCTAATAAGTCATAGCTGTTTTAGGTATCGTCGTAATGGTCCTTAATGCTATTTGAATACATTACCTCACTACCTTAGATTATATAGATAGCGTCTTCATAGAAATGCTTCAATAAAAACGAATCAACTTTTTCTTACTATTTTGCCTGATAAATAGTTGTGTTTTCTTTATAACTTCGGTATTTATTTTGTCTTATAATTTCTGCATCTTTTTAATGCCTTAACACTGATTTTATTAATTAAACAATAATTCATCAAGATATATTTCATAGAAAACTGATAACAAAAATCGAGTCGGCTGATTTGACAATTAGCTGACAAAAAGTTGATCCGTTTTTGGGGTCGTTGCTCTATCTATATAATCTAAGGTCACAAGACAAACCGACGTCTACCGTATACAAAATGATAACCATGTACATACTTTTTATTTTTTTATGTAACTTAGAATGGCAAACAAGCTGACGGCCCACTTTATGGAAAGTGGTAACCGTCGCCTATAGACAAGCAGTGCCATGGGCATAACAGAGTATACTGTTTCGCATACCGTAATACATTCCTAAGGACTCAGGTGTTATTCCTCTGTGCATATATGAAATAGCCATGAATACCATGCGACTATGAAAATAAATCTTAATATTTTTTTACTAAATTCACAATGTTTACAATTTAGGTTTATTACATTACAATACATCGTTATGTATTACAGTTACGCTGTATGACGGCCCACAATTTGAAAAGTAAATTGAGTTTATATCACTACATTCTAAAAAACAGATATTAATTTACAAAATAAAAAGATGAATTAAACGAGATTATTATATTTATCGAATAAGGTCGCGAACTTAAAGTTATTTAAATTTGACGTATATTTTGAGTGATTATAGTAACGTCTCAGAGGAATAGCGATCTTAGGGAGGTCCTAGGACGTCCTAGGAATCCGAAGCTTAAGAGAGGCTTCATAGGATCCATAGATATATCGTCGATTTGTTTAATAAGCGGGGCGGGTGACATAGCTAAAAATGCCTCAGGAATACATCTATTATTATTTCATGAAAACCAATATGTTATACAAACCACTTTCACTCTCTTTTAAATAAAAAAAATAGCATAAAAAATAAAGACAAAACACTTCAATAAAATAGATTTATAAAAGGTTTAACGTCTTATATTTTTGTACTAAAATACTCGCCCTGAATTCTGAAGAAATTTTTAGTGGGACTAGATCCTAAATTTTTAAACAATTGACATAATATTATTGTATCAATTTCAGAATCCGTACAAGAATCATTAGAGAGACGTTTCGGTCGCGTCGGCGGTCGCATCCCCGTTACACCCTCTGAGTCGTTCCAAAAAAGGATCTCTGGTGCCTCCGAAAAAGACATCGTCCACTCCGGTCTTGATTATACTATGGAGAGGTCCGCAAGGGTAAGCATTTTTTTTAATTAACATAATGCAACTAGTCCTAACAATTATCAAGTATTAAATGAAATGTTTGTTCTTTTTTTTTTTTTTAATAAAGAGATAAACACTCAAGAAACGTCTTTAAAAACTGTTCTTTCACAACGGCGGTACATATACGTATTGCACTACTTTATCTATATCTCCTGTATGGTACACGAACATTTATCTTTATATATCTTTATTGTTCATGTATCTTAAATAATGTATTAGCAGTAGATAGAATCGCAACGCGATATTTTCTATATTGCTTACAATATGTGGTGCATTTATATTTATAAGGGCTCGATATAGGGGGGCGATAGCTGGGCAATTGACAAAAGTGGCAAAATGAGCAATTCGCTTCAAATTAACAAGGTTGTTCATTATAAAAGGTAAATAAAAAAAAATTAAGCAAAAGATATTATTTTATATTTACAATCAAAAACCATTAGACCCATTTAATTTTTTTTTGTGTTAATAATTAAATGATAACTCCGCCTGCGCTATCGGTATACACTGAGGAAGCATCAGTGAATGATGTTGAGGATGGAAGCAACCCATCGTGACAAATTCATCACAATTAATCGCAATGGTTTCCAGGGAAAAATGCATGCAAGGCTACCTGACAGAATATATTGTTAGCAATGGGATCATCTTTTTTAATGGATGAGAATGAAATGGTAACTGCCTGTGCTATGCGTATACGCTGTTGGGACATTAATAAAAGCAACTTAGTTAGTCCATCGTGACAAATTGCGCAAGAATCTACCATGATGGTTTCCAGGGCGAAACGCGTGAAGACTGACCTGATATTACTAGTAAATAGATCTATTAGATTCCATTATAAATAATCCATTTCCCTCCGCAATGGGACTGTTATTCCCTATTACTAACAATCTCTTCCCCCAATACATTTACTTTATAGGAATTACATGGACTCTTATTACAAATTGTTACCTTTTCAGGCCATCATGAAGACTGCCTTGAAGTTCAACTTAGGCCTAGATCTGAGAACAGCCGCGTACGCGAACTCCATAGAGAAGATTGTGACTACATACGCCGATGCTGGCCTTGCGTTTTAAACACTCATTAGTTAGAGTCCAAGTATTGTCTGCATTTTAAAGACTTCATTTTAGTCCCTATGCACATAAGTGTTATTTTTAAGACATTATAATCACAGTATTTTTGTTGGAATCATGGCCGTTTTTTACCTTAATTTTAAGCAAAGAATTGTTGTTCTGTCTATGTATTTGATTTTCTAAAATTGTATCTCCTTATATATTTGAATAAAATATTGTTTACTGTTAAAATTTGTTTATTATTAATAAAAAGGAATCAAATACCTCTAAATATTAACTCAATCACATTTCAACAACTAGTCAGATTTAAATGTACTTAATACGCAAATAGTTTATAATTTAATGCAAGGTAAAGACAAGAACATCTGTCTCTTAGAATTATAATACACTATAAATGACAAATGGAATAACCAGCAATTTTTTTTAAAAGTCAAGAAAATAACAAACATCCTGTAATTCTGTCTCCTATAAAACATAATAGTAGTAATCTAAAAGTCTGTATAATAATATATACTAGCTTTTATACGTGTGAATTACAAAAATAGGAAACTAAAGAAAGAGGCTACTTCTATATACCATGAAGATAAAATATACAACAGTTTTTAAGTTAGACCTTTACGAACATAACTGTGAAAACCGCGTACAATTTCGTGCATAGTTTTTTGGAAAACTGCGTACAATTTCGTGCATAGTTTTTTTGTAATGCCTGCCTGAACAAATAGACAGGCAGACAAAATTTGTAAGAATTATTATTTTGGCTTCTATTTCTCTTAAAAAGATCCTTCACATCTTTTTTTTCCAAAATCTCCCCTGTACAGTCATCGTCTACTTAAAATTTTTAATAAGATTACACATACTACTTTGCATGTAATCAGAAATACGTTTTGTTATTCGATCCAATCGTATATAGATAGAACGTAATACTTTAGATATAGAAGCCAATTCTAACGCGCCATTTCGTTAAACTTAACTCTAATTTGACAATTAGCTTATAAACAGTTGACCCGTTTTTAAAACTCGTTGCTCTATCTATATAATCAAGATTTATACCTTTAAACGCAATATTCTAGAACAATCAGAAATGTACAAGAATTGACAGAAAAAATATTCATTTTAATCCAAATATCATTATTTCAATTTTTTTTTTACTATTATAAAAATAAACAACATACGGTCCGTCTGGTAAACGGAATTATCGTAGCCCATGGACGCCCGTGACACCTGAAATGTCACCTTAATGACCTTAAAGAAACCTACCTACGCTCTTTTTGAAGAATCTCATGTTGTCTTAAGGTAAAGTCTCAATAGGAAGATCATTCCACAACCTGAATGTTCACGGAAGGAAGCTCTAAAACCGCACTGCGTATGACCATTTTAATTATAAGATCTGAAGATGGGTTCCCTGCCGATGGCGAGCGGTGTGATTGTGAAAGGTGGTTGTAGGCATCATATCGAATATTGTAATACGTGAATTTTTGCAACTTTAATCCCATACAAATTCCAATTTTTCACGTGTATACGTTTACAAAACACGCACTCAACCATTTTCTTGACTCGTTCTAAAAGAAGTTGGTCTTGTTTTTGTGATTGCATTGCCAGTCTGTCAGTACTTAGTACGTTATACTACGTCTGTGTAGTGAAGCATTCGTCTTAGGAGCCAATTTTGAGGCATCATTCTGTAAACCTATTTCTATAAGAATTACAATTTATTATAACAACAAAATGTTTTTTCAAGGACCAATATGAACCAAATTTCTAATAGGTTTAATTTAAAATTATTATAAATTTAATTTATGATGGTCCATAAAGCAATAATTTTGCGTAACTACCAAATTAAAATATTGAGTTTAGAGAATTGGCGCCTCAAAAATGAGTCTAATATCTATCTGTCATTCTATACACAATTTATTTAAAATATTTGGTTCCAATTATATTCTTTGAAACGCAGCTAATTACGTGGTAAAAATTTTTGACACTGTCATGTCAACCTTACTACCTATCAATGCAGCAGTCTACCCCAGTTTGTTGCCAATTTAGCCCTTTCAGAACTAATTGTATTTAACCTTCTTTTCATGTAATTTAATTCGTTGTATTTTCTTTTACCCCTAATATTACCTAATAATCGATAGTTAACTGAGCATACCTGTTCTGTACCCAGACTAATCCTTAGGTGATAGTTATTCATGTCAAATAACTTATCGATATTATCTATTAAACATCAGTGTAATTTTACTCTCTTATTCAGAAAAACACAAAACGTCTCATCAACCTATTTTTTTTTTTTTATGTCTCTTTTTTGTGATGTATTTTCAATTTGAAAGAAAGTGACAAAACACTAATAATAAAATAGATTTATACTAGGTTTTAGTTTTTATGAGTAAGAGGGTTAATTAATATTCAAAACTGTATATACTTTCACTCAATTTCGACTTAGGACTCTACGACTAACCTTATACCTATAGTATCTTGATTACTTTTACAATAAATAAGCAATCGATATTCAACGTTTATTAGGAAACATCCAATGTGATAACTGTATTTATTGGAAAGTATTTCCAAATTTTATTCAAATTTTATTTTTACTTTTATAGACTGAATTTTTAAATGAATTATGTTTATTTTGGTACCATTTTAATAGTCTCAAAATTTTAAATTGAGAAATTAATTTCAATAACCATTGATGACAGTATTCAACTACAATAAGTATATTTAGTTGCAATAAAAAAAAAATTACTAACTTTTATGAATTTTGTACAAATAAACACAATATCGTTTCTTCATTTACTTTAATAGGAATTAGGCTCAATTTTAAAATTTTTGAAAATTCAATTTAGCTCGAAAAATCTGAAGCCGAAATGGTAACACTTGTATGCTGCGTATGTCTACCTACGATTAATAGTATGGAATCTTAGATTCTCATTTCGTTTAGTAGTGACAGATTTTGTAATAACACATTAGGAGTTATTTTTATATTACTTAGTTTATAGATAAAAAATTAATTTGAAAAGATGACCGTTTTCCCTGTTCTAATTACGGTCATTATTACTTTAATCAATGGAATACTTTCCAAAAGTGTTGAGCTAACATTTGAATTGCCTGATAGTGCTGTAGAATGTTTTTACGAACAAATTGAAAAAAACACATCTGCTGCTTTGGAGTACCAGGTTATTAACATCTGTATATCTATAATCTAACCATAAATTAGTGACTAAAAATAAAATTACAGAGCATTAGATTTATTATGGTTTATTTCCTATGTCTGTTTCCATGCCAATTAGATTTCATTATGAGTTTAAATTACAGGTGATAACCGGAGGTCAGTATGATGTAGATGTAAAAGTAGAAGGACCCAATAAACAAATAATATATCAACAACAGAAGATGCAATATGATTCACACCAATTCACAGCTCAGCAAACAGGTACCTTCTTCAATAGTTGTATCTTGTTTGGCACAGTATTCATTTTAAAGTAAAATATAATAAAAAGTGTTTTTCATGTTATTTAGTTAATATTTAATATGTTATTTTTTTGCAGGTGTATACAAAGTTTGTTTTAGCAATGAATTCAGTACATTCTCTCATAAACTTGTATACATGGAATTAAATGTGGGACCAGAAAAAGCTCTTCCTGGTGTTGGAGACCATGCTACTGTTCTTACTCAGGTATTCAATATTTATCCAATAGTAAACACACTTTTTAATCTAATAGCATCTTATAGCAATCTTATTGCAACTTAACATTTTGCATACTAGCCATATTTATATTTAAAGTAATCTTTAATTCATTTATTTTAAATAAATTTATTGTTTTTATTATTACAGCTGGAGACATCAGCAAATGACATTCATTTAGCATTAAATCAAATTATTGATCACCAAACTCACCATCGATTGCGAGAAGCTCAAAGCCGGAAAAGAGCTGAAGACCTTAATGAAAGAGTGTTTTGGTGGTCTATGGGAGAGACTTTTGCTATTCTTTGTGTGGCTCTAGCTCAGGTCATGATTTTGAAGAACTTCTTTAGTGACAAACCCACATTATACAGTCGAATGTAAATTTAGATAATTTAATAGCATATTTAATTTTATTAAAATACTTTTTGGCTTTATAATTTTATTTATTGTTTAGTGTAACAATGTGACAGTAGGCAGTGTGACCTGTGACTTATTCTACATAACCAATATAAAAAGTAACCTTATATACTTCTTCATCCCATATAGTGCATTTACCAGAGGGAGACTTTGTACAAAAGTCAATTGCTTGGGTACCTCTGTCCCATTCGTGTTTCTACCGTGAAGCAGTTGTGTTTGCATAGCTGTGTTTCGGTTTGAAGGGTGGGATATGGTGTGAATTTACAGGGTACAGAGGAATAACACCCGAGTCCTCAGGAATGGCAATGCATGGGTGGTATCATGGGCGAAACAATACACTCTGTTATGTCCATGGTACTGCTCATGTCTAGGCTACAGTTACCACTTTCCATCAGGTGGGCCGTCAGCTTGTTTGCCATTCTAAGTTGTATAAAAAAAAGCTATTAGGTTAGAAACACACTTTCACATTTGTAATATTAGTAAGGATTTAACAAAACTATAACGGTTGTTAAGTAACAAAACCTATTATTATAAAACTGTATGGCTTTCTTGTCAATAGTTCCACAAGATTAATAAAAACAAAAGGAATATAAACTCGATTTATTTAACAAAAAGGATAAATATGTGGACATTATTAAAATGAACTATTATTTTCCTTTTATATATGGATATAATATGAATATTACAAAATCTTCAAACTGTTAACTGAAAAGTTAATGGCCCTCCAATATCTGTATAGAATTTAATATAGCCCTAGATCTTCTATGTGTTTGATACAAAATTCTGATATATTTATATAAAACTTCATCTGAAATGTTATATATAGTATATAACAGAACATAAGTCCAATTTGAAGAGCTAATTTTAGGGGCATATATAATGAAATATATGAATAATGATCATGTGGTAGTAAAATTAAGCATTTATAATGCAGATGTAAAAGCTTATAGAAGTTAGGGTTACAATAATATATATTTATGCAATGGTTATTACATTTTAATATTTATTATTCTACACTGCCAATTAAACTTACCAATCTTGTTTTCAAAATCATAAAAAAAATTATACAATTAGGAGTTTTTCAGATTTTATAGAATATAGTTATACATTAAATATAGACATAGTTACATTAATAATAGGTATAAAATTAGTTACTTTTTACATAAAAACAAAAATTAGTAAAATATATCCTTTTCAAAAAAGTACTAGCAATGCAAAAACACCATTTACTAAAGCACAGGGATATGCAATAAGTGGTCTCTGTTCTGCATCACCAGACATTGTCACAAACAGCCTGCTTGCTGATAGAGCTGACCAAATCACTGCTAAAGCTGATAATGTAAGCCCAATTGTTCCTTCTAGGGATACAAAAATTCCCAAGCCTGCTAAAACTACCATTGGTAACATACAGTATCCTAATACACTAGCAACACTTAAAAGAGTAAACACACCTTCAGTACGACTCATCAATGATAACAAGAAATACATTAAAACAACTGACATTACAGAGAGACCATATACATAACCAAAATGTGCCTTATTCCCCGAAAGAAATAGACATACTGCAAGTGCCAAACAGAAAGCTATAGGGCCTGCTATATCTGTGTCTCTCAACAAGAAGTTTGCATCATCTGCTTTTGATTGGCCATGAAAAGGGTTTAAAACAGCTAAAGTTTTTTCCAGTATCCTGTCAGGGTATATTTCCAGTTCATCCAACAAAGGAGGTTCATCAAATTCTGTTTCAGTTATAGTTTCTCCAGTGAGAGGTGCTGGGGTAAATAAATTTGGATTATAATATTGGTTGTTATTAGCAGGTATAGGACCTTGTGTTGATTCATAAGAGAAGTTTTGTTGTTCACTCGGAAATGTCTGAAAGTCTGAAACAAATACAGGGTTATTAAACTGACAAACATAGATAAACCACTATTCAAATTCTTTATATATAGAACACTCACCTAATGTCTGAGCAGGATCTGCAAAAGTATTAGAAGTATCAAAGGAATAATTCTGGGCAGTATTCTGTGTTTGCCAAGAGAAATCGTTAGGATTATAATTGGCCATAGTATTATTTATAAAATTATATTTCTTGTAGTAACTTGAAAACAATAGGTTGTTTCTGAATGCAAATTGTTTTAAAAAATTAAACTATATTTGGATCTATACTGGTTATCAGTTGATGAAAAAATTACATCAAACACAAATTCACAAAACAAAGCAGACTCCTGATTTTCTACTCTTTACTTCAGCCAGATTAAAATAAAAATTGCTAATATGTATACTATTTTATATATCTATATTATAAGTATTTTGATTTAAGTTTTGCTTCTATTTTTCCCTTTTATAATTATTGAAATAATACTGTTTTGACAATGACAACTATTGACAATGATCTACTTGACTGACATGATGATGTGTCCATGGATGTGTCAGCAGTCAAAGATAATATGATTACGCTTTGTAGATTATATTATTTACCACAGACCAAGTAATTATTAAATTACATCTAATATTCGTTGGTTTAGGGGTGCTTTTGTAGTGTTGTTGTCATGTACAATGCAAAAATTTGTAAGAGTGGATAACTGTTTAGAATATCTACTTAATTTACACGGGCGAATATACGGGATGCAACTATATAAAATAACAATTACAAAGCAATCGATATACAAAATTAAATGTTAAACGATTAACGAACAAAGGTGGTGCTTTTAGATTAATCCTTATTCATAAAAATTTCAAACATCTCATGATAAGTTCATGACATGTTTTTAGGTATTGAACCATTTTGTCTCTTTCTTTTTTACTAAATTCCTAATTTGAAAGAAAGTGACAAGTCAATTATCCATAGGCTGGGGGGAGAGAGGGATTGTTAGTTATGGGGTCTAATAGCCCCATTACCAGCAATATGCCTTATCAATTTTTTTTTAGTAGATGATAATGGAATGGTAAGCCAGGCCTACGTTAACGGCATACATCGACAGAGATGATGAGGATAAAAAGGTGTTAAGAACCTCCTTGGTTCAATGGCAGGCGATATGCATTCTAGCAGCGCTTGTCAATGTAAAATAAAGAAAAATAATATTTGAATAAATATGACAGATTACCCTTTTGTCTTACATACTATGAACATTGACTGAACTTTCTAACTGACTAATATTAACTAGTGTAGGTAACCAAAATCCTAGTCCTGGTTTTCCTTAACATTGATCCTGATCCCGGCGTTGCTTAATACTGGTGAGTGTTACTACCAATTTCCTATATTAGGTTATGGGCTAATACCAAACTTCAAAATGGATTTGTCGAAATTTCAAATTAATAAACTAGAAGGTGAAAATTGGATACATTGGAAGTATCGCATGTCAGCGCTATTGAGAGGAATAGACGGTTTAACGGATGTAATAAATGGATCAATTAAAAAACCGGAAATGCCAGATAGTAGTGCTGGGGATTCAGCAGCTATGGCTAAGTACGAAGAGGACTTACGAAGCTACACTAAGTTGGATAGTATAGCTGTACTTGTAATAACAAATAATATTTCTGATAATATCCTGGATAAAATTCTAAGGTTAACGACCGCAAAGGAAATATGGGATGAATTGCATCGCCTATACGAAGGTGTATGTGAGGACCGCCTGTATGATTTGTGTTTAGAATTTTTCAGATATAAGAAAAATCCTACTGATGACATAGCTTCACACATCTCGAAGTTGAAAAATCTGTGGTATAAGCTCAAGCAAGAATTAATGAAAGAAGAGGAAGGTAAGGATTTACCTGAAGTTCTATTAATTTGTAAAATCTTGGATACTTTACCTGAAACATATTTTTCATTCAAGTCAAGTTGGCTGTTAATGTCTAAGAAGGATAGGAATATAGAGAATATCACAAGTCAGCTGTGTGCGCATGAAAAGGCACTCGGTAACAATGTAGACAGTGAATCTAGTTGTGAGGCCTTTGCTGTCAAAGGAGTCGAGAAGAAACCTAGTAAGTGTGAAGACAAAGGTAGTAATAACAAGGACAGTAGCAAAAAGTTTAAATGCTTTGGTTGCAAAGAGGTTGGTCACCTTAAGAAAGACTGTCCTAAGAAAGTAGTTTCTCGAAAAGATTGCAGTAGTAAGGGAATTAACATGATGTTACTGACTGTGAATTCGGCTGAAAGTAGTATTGTAGATCGTGACCATTGGAATGTGGATAATGGGGCTACGAATCATGTTACAATGCGGAATGATATCTTTCAAGATTTCGAATACTTCAGTGAAGGTCACACTGTAACTACGGCGGACAAAAATGTGATCAAGGCAGTAGGCAAAGGATCAGTTTGTATTGAGGCCGATGTTAATGGACATACTGTGAGATCGACTTTGAGAGATGTTTGGTATGTTCCTCAGATAAGTAGAAATCTGTTTTCTGTATTATCGACGCAAGATAGGAATCCAGGTAGCGTGTTTGAATCACGGGTCACTACTTGTACTATGAAAATAGGAGGAATGATTACTGTGACAGGAAATAGAGAGAGGTATGGAGGATTATACAAGCTGAATTGTAGAGTCGTACCGCCTATTAATATGCCAGTAAATTTGGTACAGAAAGTTGATATATTGCAACTTTATCACGAACGTTTTGGTCATCAAAATAAAAGACATATAAGAAGTCTGATAGATAGAGAGTTGGGAATAAGAACAAAAGATAGTGAAGAATTATGCGAAGGTTGTATCTTTGGAAAATCTCACAGACAAAAGTTTGGTGTACGAGATAAAGCTACGAAACCTGGAGAACGCATACATTCGGATGTTTGCGGGCCCTTTCCATCTAGTTATTCCAAATTACGATATTTTGTACTTTTCAAAGACGAATATACACGTCATCGTTTTGTGTATTTTCTTCGGAATAAGTCGGAAGTACACGGGAAATTGAAACAGTTTCTAGCTGAAGCTAAAGTAGCTGGTCATGTCGTTAAGGAACTGTTGAGTGACAATGGTGGTGAATTCGACAATGCACAAGTACGGAAAATATTGGTGGGAAATGGAATAAAGCAAAGACTGACGATGCCGTATACACCGGAACAAAACGGAAATAGTGAAAGAGATAACAGAACGATCGTGGAATGTGCTAGAGCTATGATGCATGCACATGAAAGGTTACCTGAAACTTTGTGGGCTGAATTGGTGAATACTGCTGTATATATTTTGAACAGGACAGGGCCAACGTCAGTGGAACACAAGTCACCCTCAGAACTTTGGACTGGTATAAAGCCAAGGATTAAACACATGAGGATTATTGGGTCATCATGTTATGCTCACGTGCCTAAACAGACTCGGAAAAAATTACATAAGAAAGCTATGAAATGTATTCTAATAGGGTATGATAATGATGATGGATATCGTCTCTGGAATGGTTCTACTGGTTTAGTAAGGTCAAGAGATGTGACATTTGATGATATGTCTCTGCTTAGAGGTGAATCACTGAAGGTATCTGAACCCATGCAAGCAGAATTTCCTAGCAATGTAATTGAGTTGCAACCTTTGGCATTACAAGAGATAACTCAACAGAGGAATGATGAAAAATTACCTCATGTAGAATCTTCTGATGCTCAGAATATTGTAATTGATAATGATGAAGTTGAAGGTCTTGTAAACAATGATGAGTTTATTGATAGAGAAGACACTTCTGTTATTAATGAAGATATATTTGATGATGCAAGAAGTAATACGCTAGAACAAACTATTGAATGTGGGGGGGTATTAGAAGGAAATGACGAAGCCGAGCTTCACGAAACTATGGATGAACAAGAGATTATAGAGGAAAGTAGTCGTATTCTTAGAGATAGGTCATCGCTTCGTCTACCACAGAAATTCAATGATTTTGTTCTATATAATATAAATGGAGAGAGCACTGGTAATCAACTGGAACCTAATAGCTACAAGGAAGCTGTGAGAAGTGCTGAAAGTAAACTTTGGAGAAAGGCAATGGATAAGGAAATTAATTCTCTGAAGGAAAATAAAACTTGGGTGTTGGTAGATCTCCCGAAAGGTCGGAAAGTCATACCCTGCAAGTGGGTTTTCAAGGTCAAATTAAATGCTGACGGGAATGTCGACAAATACAAGGCTAGGCTTGTTATTAAGGGATATAGTCAGAAGAAAGGCGTGGACTATTATCAAACATTCAGTCCTGTAGCAAGAATGGCGACCATTAGAAGTGTATTAGCTGTTGCCGCTAATGAACAGATGCATATGGCGCAATTTGATGTATCCACTGCATTTCTGTATGGCGATCTTGATGAAGAAATCTACATGCGACAGCCGGAAGGTTATGAAGATAACTCTGGTAAAGTTTGTTTACTGAAGAAAAGTCTTTATGGTTTGAAGCAGGCACCTCGGTGCTGGAACAAGCGTATATTAGATTTTTTCAAGGAAATCGGTTTGAAAGTATCTGATGCTGATCCATGCCTTTTCACAAGAAAGGAGTCTAGCGAGAAGCTCATTGTGGCTCTTTATGTGGATGATGGTTTGGTAGCTGCGTCTAATCAGAAACTGATCGAAAATTTCCTAAAAGATTTAATGGGAAAATTTAAAATCACAACGAAGTCTGTGTCCTACTTTCTCGGTATAGAGATAATAACCAGAGAAGACGGCATAAAAATTCATCAGAAGTGTTATGTGAACAAAGTTCTTCGACGGTTTGGGATGGACAGCTGCAGACCGGTGCATACACCAATTGTTAGAGACATGTCTCAAAACCGGGATAAGGTCGACATGAGTAATATGTTGTTGAATTATAGACATATTGTTGGAGCCTTAGCATATCTCATGGTTGGAACGAGACCTGACATTGCATTTGCTGTTAGTGTCGTCTCAAGAAATTTGGAAAATCCAACTGAAGACGATTGTGTAAAGCTGAAACGGATTCTGCGTTATTTACAACATACGCAAGATATGGGTATTTTGTATCAAAAGGACTATAAAAAGGGCATCATAGAGTGTTATAGTGATGCTGACCATGGAGGAGACGTTGGTACTGGAAGGTCAACTTCTGGAGTACTGTGCATGTTTGCTGGTGGTGCTGTATCTTGAATGAGTCAAAGACAAGCAAGTGTTGCAATTTCAACCACTGAAGCAGAATTAGTTCCAGCCAGTGAAGCAGCTCGAGAATGCATTTGGCTAACTAGGATACTAAGCGAACTTACTGAAATACAGTATCCTCCTGTATTACAAGTGGACAATGAAGCCGCGGTGAGACTAGCGGAAAATCCTGAGTTTCACAAGAGAACAAAACATATTCTCATCAGGCACTTCTTTGTTCGAGAACTTGTGACAAAAGGTGATCTCATGGTTCAGAAAATTAGCAGTGAGTGGCAGCTTGCGGATATTTTTACCAAAGCTTTACCAAAGCCAAGGTTAGAGAAGATTAGTAAGCTGCTAGGATTACACATCGAGAGAAGATGTTAAGAACCTCCTTGGTTCAATGGCAGGCGATATGCATTCTAGCAGCGCTTGTCAATGTAAAATAAAGAAAAATAATATTTGAATAAATATGACAGATTACCCTTTTGTCTTACATACTATGAACATTGACTGAACTTTCTAACTGACTAATATTAACTAGTGTAGGTAACCAAAATCCTAGTCCTGGTTTTCCTTAACATTGATCCTGATCCCGGCGTTGCTTAATACTGGTGAGTGTTACTACCAATTTCCTATATTAAAAGGCAGGTCAGTAAGCCCACCATGCTGAATTTCAGGTGTATTCATCACGATGGTTTTCATGGGGAACCATATGGAGGTCGACCTGGTTGAATATATTGCTAGTAATGGGGTCTTAGTTTCCATTACTAGCAACCCCTTCTTTCTTGCTTTATCAGGTTTTTTTTTGATAGGTGAAAATGGTATGGTAACTCCCCCTGCGCTAACGGGATACGCTGGCGAAGCACCAGTGAAGGGTGATAGATGAGAATGAAATGCTTTATCAGGTTGACCTCCACGCGGTTCCTACTGGAATCTATCATGGTTAATTTTTATGAAATTCGTGACGATGGTCTAACTGACTAGCTTGGGGCGAAAAGGATTGTTAGCAATGAAGTTTGACAGCTCCATTGCTAATAATATACCATATTAAGTCGACCTCTACGTGGTTCCCCCTGGAAACCATCGTGAACAATTCTTGAATTCGTCAAGATGGGCTAACTGACCTGCTTCATCCTCATCTATCATCTTTCACTGGTGGCCCCGCCGGTGTATACCGATAGCGCGGGTGGAGTTATCATTCATATGGATATGATGCTGCCTGCCCCATAAGTCATTCCTTACCTTAGTCGCTTTTTACAAAACCCACAGGAAAAGAGTAGAAAACCTATTTTATGTTGACTCTACAGGCTCTGTAATTATTGCTTTGTAAATAATGTACAAGAATAAAAATTTTGTGTAGGATTTTTTAAAATTTATTTTTATTAATTTAACAGTTATAATTTAGTTAACACATTTATTACTACTAATATTATATTATCTCTTATCGGTACATATATTTTGCCTACTTGTCCACAGACGATGTGCTATAATGGATTTCTGCCTACGACCTTTCTCAAGTTGCTCTTGTTCATCAACAAATTCTTTTTCTTCATGTATTTGTCGAAGTAAATCTGCATTGCTGTCTGCAGCTGGCATTTCTGGGACTGGAAGTTGATGTTGATTGGCTATATTATGCAGGACACAGCAAGCATTTATAATTTTGGCAACAAAATCATGATCATAATGCAGAACTCTGTGTGCTAGTAGGCATCGCCAACGTGCTTTCAATACACTGATACACTGCACCACTGTATTCGTGGCTTTACTGTGAATGCCATTGTAGTGTTCCTCTGCACTACCAACTTCTGCATTTGCTATCGGCGTTAAAAGGTACGGCTGGTCAGGATAAGCAGAATCACCTGAAACAATATTAATGAGGTTCATTATAAACTATCATTTCGTTAGAGATATACCGACTAGTCGGGAAAATCGACTATCCGGCCATATTTATAGTGAGCAAAAACACCATTGGGCCTTTACTTTATTTATTCATATAACAGTTTTTTTAATATATTGATTAAAATTATATTCCTTATTATTTTTTTTTTATATTAGTATCAGTCTTATTTAATATAAGTTAAGAATAGGAACAAACCCATGTCTCCGACATATGGCACCTCGAGGGTATATCGTCTGGTTTTTGGTGGGTACACTCCCACCTTACGGGGGGATTCCCACAGTACCCATTCACCTCTCACAAGGTGTATGGGTCTGTATAAAGCATTTTCCAAACGTTACAAAAAGGAATAGGAACAAAAGAAGGAGTAAACAGTTGTTACTTAAGTGGAAAATTTTACACAAAATTTCTGTTTATTATAAACTAGCTTTTACTCGAACTTCGTCCACATGAAGGAGAATGAATGAATGAAAATTTATTTCAATAATCCACAACACTTACATATACTCAGATTACATGTAATAAAAACATAAAAAAAGAAAAGTAGCCTATGCGTTTCGGAGAACGTGTATTTAAAATTACATAATGATTGGTTCAGCCATTAAGGTGCTAAGAAATAATAAAAAAAAAACTCACTTTCACATTGTATTTTAGAATAATAATTTTAACCTATTCCCCTCGAACATCGCCAAAAGCAAATCGGCTTGGCCGACCTGTCAGCCTTTTTCCAACCGATCAGTCAGCTAGTTGACCAAACTCATACTCTACTCCATTTCAATTTAATATCACAGTAAAATTTTTATTCGAAGGACCAAAGTGAACTAAATTTCTAATAGGTTTAAGTAAAATTATAAATATATGATGGTCCATAAAACAGTACTTTTGCAAACTATAAAAATAGGTTAAGACATAAGTTTACAATAATGGCACCTCAGAATTGACCCCAATGGCAGCGTATTTAATGTCATTTGGAATTAACACAGCGACTTTATTTGCGTGACCGAAATATATTGATAATCTGGAATATCCAAATTTTATGATGATTGGTTGTTCCGTTAAGGATTGGCAACTAGAAATAATTTGTATGGAAAAAATTAAATAACATTTTTAAATTTTTCTAAGTATTAAATTTTTTTCTACAGAAGAACAACACCGGACGAATATTTGAAAAAAAAAATGTCTAAATGGTCGAACTTCGATCAAGTTTTGCACTTGACAACACATTTAGGTAATAATTTTGTTTTATATAAATGAAAACTTTATAGTGTTTCGATAAATTAGGGCTTATTCATTTAAATGTAATTTAAAAAAGTAATTACCAAGCAACCACACAAATTCTGCTGTTCTGTGCAAATGCCGCAAATGAGTGATGATTGGACCATTCTCCCAAATTTCGGCATCCGATGTGGACCCTCCAAAAGATGCATCTACACTTAAAATATTTAATTGACTGTCGCATATCTGAAATAATGAGTTTTTATATTACGAATTTATATATTTTTAATTTATAGTATCTAAACCAATATTAAAAAAAGATTTGACTTTGAAAGAGGTAATACTTAACGGATTTTAAAAATTCTTTCATGTATAGAAAGCTACATTATCAGCAACAGTAACATAGGCTGTATTATATCAATTTATATATTTTTACTTATCTATCTATGCAAAGCCAAGACAAGTCGCTAACATATTTATATACTTACAATTTGAACATTCCTGGAATGGTAATGTTTGCTGTTGAAGAACCATTCTTCATATTCATTTGGCTGTACTAATGCAACATGGGTTGTATCAATACAACCAAGGACTCCAGGAAATCCAAATTTATTAAAAAATCTGAAATAAAGAAGTAATATCCCATATATTTTTATACAAACAAGCTGACCCGGCAAAATATTTTTTGATTTATCCTTACTGGGGCCATTTTTCCTTATTAGAATAAAAACTTTTGCTTAACTAATCTAACTAGATTCTTGAGCAATCAATACATAACTTCATTCATTAAAGTTGGGTAAAGATTTTAGAGATAATAATTTATTTGCAAACTTTATTTATTATGGATTACTGTTTTATTAACTATTATAAACTAAATTTAATAGAAATTTAGTTCAAATAATAAAAATTGTGTAAATTACTTAAATAAATAGATGCAAATAATATATATATATATATATATATATATATATATATATATATATATATATATATATATATATATATATATATATATATATATATATATATATATATATGTGTACATATACTATTAGATACTATGACAGAGATCATTAATCATTAAATTGTAATTTTGGTTAATTCTCATGGGATTTGTTTACAATGGACCAACAGACCTGTAGGCCTACCATGAAATCATTGCCGAAATTTCGGGGACGTACGAAACAGAAATTTGATGTTAAAATATCGTTCCTCTGGACTATTAGGATAGGATATATGATGAACAAACCATTAAGCTCCATTTACTGGCTCAATTTCGGTATGAACAAAAACACGAAATTGAGCCCGAAAATTTGGAATTTCATTTCATGGTAAACCACCTGCTTTCACCCTGACCTATCATCAATAGTGCCTCACCAGTGTATACCAATAGCATAGACAGCAGTGCCATTCCATTATCACCCATTAAAAAAAGCTTGATAGTTATCTACAAACTATCATTAAAAAATTGGGACCATACCACCTCAGTTTGGTCTGCAAATGATGGTAACTTGGCATATGTAAAATGAAAGCCTTATCAAAATAAACATCATCTTTGTCTAACCTTGAAAGTTATAATTAATTATATTATAATAGATAAAACAGATGGTATTTTAATAGATTTGAAAGATTAATTTATTTTTATTTCTATTCTTTTCAAAATACCAATGTAACACTTAAGGTTAAGGTAACTCTTACTTACCTATCTACAATTAACTTCCTTTCTTGTTGTGTTCGTGGAAAATGAATGTACTTTCGTAAAATATTAATATCATTTAAAGCCAATGTAACGTCTCTGACAGCTTTAGATATGCTAGGTTGACTGATCTCTTGTAGGAAAGTCATACCAACTGGCTTTTGGTAAGAACCAGTAGCATAGAATGATAGTGCTGCTAATACCTATAAATAGAGAATAATATTCATCAATTATAAACTATGTAATAAATATATTACGACTATTTTATGCTAGTAAATAAACAATACACTTACTTTAGACTCTATGCTAACTTTAGTTCTTCTAAATTTTTTAGGTAGCAGAGGCGTCAATTCAGAACATAAGTGTTTAAAAATTTTTTTAGAAACCCTGTAATGGGCTATAAATTGTGTCTCAGAAAGGTCTAATGGACTACGCTCTACCCTCCGTACAATTTTATGTTCTTTTTTCTCTATTCTATGCCGGTCTCGAAGACTTCTAAGTCGAGATATGTGGAGGGTTTCTCGTTTTCGTTGGTTTTCAAGTTCCAATGCTTCTATAATAAGGAAAGCGCGAGCCATGACTCATTAACTGTACAAATTTCTTAAAGAAATTACTCATAAACTAAATAAAAAAAGTGTAATATTATAAGTTCAGTGATTCACATAAAATCAAAACAATTCCAGATTGTTTTGTGTCAAAGTGAAGCTGTTATTGACAGTGTTGCCAGATAAAATGGACCTAATCGAATCAAATAAAATAATAGTATAGTAGGATTTTTTATGGATGATAATGTAATGGTAACTCCACCTGCACCAAGGGTATACGCTGGCGGGGCACCAGTGAGGGATAATACGTGAGAATGAAAAGTTAAGTTAGTTAGCCCATCATGATAAGTACACTTGAAATTCGGCACGATGGTTTCCAGAGGGGACCACAGGGTCGACAGAAAGGTCCTGTTAGGATACATTGTTAGCAATGGGACTGATAACCCGCATTGCTAACAATAACTCCCTTCCCAGAATATAATAGGTTATCTTATAAGGTGAAATAAAAATTGCCAAAATTATCATTTGACTCGATAAATTTTTATATCGCCTAAAATCGCCATTTTTTATTAGACTAAATAATGACTGGTTACCAATTGCAGTTTTCGGTTGCTTTACACTCTTTGAGATAGCCTAAAAGGCGAAAAATCGCCTAATCTGATAGAAATACTCGCAGTAGATTCTTTGTTTCGAAAGTTATTCCGCTCACTTAATGCTTGTAAAAATAGGGTGTGATTCCGCGTGTCGCCTTTTATACCCAAGCAGACAATATCATATTTAAAAAAAAAATGTAAAGGATTATCGATCAGTGGATACCCTTAAGAGCGGTTGTAGGAGTTAGGGTATATGGGTAGGGCCACTATTGTAAAAGCATAATTTTTTTACAAAGGAATTAAAAATAATTTATTCTGATGTCATGCATGATAACTCGTGTTTCGCATTCTTCAATTTCTGAGATGGCGATTTTGCGAAGCTATTGTAGCATCAAGGGCAGTTATGATAATCCCCGGAGACTCGTTAAAGGAACTCTAGCAACCACATCAGTAGGATTCGTAAAAGTTGGCTACTGGATTGTCTATTATTACAGGTTTTTAAAGAAATTGCGAAACTCGTAGGTTAAATAAAACTGTACATAAATTTTATGGCATAGTTTATTCCTTTAAATAGTTTAGCCATTGTGTCTAAATGGAATGGATTTTACCGTGTAGAGAAGAATATATCGCATACATTAAAATTTAGATACAATTCATAGTAGGTATAGTGAATAATGTTATATTTACACAGTCAAGTGATAAAACTGTGGTGTTCTTTAATATCACCTTTTGAGACCTCTCTTGTGACAACAACAATTTAGTCACATGCCGACATTATTATCTTTCAATAAATTCTAAAGGCGTTCCTTCCAATTATTCTACATAACTGATAATCTACAGTACTTAGATAACATGACACTTTTGTGTCAATTTTTAAACAAGTCGATGTGCATTTGATTTCGAGATCAAAAAATAGATTTAATCTATTTGGCGTTCTGCACCAATAAATATCATTTGTGAATGAAGCCACAAGCCCTTTGTTATAAAATGTATAATATAAACAATAGTACCATATTTGTAAAAGTTGTAAAAGAGCTAATATAATTAAATTAGTTACATGAATTATAATAATATCAAAGCCCAAGTAAAAAACATTTCATTTGTATAATACATTTTGGAAAATTCACCTACAATCAGAATTACAAACTGGCACTGGTCAGATAATCCCTAAGTGCAATATACTCAGGTACTACTATAACAACCATCTCACATGAATTCATTTAAAGTTATGACACCAAATATTCGTTACTTACGTTTCAACTTACATAAAATAGTCACAACAAAATAAACACAACAATATAAAAAAGCAATAATTATGAAGTCACTTATGCCAAATATAAGAATAAAAAAAGTTTCTTTAAATAAATCGCATCTATAAGAATATTTTTACAATTGAGGTAGCATGTTGCCTAAATGTAGAAATGTCTAATTTAAGGGAATATTGATGTTTCCTTTTGCACAATGTTTCTTTCTAATAATGTAATGCGATTTAATCAAAGATATGAGACAGTCTTATATATTAAGTCATTCAATCCATTTTGCAACTGCAATATGCAAAAGTCGATAAATCAACAATCATTCAACTTTTTAATAACTCATACCTCAAATAATAAATTACTTAGTTGTAAAAATTATGTACAATGTTTTTTGTACATAAGTTAATATGTAATTAAATACATATAAATATTAGTATATAGTATAGGTACACTATTTTAAACAGTTATGAACACACTAATTACATTTAAAGGAGATTACAAACCTAAAAGTGACTATAATTAATTACTGTAAATAATACATTACACTAGTATAGTACTGTAGTGGATTTGCTGTTTATACAGTTATAGCATATAGAAATATAGTTAGGCCTAGCTCATTTCTCACTGTAACAACACAATGACTGCTATCATGTAAGTTTAAAATTGGTTTAAATTTTTTTAATTCTTAGTTATATTATCCATATCCAAGTACATTTGACGTCTGTAAGGCTCATTAGTATATTTAAGATTTCAAGTGGGTCTGGTCCTTTAAAAAGGAACGTATATGTACTTTCAGACGTGTTTTGACGATGCTTCACTGGCATCCTGGACCCTCTATTAAAATCACTTATGCTGTCAATGTTTTCTCAACCTGTACTATAGTTCTATATACTTCCATCCCATACTATAATTTTACTATTCAATCGAACAAGTTGGTACAATTATTACCTATGACAAAGTGAAATAATGATATATTTCAATAAATAAGTGACTCAAGGAGAATTTTTTGTAGTCGATTTCTTTGGGTTTTATAGATTTGTGTTTGTGTCTGACCTGACAAATATTCTAATTGCTCCATCTTTACAATATAAATAATATTGTGTAATTCTAAACAAAAACTTACTAAATAACAACAAAAAATAACATTCAAAGCATACTCGTCCTAATACATATCACAGATACCTAAGGAAGATATTATTGTTAATATCCTGTTGTAGAGGTATTATACACATTACAAAAAAAAAATATTAAAATAAGCACTTAATTTCAGAATATCTTAAAAAATACATATTTAGTCTATAGTAATACCTCTGATTGGAATTTTTCTATTGGTTTAGGTTTTCTTACTATATGCGCACCTTTAGACTTGAAAGTAATCACTAACAATACCATCGGGACCATTGTTAATACTGCTTTTGGGATCCCTATTATTTGGGACATTAATTTTCTCATAACCTGCTGCCGAGTCTGATCTCTCGACTGTGGCACTCGACGTAGCTTCATTATTCACCTTCTCATAAGGTGGCTCCCTCTTTGACAATTCAAAATATTTAACACTCTCATAATTAGGATCCTTTTTTGACCTAACTGAGTCATATTTCGGATCTTTAGACCTCACAGATTCATATTTAGGATCTTTACATCGCAATGATTCATAATTTGGATCTTGAGGGTTTATTACGCTTTCATAGTTTGAATCTTTGGGACGTACCGACTCGTAATTTGGATCAGACTCGCTGCCTGTGGTGTACAACGGATCATGTGGCATCGACTCATAGTTTGGTTCCAAAGCGGGTTCCTCATTGTTATTAGTTGGCCAATTGTTATATTTTGCTGGTCTCTTGTTAACAGTGGAATAAGTTGGTTGTACTTTGTAGTTAGGCGGTATGGTAGCATATGGCGGTGTAGGTGGTTGATTTCGTAGCACTTCATAATTAGGGTCTGAATCTGAAGCATTATTGTCAGTCTTTGAAATATGTTCGTATCCATGATCACTGCTGATAATGCTATTAGGCCCACTATCCATAGTGGCATGGTTCAATTTTAACAAGTTATTGTTGGTGAAATTGGTGTTTGGACCAATTTTTTTGATATCTTTAACTGTTTCGTAACCGGGGTCTTGATTTTGCGAATTCTTACGTTCTTTGTGAGCAATTGTCTCATAACCGTGGTTTATAGACTTTTTGCGGTCGATAGTTTCGTAACCTGGATCGTCACCGCGGTATTTCGATGTATGATTATTACTTTCGTCGTTTGAAATATCTTTGGATCTTCTTACTGTTTCATCTGTTCTGCCTTTCGCCTTCTTCATTACTTTAGCATACATCTCTTCGACGTTCCGCGAAGGGCTTTCCGTCGTTCGTTGTTCAGAATTCATGCTCGTATTGGCGTCGGCCGATGAATAATCGCTGTATCCAGGTCCATCGATGGAATTATATAAATTGTCGGCGGGGTTTTCTCGTTGGTCTAAATCGAAATTGAGCTCTTTAGCGACTAGTGGTCTTATGAGATCACTGGAACTGAACCTGTGCTTCTCCACAGGATAGTTGCAGCCGTAAAAGTCTGATGAGCTGACACAGCTGTTGTTTCGTTGATGTTTTTCGTTGAGACTACGACGTAACTTGTCGTGACTGTGAAGATCCCCTGGAAAAGATTTTAATGTGCATTATTATATATTACATTATAATACAATAATCAAATGCCAGTAGAGTCATTACTATTTAGTGAACTTTGGAAACTGGGTTTTGAACATTTATTCAAAATTGTAGCAGTAGATAGAGGTAATGCTGCCAGTATCTTGGGTACGCTGCCTCGGTGTGGTGCGTTGGGAGATTACTTTTAATTGTTATTAGTATTTAAGGAATTTAGTAAAAAAAATAATAAATAAAAAAAAAAAAGCAGTAGATAAAAGTACTTTTGTAGCACGGCTACTAATAATTTAGCTTGGATCTGGGTGATCTAAAATGCTTCGCCAGATTTAGATGTCCTAATACATTTATTATTTTGGGTCCGGACTTTGGATATGATGGTATGGTATTTATCATATAATAATATTTTCCTGAGGTCTCGAATGTTCTGAATAAAAAAAAAAAACAATATGTATGATGAGAAACGTTACCCGTGCTAGATATGCGCTGGTGTGCGTGGTGGTGTCTGGAGGTTTGCGGCGGTGGCGGCGGTGGTAGTGGTGAGTTCGCCTGCCGTTTCTCCGGCTTCGGCGAGCCCGCCCCGACGGCGGCGCTAGCCACACTTGCCGCCGCCGTTGCCCCCGTCGAATTCGTACACGACGAGGACGATGCTGTAGAGATAAATATTTATTTGTCATCCCTATCAGCTCTGTACCATACATGTACTGAAAATCATTGGAAAAAAGGAGGGGGTGGGGGGGTTGTTAATAATGGTGATATAAGTGTCCATTACTAGCAATATATTCTATCAGATCAAATCCTGTGCGGTGTATTCTAGAAGCAATGCGATTAATTATTGATTTCTCGTCAAAATATGATCTGCTTTTATCTTCACCTATGGTAGTATCTATAACTGTATTGTATTGTATGTACATACACTCATTAGTACACCGCAAACATATACCGATAATGTTAGCAGGATTACAATTTCATTATCAATTATTAAATAGAGTAGGCATACTTTAACTCTAGAGTAGTCCTAAAATAGACAACTATAGAAAAAGTCAAAGTATAGTTATATAATAGTTTAATAACAAATAATAAAGTTTTATAGTAAAGTATAGTTTAATGAAATAACGATATAAATGAAGACACGATTCTTTAAAATAATTAACACAATCATAATAACTTTATCATTAAGTATTAATTATCGATTAATATAGGGGGGGGGGGGGGGAAGCATAGTAAAATATAGAGCAATTATAAATGTTTACATAAAATCTAGATAAATATCATTACTATTAGTTATTTAAAATATATCCTTATGAATAGGAATATTTACTTATAATGCTTACTCCTTACTCGCGACTCTACTCTCTGAATTTACAGGGTACAGAGGAATAACATCTAAATCCTCGGGAATGGCAACGCATGGGGGTATCATGGGCGAAACAGTATACTCTGTTATGTCCATGGTACTGCTTATGTCTCTAGGCGATGGTTCCATCAGGTGGGCCGTCAGCTTGTTTGCCATTCTAAGTTGTGTAAAAAAAATAGAATAGAAATAATCTTTATTCAAATGGACTTGTTTACAAGCGCTTTTAAATTGTAATTTTTTATGATTCTACCACTGGGTTCGGAAAGTTGTTTTCTGCTGAGAAGAACCCTCATTAAACTTAACAAACTCTTTTCAAATTAAGTACAAGATAATTTTATATTTATATAGGCGCTGTGATTATAATTAGTATTAAGTTCTATTATACATTCTGTATTTCTGTATCATTATATTATATTATATTCTATATCATTATACATTCTGTATTCTGTATTACCATGTGTAACAAATCACAATAACAAGTAGCTTTTTGACGAGAAAAAAAAATTAAAATATTGTCTTTAGTCAAATATTATGTTGTTGCCAAGCTACTGATATAAATAAAAACTATTCGAATTTGAAGGTATATTTACCTTGTCTGGAATGTGTAGCGTTGGACGAAGTTGCTCCAATTTCAGGCGGAGCGCTCCTTCTGCCAAAGATTTTTGTAAAACACATTGTCGAATACAATACTTTTAATTAAATAAACGATAAAATTATGTTCTCATTACATATATACATAATAAGATAGTGATAATTAAATGTTATCGATCGCAAAAAAATGATTTAACAAATACGATTTAAAATTGTGTGCTTAGGACGTAAAGAACATACCTTGCGGAATGTGCAGCATCGGCGTTTAGTAAGTCAGAAGAGGGAGCGGGGGCGTGTGCGGTAGCGGGAATAGGGGAGAGAGCGGGCGCGGCGGATGCGTCGCGGCGACGCGGCTCGGGCGCGATCTGGGCGTATGTGTCGGAGCCCTCGCCGACGCTCGCCTCCTCGATTGCCGCGTACGTCTCGTCTGCACCAACAGGAATTACGTTAGAATCCGTAAGTTTAGCGAAAAACGCGCTTTTTAAATAAATCTAAAAATGTCGCCAATATCTCTTTCGATAGTGAACAGATTTAAAATGTATATTAGTTCAAAACGAACAAAAAAGTTTTTATTTATTACTTAGGTAATTTAAACATAATTTGTATGATTTTAAGCGTAGTAGGTAGGTATACTACAAAGTTTGTATTTTCTTTAGTTGTTTTAATGTTCCAACAGTAATCGTTATAAATACATCATAAACATTCTCCAAAACATTAGATGCAGTACAGTATAGACATGAGCAGTACCATGGACATAACCATTTGCATGGACATTGCCATTCCTGAGGACTCAGATGTTATTCCTCTGTACCCAGTAAATTCACGCCATATCCCACCTTTCAAACCGAAACACAACCATGCAAACACAACTGCTTCACGGTTGAAACACGAATGGGACAGAGGTACCCGTAAGCAATCGACTTTTGTACAAAATTTGTTAGTTTTGATATTATTCATTACTAGAAATTAACTTACCCGAGTCATCAGATACTGTGGCGTAATGAGGCTGCGGTGGTTTTGTACTTTGTGCGCGTATGTTGCTAAGAGGCTCGCGGACTGATATGCTCGTGTATCCCTCTGAAAAAAAAAATAGTTTGAGATTTGTTACTTGCAAACTTAAAAGATTTATTTTATACAAAAAAAAGCTTATTTGTCTACAAATGTATAATACAATAATATAAGATAAAAGGACTATGAATATCTAAAAACATCTGTTTACGATAAAACATGGCTTTCAATGTAATGAAATAAAATAATAATAATAAATAATACCCAACCAGTCTGGTATAACGCTTCAGACGGCTGGGAGTCCGAGACTGATCAGGCCCGAAAAAGAAAGATGCAGAAATCGGTGCTCTTAGATACTGTCCGCATACTATGCCCGTTTCTTTCCCTGGCGCTTTAAACCCCGATCGTTTGTGCTTCTGTAAGGGGTTCGTTTGCTATCTCCTCTCCTCCTTAAGAGGGGAAATGTAAATCAGATAAAAAAAATATAATGACAATCAATAAAAAGGACATAACTGACGTCATTAGAAATTTCAATCGGACAAAATTTAACTGTGCCAAGAATTACGTAATGTAGATACGTTTACTTGAACGTCTTTAATTTTTAAACCATAATAAAATAAACTGCTAAGTATTTAATATTACTAAATCGAACACTTTTTACTTAAATAGAAGTGTCTGTCTTATCTTGTGATCAGTAATAATTTTAATCCACAGTTACAGACGTGACGTTATTTAATAATAGACATGACGTCACTTGTTATAGTAGCAATGTACCGACATAGTTAGCAACTCGCCATTTAAATTTGAACATTAAATATTGTGTGATTCATTACATTTATTTACAAAGTACATTATATAAAACTAGGGGCTCTCGTTGACCCCTTAAATAATTTACTTTTTAAATTTTCATTTCATCGCCGATTTCAGTTCAACGTCAGATATAGTTTTTGAGTTGTTTTTTCTATTAGATCCATAAAATATCTGATACATAAAAGAGCTTATCGTATGAAGCATGTTCCCTTTGCCTTTATTAACTTAATACTAAAATTTCAGTTACGGATCCTTAAGATGGTTGATAATAGGCGATAACAGCAGTAGCCTTGTAAATGTTGTAGTACATTAATACTTACAGGTATGTAGTTAGATATTTATCGTAAGACTAGTACAAAAATAATTCGTACACTGATAAAATATTTAATTAGCGATTAAACTCAAACTACGTTCGCAGGGTTTTAATCACAATTACTTCCTGTGTGATCGATTTTTCCTTTTATACAAATAGTTGACGTCCCCGTGACTTAGCTGACGTGATCGGGAGTTCAAACATATGAATTGATCCGGATCGACGGATATATCTAGTTAAATATTCTCCTTGTACTGTACTTATGAGTATTTATCAGAGGAAGACTTGTACAAAGTCGTTTGCTTGGACACCTCTATCCCATTCGTGTTTCTACCGTGAAGCTGTTCTGTTTGCATGTCTGTATTTCGGTTTGAAGGGTGGGATATAGCAGTAAATTTACAGGGTACAGAGGAATAACACCTGAGTCCTCAGGAATGGCAACGCATGGGGGGTATCATGGGCGAACAGTATACTCTGTTATGTTCATGGTACTGCTCATGTCTATAGGCGATGGTTATCACTTTCCATCTGATGGGCCGTCAGCTCGTCTGCCATTCTAAGTTGCATAAAAAAAATTTTATGTACGAGACGTTAAGGCGCCAAAACGAAAGATATTCATATTTTATCAGTAACCTAGATTATATTAATCTAAGGCTTAACATAATCTAAGATTAGTGAGGATATAAATAAATAAACCAATATAAAAGCGATTACTGTCAAACGATTAATGAATCGAAAATGACTATGTAAGTTTGAGACTCCTATAAGACCTACTACAAAATATATAATAATATTAAGATCTTTTTCGTTTCTATTTGTTCGTTCCTTTTAAGATAAAGTAAATAATAATAACAAAAGTATTAATATTAAAAAGTGCATTTACTTGCTTTTGCTATTGTGTTGGGACTAGTTATTTATTTTTATACAAAATGAAATAAATGTAATTAAATTTTTAATGACTATCTGTGTCAAAATAAAATAAAAAAAAAATTAGGCAACTGCTTAATCTAACTAATAGAACTGTAATAATTGAACGAAGTCTCTACATTAAAGGTTTTTAAGAAAAAAAAAATCGATATCAGGGATCTTAAGAAGCCAAAACAATCATTTTTGGAATTTTTGTCTGTCTGCCTGTCTGTATGTTTGTTTCATTATCACGTCACTACTACAGCAAATTTAATGCGGTTTTCATATCGTGTCTCTGAATGTCTAATTTAAAATATGGTATATTTTCTTGATATGCGCCATCTAGAAGTGATTTTCTATTTACAAAATTCACGCGTGCAAAGTTGCGAACAGAAGCTTGTATTATATAAAAATATTCATAGTAGATGAATTGACAACCAAAAACGAGCGTATAATAGTTTTGCGTGAATAAAAACAAATCATCGCGTGTAAATTGATCATGTTCGATAACTATTTCAATCATGTTTACATACTTACATACATAATTCAATACAATCTCTTGGTATAGAGATAGGTGTATTTAAATTTTGATAATGTTTTATCAGTATTTATAGGTATAAGTAATTAGTACAAAGGTTTTGTCTGAGAGATTAACTTTCAATTGATTTCAGAAAGTTTTTATTTCGTTTGCATTTTATATGATGTCTTCCGTCAATATCGAACGGACTTTGACAGTTTTTATTTGAATTACTCACGTCTCAAGCATCAGTTTAAATATTCTTAAATATTTTGAAGATCCAAGTATGCGCCGATTGGGGGGAAAGGGATTGTTAGTAATGGAGACGAAAAATCCCATTGTTAGCAATATACCCAACCAGGTCGACCTCCACGTGGTTCTCCCTGGAAACTATCATGGTTAATTCCTAAGGAATTCATCATGATGGGCTAACGGGCCTGTTAACATTCTCATCAATCACCCTTCATTGGTGCTCCGCCAGCATATTCCGTTAGCGCAGGCGGGGTACCATTCCATTTTCATCCATCAAAAAAAAAAAAGGAGTATGCGCCGATTTAGAAAATATTGCTTCTTAAATTGACCGGACCAAGAATCGAAAGCGGGGATTAAGAATAAGAAGAAAAAGGATTTAGGAATATGTTTTAAGAAAAGCAATACCTATGACTATGCTCCTAAGTCATGGAGGACATTAAAAAAAGATTATGTATAAAAATTAAGAGTGTTTTTCCTTTTATTCTTACTATTTCTTCGACATTTGAATTTTATTAGATCTAATTTTTACTACCAATTGGTAATAATAATTTTTTAATACAGTTGTATAAAATAGTTTTTATACAACCTGGGCATGCAATAATGGTTCGCTTGATCGTAAATGTTTAAACAAATATTTAGATATTAATTCAACTTACTAGCAGAGTCTGTAGAATCCCCACTAAAATGAACAGTAGTATCTGTATGTGGCCTTGGCGACGGAGGTGTAATGTATGGTAACTCTTGACTTGACGGCAGTTGTCCACTTATAGCCACCGAAGCAGATATAACTACTGACTCTGTAAAAAAATAAAATAATTTATTTTGTGTCCGATATATTTCCTAGATCTATCGTCATATAAAATACAACATTATTTTTTAGAATTGGTACTAAATGGACAAAAGTTATTAAGAAATGTTGCGACCTCTTCTAATATGGGGTGGGCGAGGGGCAAAGAATTACTAGTAATGGGGAGAAATAATCCCATTGCTAGCAATATGCCCTGTCATCATCATCATTGTAATCCTTAATTGGTACTCCGCCAGCGAATACCTACGGTCAGCATAAACGGGGTTACCTCCGGGGTTTTACTATCACCTATTAAAAATAAAAAATAAAGTCCTCTAATGTAGTATAATATTTACCTAGATCCATATGCTCATCACTAGTAGTAATCAGAGGCATTTGTTAACTGTGGAATACGTAGTTCTCGACTTAAGCCACGTTGGATACTAACGACAAAATCACATTTTGTCGAGCATATTAGATAGACAGATAAATAATTTATTTGTATCACTTACAGCACACAAACAGCAAAAGACACAAATGCAAAGTGAAAAAAGATAAAAAAAAGATACATGTACAAAAAATAAAAAAAATAAAACAAAATCAGAATGCATAAAATTTGTAACAATTTTTTTTCTTCATGCGTGTGCCACAGTAATACAAAATGGCCACAACTCAACTTTTTGCTTTGCCCTAAAAAGAGCAAAACACTGATATTCTGTTGTGGCCAAAAGTGATTAGTATCCAATGTAGCTTGGAGCGAGTTTATTATCAGTATATATTGCCTATTGAAACACATTATAGAAATTATTATTGCCTCATAAAATCCTCAGTGGATATATTTATGAAAAATTAATATGGACGCTCTTAATAACGGCAATAAAACCCGAAAGAATAATTTTTGAATTTTTGTTTGTCTGTAAATTTGTTCCGGCACCACACAAAAACTATTGCACTTAATTTCATGCAGTTGTCATAAATGTGATTCTGATGGTCTAATTTAAAATACGGTGTATGTTTCATCTTGATACGTCATTTTAGTCTATATAAATAGTGGGTAGAAAAATAATAATAAATAATAAAAGAATATTTATAATAAGGAATATTTCAGATACAGGTTTTATTCATTGAACATATAACGGCCACCACTAATACTAAACGCGATCCTTCCTAGAGGTCACGATCTCACGACCACAAGATTGAGAAACAGTGATTTAGATTAAATAGATACTAAACAAAGAGGTAACCGAGTGCCAAAGGCAAATCTTCCTAAATTTCTTTTCTTGTGACACTTACGTCTAAAAAGGAAAGAAAGATGGATGTAGCAGGCTTGGTCTTCAAGCTGGTTATTATAAGGGAGTGAAAATGACAAGGATAGAGACCATAGGCGAAAGTTAGATTAGTCAGTCAATGATAACATTGATATTGCAGACTACTTTTGTCTAAAATTACATATAATTTAGCTTCGAGTTAATACATTTTAGTAATTTTGTGATTAATCTGTACAAGTAGGTACACTATAATTATGTATTTGTTTTATTATGACGCACAGTTATTTATAGTGGCATTGTGATGAGCCATATGTACAAGAACTAGCAAAATTAAATGCAAATATCACACAGAAATACATATATAAGTAGATATGAAACTCAATTATGTATAATAATTAAATTATTACCTAATTCATATGTACTACTAATATCTATACTAAGTATATAGACGGAAAAATAGTGTAAAAATATTTGAGACATAATATACGGTATTTAGAAAGGTTCAGTTTCTTTGTTATTATCGCTGTATTTTGGAATGTTGTACCTTTTGCGTTACATTTCATATAATATCATCACTTTAAGAATCTTCTGCTTTGGTTAATTCTAGTGGTAAAGTTTTTTAATAGAATATTATTCATTATTATTATTAATTCCATTGGCAACAATTATTGTTAGGAGTACTGAATGAAGATCTGATAGTTGTAGATGCAATATCTACGTAGGTAGTTATTGCTATTTAATTAACATTTGTATTAATATCTATTTGTAATGTAATGTAAAGTATCACACAAGCCCAAGAGGTTTAAGTGGTACTAAAAATCCATAGCTTTTTTTAATGTATTTGCATGATAATTAAATTAAAAAAATATCCTAATACGAATAATAATAATTTACTAACAAACCTGGGCCCGATGCTAATGCTTCTCTTTCGTCGATCTGAATATCACTCTCAGATCCTTGGTCTGGCGTTATTTCTACGGTACTGTAAAATGAAGGCAATGTGATAAAATTATTATAAAAGAGTTAAAATATTAAATAAGTAAAAGTGCTTTGCAATGGTATTTATTATCTATAGTAGTGTATTTATTATATTGATATTGGATAGTCGATTTGGGAATAGAAACCCTTGTTCTACTTTTTATCAAGTCGTGTCTCTTTCTGTAAATGTACATATAACTATATATATGTTTGTTCATGTACATCTGACTACAAAAACGGTAAAACGTGGCGTTCAGACAAAGATTAAAATAACAAATTATACAGATAGAAACAGTAAGGATTACAAGATACTAACATATTGTGAGCATCACTTTGAAGTTTAGCATATGCATGTTCATATGGATGGTCCCTGCCCGTGGACGTAGTCGCAACAGCTTTGCTTCCTGTTAAAAAAGACAGCTATTTATTTAAGTTATTTGATTATCTAAGAGTTACGAAATCAATAAAAATAATTCACGACGGTAAGCACCTTTCAGATTTAATTGCCGATATTACTCGTCTTATTGATTTTATCGCCCATGCGATATCATGTATGTATACTACTTATACGTAATTAGAATACGCTTCTTAAAATTTACGTTAATTTTTTTTATCATGTGCCGCATAGATGATGTTTTTTTTTTCAGTAAACTGACTTTGTTGCTTGCTTTTTACTTATGATGTTACCTTTTTAATTATTGTAATTAGGAATATATATACGAATATTTTAAATAAGATTTAGTTTAGGCAAAAAGACAATACTAGCAGCAACCCAGTAGAAATTAAAACCTTGGTAAGTCATAAGCTCGATACAGTGGACATCTTTTATATATTTTAGAGCCATTCAGGTCATGGAATTTAAGGAGATATTCATTGGCGATGTAGTCTAATGAATCAATATAAAATATAAGTCTTCGTTTATGTGAAAAGCTTTATTAAAATCGGCATCCTAATGAAGGTGGAGATGGGTGTGACACGAGCCATTTGTTTGAGTCACACATTATCACACAAAGAATAATTAAAACTTCCCTCAGAGTAGATAAACAAAATTATCTTTAATGATAACTACAAAAGTTGTTAAGGAATACAAGAAAAAAAAAAATATTTATATAAAATATATTAATATTAATATGGGCGTGGAACATTGTGCCACTTTCTATTCAAATCGACATTGTCGATTAAAGAATTTGATATAAGGGATTACCGATGATATTATAATAAAAAAAAGATGCGATTACCTAGTAAATTGTTAAACTTATTTATTTATCAATTAAACAATGTATTTGATCGTGAATAAAAAACTCATTAATTAGATTTAGCTAGAACAAAATATATTTAAGAACCTTGCACAAAATTTGCACAGCAAAAATTTAGTTCTTAAATGTTTAATAAGCGTAGATGTAACAAGTGTAAATGTCTTTTACACAATGTACCATCAATATGTAAACTTATTATAAATAATTATGATTTACCTTCATCCAAATTTACAGTTGCATATATTATTTCAGATGCTGTATCCCCGCTATCATGCCGACCCACTGGATGTGGATGTGGAATCTCTGGTAAACTTCTTTGACTGTTTTGTGTTGATGCTCTGCGACAGAAAATAAGCACGTTATTGATTCCTACATTTACATTTAAAGTAGAAGAATGTTAGACAGTAAACATTCTATTTAGATAAGCTATAAACGATCCATGCTCGTTTGTTAAAAGTATTAAAGAAAAAAAAAATTGTTGTTAATAACAAAAGATAACACAAAATTATTTCCGAATCTTTGTCTCTCTAATTGCATGATTCTTGCAGTCACATTAATCTAAAATTATTGAGTTAATGTAAGTGCAATTCTTTCTGTTCGATAGCTTGGGTTTTGATATTTAAAAATAGTACTAACTACATTATCTTCTATTTCTAATATAGAATAAAAATTAGATCCATGCAAATACAATGCGGCTATACAGGACCTAATAAAAATTATTTGAGGTAACCGATTTCTCAATTTTTACAAATGATTTTAATTGAAATTAATATAGGTGGAGATTTTGATAATAATTAATGTTAATATTTAACTATGAACAGAGGAAAGTCTAAAATGGAATACGATACACAACTCCCTTTCAAACTTACTCGTTTGAGAAAATCATAAAGTACTTACTTATAATAGTTCGTAAATCATAAAGTTCGTAATTAATTCACACATTATGAATCTATACATAATATTTATCAATTATCTTTTATTAATATTAATTGATACAAAAGGAGTAAAATCTTTATAGCATAGAATACCAAGTACATAGTACTTTGATTCCTTTAGTCTTTTAGTGGTGGGAGTTTGTCTTTAAGAAAGAATTGCCATATTTAATAAACTTAATATTAAAAGTTTTATCATCACTTTCAACAATTCTACAAATATATTGTAACTTAATTTTCATAGATACAAAAGGTTTGAAATCTAACATTAACAAATTTGGAAGTATAGATACTTAATTAAATTAAAAGAGAGTTGTTAGTATATGTAGTAGGGTTACAATAATTAAATGTAATAATTCTAATACATTATAAATTAAACAATAAAATAAATTTATACAACATTTAAACATGCAGTGATATCTATTAGTACTAAAAACTAAACAAAAAATACATACGCATAATATGATAATACCCATCACATGGGATTAATTATTTCAATAACAAATGACAATAATATATATTGAAAAGTAGTTTTATATGGTTAATAATCGATATTTTTCCTAGTTTCCAATACACATAGACCATTTTAAGGATTATAATTTTTAGAAAATTCTAATTATTATTTTTTTATTGAAAATGTGTCAATATAGGTATATTAGATTATTTGATGGTATGTCAGGGTAATATTTACATTAAATGAAATGGTCAACAACATACAATAAAAACAAATATTAATATAAACTATTTTCATTCTGTGTCAAGCTTAGTTAATTTTTCTTATAATCTATATTGTTTATTGGTAACATTTGGTTTTGTAAACAGGACATGTGAGCATTTACTGTCCTTTAGAAACACTTTAGAAAAAGCCCAGTGAAAAGTAGAGACTGAAACAATAGAAGGGTCATAAATTGCTGCCCTGAGGAGGACCAGACATAAGCTTATAAAAATCTGGTGTTTTTTTTTGCGTTATACTTATCTTGACACGCAATACTAAGGCTAATAAATATTAAAAGTTGGAAGGAAAGGAATTGTTAGTAATGGAGACTAAGGGCCCTATTGCTAGCAATACACCACCCAATCAGGTCGACCTCCCCATGGCCCACCCTGGAAACCATTGTGCTGAATTCCAAGCGCATTTAACACAATGTTTGGCCTTTTTCATTTTCATCTATCATCCCTCACTGGTGCCCCGCCAGCGTATATTGTTAGCGCAGGCGGGGTTACCATTCCATTATCATCTATTTAAAAAGAAATGTTAAAGATTAATTTATGTTAAGACATACCACCAAGGGATATTCTATCGAAGGCTTATTCAACATGGAAAATGGCAAAAAATTTTGTTTCATCAAAAAATCATTTAACAGCATGTTTTTACGAAACTTATTATTAGATAGTATAATAATGTAGAAATGTTATAACGATGTGTCAAATTATGCTAAGGATTATTATACATTTGTAATAGCTGGTTAGTTCTAGGTAGAAGGCTAATCAATATACACTAAGACAATTTTTTTATAGTAGTCATATTTAGATAATATTGTGATGAGAAAGATAGTTAAAATTACATAGATACATTAGTTAATGGTTAGTTTATTTCAAAATGCTACAATAAATTTTAAAGTGATGTAGATATAGGTATAAAATTTTCTAAAACAAGCGCCAAGAAGAGGAAATTTCGTAAGATCATACATATAGCAGGATAATATTACAGTTTATGTTCATAGTAAAGAGGATATTTTATCTCAGTGCTATGAACGTAAATAATAATAATACACGTAACTGTCGGCCTTTTCTATATTGCATTCCTTATTTCTTGGTATTGATTAATTTATTAAAATTACTAAGCTATTATCTAAGCTAGAAGTGTCTGATAAGGTGTGACCACAAGTGTATGATAAGACTTCACTTTTTAAATATACAGAATATAAAAATAGGTTATTAATGTTTGTTATTTCAAACAGGGTCAATGCACGAAATTCCTTCTTCTTGTGGTGCATGCTTTAGTGGTCGTGATATTGTGCAACTTGCCTAGGTATCACCATCTTTTTGTTTTCAAAACTAAGTAGCAATGTTTGTATTGTTATATTTCTTTTTTAAGGATAAGACAAGCCATACAATTTTTGACATAAAAGGGAACAACATTTTTGTTTATGTTTTTAGGTGATGGTTACCATTTCCACTGCCACTACCAGTAGTAAAAAAATCTAAATAAAACATATGTTTTAGTACCATTATTCATTCAGTCAGTATGTTATTGTTTGGGTTATATATTTTTAAGACATGCTAAATCTAGCACAAACCGCTTGATAGAGGCCGGAGTGGTAGGTGTTGGAGACGGTACTTCTTCATCAAAACGGATTTTGACCACACCGGCCGTACCCACCAATTCACTTCTGTTAAATATAAGAATTTATTATCTACCTGTTAAATTACAAAAACACTTATACTAAAAGCCAATATACAATAAAATCTCTGATATGCTTTTTTTTTACATTTTATAGTGAATATCACAATCATATGCAATTTCTAATTTAAAAAATATATTTCTTTCCATATACAAATTTGTCCAACATAGATACACTTTTGTTTATTGGTGGCTTCATTAATATTGGAAGTATGGTAAATATTAGAAATCATGTAATCATACAAATAAAATAAATTTCTTATGATATGACATGACATTATGATAATGATTATAAGAATGCTGTATTGTGCAGACTGATGCAGTAATGAAGGATTAAGACTGCCTTATTCATAAAAACTCTTATTGTACCTTTATAGAGCTCTTTAGTTAAGACAATAAAAACATTAAATAAAATTGTTATTTATAAATTCTCAATAAGCCCTGTTTAAGTAAAATATGGGAGGATTTACACTATTATGTAAATACTGTTATGCAGGTGAGGTTACTATACCATTATCATCCATGAAAAAAAAAGTCAATTATTATAATAATTTAGTAATTTGAATAAAAATTGTAAAAAAAAGAATTGTAATAAATTTACTATAATTTTGTATTTACAATTAGGAAAATATACTAAAGACAATTTAATATTAAATCACAAATTAAACATCCCAAATTAATAAATCTATGAGAATAAGTAGCATTTAATATACTCATCACTAGGATGAGTGGTCACATTACATTTTATTAATTTTAATTTATATAATTTATCCATATTTTAGGACATAAAAATAAATCATAGAATGTTACATTATTCCCATTAAAATAAAAAAAAAAATGTAGGCATAAAAGCTTGTGTCTACATAAACATATTATAATTATAACTTTGTTGTACCATTATTTCACATTCTAAACTTCTTAGGTTGCTGTAGTGCATTCATGAATAACATTTTTTGATATTACAGCATCATTCTGTCATAACTAACTATAGTTTTCATTTAGTTCAATAACTACTGAACAGTTATAGCAGTTACTTATAGTCATTTTACAGTGTGTTGATGAATAAAAAAATTTATAAACATATTATTTCCTTGTTGTAGAGGGCTTATAATGGGTTAATAATTTATTACACAGCATTGGTGTGATGCAGATACATCAAACCAATACTATGGAATTGATTTACTAACTTTTCATTTTTAATTTAATCTTTTTGGCAATTTTACACAAACTACTGTGAATCATGCAATGTCTAAGAGCAATTTAAAACCAATTAGATTTAAATTTCATTTCTCAAATTTCTCTTTGCATGATAATATTAAATGGAAAAGATTGTACCCTATATAACGTTTCACTTAAACTTTAGATTTAAATCCAATATACTTATTTAAAATTAATTTATTACACAATTGATACTTAAACTGAGCATAAACATGTGTTTTAATATAAATAACAAAATCCTATTGCTACCCATGGACAAACTCAGATGGATGTTCCAAGTATATCAGTAATATATCCTAAATAGTTTTCTAAGTCGTTGACATACTAAAATTTCTTAAGTATTCATAACAAAATTTTTTATATAATACTTAATAAATTATTTGAAATTCTATAAGGACTATGGAGAAATAGGTAGGTTTATTGTTAAACATTTTAATAAATTGCTTAAATTTGATCCTATAATTAAATAAATATACGTATATTTTTTAAATAATATTGAGTACTTACAGCATCAATAGGGAAGCATAATAATGCAGATAAGACTATGGATCAATTATTATTTAATAATAATATAAGAAGTTTGACTTACTTCTGATTGGAATTTTTGCAGCCACAAACACATGCCGAGACTGCTGTGACAAGAGCTCCAAACACTCCTACACTAATAGCAATTTCTATTAGAGTATACATTTTATGCACTTCTTAGTTAACCCAATAACAGCGGATATTCGAGAAATGTTCCATAGCAAAAGTAATGTTAAGTCACTTCTGTAAAAAGAAATGCTTTAGGCACAGAACTCTCTTCCATTTGCGTAAAAACAGTTGAAATGTAGGGCACTGGTTCTAATGAGAACATAAGCTGTTAGCCAGTGAATAGATAAATATTAGCGTCACTATTGGCACCAATTTTTGGGTAGACTTAAATGGAATATCTTCGATAAGTACTTATAATATGAATGGTCATCGTAGTACTCTTATATGAGTAATAAATTTGAGGAATTCATAGAAGAATAGTAAGTACAAAATTGAATGATAAATAATTATTACCACAGAATATCTACTTTTTTTTTAATATGGCAAGGGGCTGATATTGCCTATTATGCATATAAGCCTTAGAACAAGAATTACATAGAAGAAGTGATGAAATAAAAATTGAAACTTATATAATTGCCTTCTTTCTTTTTATGAGTAAAAAAAGGACGAAAGATACACCATCAGTTGATATATATATATATATATATGATTTTGTCTGTATCGGTATTCTATGTTGTTTTTAGTGCGCATAACAAATATCGCCACAGTTAATTTAATTTATATACATACGCTTCTATCTAAAAACAAGAAATTGCATGGAAGTAATGATAAAATAAAAACTATAAATCATATTATTGCCTCCTTTCTTCTTATACAAATTTAATTAGTAAAAAGAGGACGAAAGATAAAATACCAGATGCTATTTTTCTTAATTCATAGCAGGCTAGTTTACAAAAAAAGGTTATACAGCCGTATAATTCTACTAAATTCAAAAAATAAAAAAACGGTAAAATTTGTTATTGTCAAATAATTTGCTAGGAGTATGTGTTATAGATATACGACTTAATTATCTGTGTCTGTCAATGATGATGTCGTTGCTAAGCATCTTGTTGATTGTAACATTTTATTCTGCTTATTATACGTATTTAATATCGCTTTCTGTTTTCCGCTTTAATATAATTAACATATCAAATATTATGTGTATCTTTCGTTCTCTTTTTACTAATCATATTTGCATAAGAAAAAAGAAGCCGACTATGATTTGTTATTTTCATTTTATTATACCTTCTAATTTTTGTTTTTAGGCGTCTATCTAATCTATTTTTCGAGAAACTTGTCTGAGAAGCTTCGCAATATTTACAAAATGCCTATCATTTGTGAAATCACATACTTCTCAAAAGTTCAAAATCTTATTCTAGTTTCTATTTTTGGAAGATTTTAAAAGTATTCCATATTTAAATGTCAAAATTGTACAAGTACGGAGGTTAATAATTGTAATAATATAATTTGATAATAATAATTAATATAATAGTAAAAAAAATAATGTTTATTTCCAAATATTCTTATCTATGACAAGAGAAGAAACAATCTTTACGTTATTTAAGAGTCAGCACTTTCCTTACATTGATGAAATTTAATGCAACCGCCTAGAAATATCAATACAATAAAACAAAATAAAAATATAATTTTGTACAACTTTTAATAATATGCTTTTATACATAATACTGACGTCGATAGGTATCATAAAAAGTCTAAATAAACTATTTATACAGTACAATTTTCCCATTCATTGAATTGGATACATAGATTTTTTTTATAAACGGTACTTTATTCGAAATGAAGTGTCTTTGGTTTTTTAAAAAATTGTAAATATTGCAATGTCGGCGTTGCCGTATTATTTGTCACATTTTGTTTGAATTTTTGAACTTTTCCGTTAGCAATTTCACGTATATAATTTTGTGAATATATTAGAACACTGTCTACAGTAATGTATTATTGTGAAATTCTGTAAATAATACTGAAAAATACGTAATATCAGTGTTTTAATCGTGTTTCAAACCATTTATAAAATGGTATTTTAACCTCATTTTAAATTTTACCCTAAGATTTAACTTTTATAATCTTGTCATGGAAGCTAAAAGTGAGATTTTCTCACAAAGACTAATAGTCGCCGTTTTGTGGAATATTGGATTACAAACATTACTTGCTATACTATTAATATCAATTATACAAGTCGACTTAATTCATCCGATATCATGGATCACAGCAGCGTTTTCTGAAATCTTTGGTTGGAAGATGGGCCTTAACATTGTACTTCTGGGACTGGTTTCATTTTTTCAAGCATATATCTACGGCAATTATTTCATGATACCATTACCTAAATATTTTACCCGGTTCTCTATATTTCTAAATATATTTTCCTTACAAAATGTTACTTTTAGCATCCTGTATGCTTTGAGTGGATATTTTACAATGAGTCTTTACTCTTCATTAGCGAAAAATAATTTTAATACACTCAAAAAGAAATGTGATTATTATGATGGACAATGCCTCATAGAACAAAGTTTATTTCTACAATTTGGTGGAATGTGGATTGGATTATACTACTTTTTGAATTCACATGTATTTCGCCCAACAATTCCTTTATTTTCTCATGTTTATCAAGATAAATTGCAACAGATTAAACTGGCTATTAGTAACATATTATCAACAGGTTTTAAGAATTCTGCAATGCCTGTTGCATATTATTGTATTTTTTATATTTTATGGGGTAATAAGCCAAGAGCTGTAGTATCAGATGTTTACAGTCTTTATCTTGAAGATCCACCTTTAGATAATATATTAAATTTATGTAGATCGGGCATTTGGATTGGACTGTGGTTTTACACAAGCCTATTTTTTGTTTCCGTGTATACTATGAAAACTGTCTTCAATATTGTACTTACAGAACCAATGAAGTTTCCTATTGAGTCTGATATCAGCTTGACTTTACATAATGCTTTAGCACAGAAATCACAATTTAATGGTTACTTGGCTGCACAAGATTTACGAATAATGTCAATGTCTGACTCTGCACGGAGGTTGCAAATCTTCACACTTTCTTTGCCTGGAGGCCATCCCCGTAACTGGAGTAACTTGTTGGAGAAATGTTTGGATATAATCAAAGATTTTACAAAAGAAATAGAATATTTGAATGGAGATGGTAAACCAGTTGACATTGATACTACTGGTCAAAGAAATTTTATGAGTTTTAGCCCTAAATCTACATTGTATACAAATAATTTAAGAAACATGGCTCAATCTCCTCAGTTGTTGGAATTGAAAGATCATAATAAAAACATGGTTGACAATACATTTGCTACTACCGTTAAAGAAGAATGTAGTACTATGCTACATAAATTGTGTCAAAAACCTGGTATAAATTACTTTTTTGGTGAACTAACAGATACAAAATTAAAATATTTGTTGACACAGTCTCAACCTGTTATGTGGACCTGTGAAGGCTTAGCTTTTGTTGTAGCAGCCTCATTGAGAGAGGATAAATATGGAGTAGTCCAGAATGATCTCCCTAAAATTATGACAAATTTGATTAATCTCAAACAGAATTTAGACAAACTGACGAAACCTGGTCTCATACCCAGGAAGCATGTTCTTAGTGATGCTATTGCGATTAAACTTAGAAATGCCCTGATCTCAACAGTAAAGAGGTGCATTTATAAAATAGTTTTGACTTTTTCTAAATACATACATGAAATTCCTTTAGATCCTGATATTCAAATTGCCATACAGCCTTTTTTGTTGTGTAAAGAAGCGTGATTGTGATATTAATTAAGTACTTTCTTCTTTGGTTTTAATGTTATTGTAATAAAAAGCTATGAATTCAAACATTTCTTTTATTAAAATTTTCTAAAACTGTAAATAATAAAATCAATAAAATTATCACATTTTTGGCTAGACACACATGAGAAATTGATTTCTCTTTGTTTACAATTAGTATTAATACTAATTAACAATTATATTTTTTTTCTAAATTTATATTTTATTTTACTCCTTTTTTGTGAAAGTTTTAGTGGGAGGCTATATTAATTGGTGTTCAGTTACAAATGAAATTATCATTATTTCAGTTAGCTGAATGATTTCATTTGTTATATTTGACAGCTTTAGGTTATATTAGCCTCACAGTACATTTAAATAATAAAATTTATAATATTGCAATTTATTTAATATTTTCTAAAGTAGGTATTCTAAGTACTTACCAGAAGTTAGCATTTGTAATCATGGACAATTATATACGTAATATTAATCTATATTTTATCTATATAGGAATGTAATAGCCATAACACAGAATATCATGTAATTTATTGGATAGTTCAACTATATAATTGTAGTTTAGTTATACTATTTTTAGAATATTATAAATATTAAATAAAATAAAAAAATATATACATAATTATTACCTACTATAACATTATATTGAGACAGATTTCCATATAGTTTATCCGAATATTGGAAAGGGTTTATTCTGGAAGCCTATGACGGCGGGCAGTATATTTTTGTCATTAGCACAGTAGCTATGAGCGGTTAGAATTATTTCACTGGATTAGTTTACTAACATTGATTTTATATTGTCAGCTGTATTTTTACAAATATTTGTCTGATTTATTTATTTAATTTATTCTTATACTTTCAAATAGTACTATCATAATCATATAGACTTCTGTAGACGAGGTTTATTTTTTGTTTAAATTACATACTCGTTTAAACACATGTGGTTTATAGTGTATTTGTTATTCAATATTTTATAATGTGACTGGCTTTTACCCGCGACTCCGTCTGGTGACCGGTATAAGTTTACTGACTGGGTTAAAAAGTAGCTTATTCTCCATTCTATATAGCATGTGTATATCAAATTTCATACTGATTGGCTAAGCTATTAAGGCGCTATAAGGTAACAAACAAACTCGCCTTCAAATTTATAATACTAATAAGGATGAACAAAAATGTATACCGAAGATTATCTCTCGTCTGCGCTTTTTTAAATTAATAAAAAATATGTTAGTAAAATTTTACTGTTTCGGTGAACTTTTACAATTGTTAACTATTTTTTATATCGAAAAATAGAAGCAAACTAAATATTTAGATATTATAATAGATAAAAAATTAGATATTACTAAAACAAAATATAACGTTTTTTTATCTATACGGTTCTAACATATAACTAATATGGATTATGACTGGACGATTAAATGGATAGAAGTAGTAGATACTTATTGGAAATTCAACTCGGTGTTCGATAATTTGTTTACATAATTTGTACTTTAAAGTAGGGTATCTTCATCACGTAGATCGCTGCCGAGTAAGGAGCGCTGGCTAGCGGCGCCTAGTAGCGCTGTCCGTTCCGCCGACGACGTGGCCGAGTCGCAGCTTAGAGATGCTGTACAAACAAAATAATCTTTATTTATTTAGGTAAAAATATTTTAAGAAGAAAATGAGGATATAAATTTTGAATCACTGCTTTTGGCGGGCACATTCACTGATGACATAATGTCACTATTTTATGGGGCCGGATAGCTTTTGAAACAAAAATGGGATAGTTACTCGAGTGTTTTAGGAAATAGACTTAGGTATATATATATATATATATTGTATAGTCGAATTAGATGATTGAATGTAACTAATGGTGGTATGTACTTCTCCAGAAGGTATTAAATATTATAGAAACTAAGAAGTTGAAAAATACAGATTGGAAGAGGAAAGAGTTGGCTTCCGGTTGTTCCCACAATAGTTTTTGGAATGAAGTAGGTTTTTTATTGTAAAAAAATCACAATTATTAGTAGACAGATGTATTTATTTCTTATTGTAAAGGAAAATAGTAGTATCTATTACAGTATAAGTAAAAGTGAAATGGGTGACAGAGAGTAGAGCAGGAGAGAGGGTACTCGTTATAATGTGCGGTACATACGAAGACGTGTTTACCGTCGGGGCTGGCGTGCGGCGTGGCGCTGTCGCTGCGGCCCGCCTCCGGCGACGCGAGCGCCGCCCCGCGGGACCGCAGCGACCCGCCCGGCGACTCCGTCATCGACGCTTGCAGGCTGTAGCTCTCTCTGCACCACACGCGATAAACAAACCCATTTTTTATTCATATCAACCAGATGTTTACATTTTTTACCCGACACAGCGTGACGAAAATAAAGTACCTTTAGTCTTTAGTTTGCTACCCTGTAAGTAGTTACACATCATACGAGGTTTGTCCGGAAAGTACGTATAAAAGTTTTTTAAAAATTTTATTTTACAATTATTCAGGTAAATCAATTTTATCCCCTTCAAAGTACTCCCCCTGTGACATAATGCACTTGTGCCAACGCCGTTTCCACTGTGAGAAGGCTCCTTGAAAGTCCTCTGGTTGTAGGTTTCTCAGCTGCCCCGTCGTAGCTTTTTTTATCTCATTTATGTCCCCCAAATGCCGCCCCCGAAGTACCAATTTGGTTTTTGGGAACAAGAAGAAGTCACACGGGGCCAAATCCGGCGAATAGGGGGGGGGGTGTTCGGTCACCGTAATGGAATTTTTACTCAAAAACTCACGGACAACAAGAGAGGTGTGGGCAGGGGCATTGTCGTGGTGAAGAATCCAACGCCCCTCTCGCGCCAATTCTGGACGAACTCGTGCCACACGAGCTTTGAGGCGTCTGAGCACATCGACGTAGAATTTTCCATCAACTGTCTGGCCTGGAGGGACGAATTCTTGATGGACAATCCCCCGAACATCGAAAAAAACAATCAACATTGTCTTGACATTTGAGCGGGATTTTCTTGATTTTTTTGTTCGTGGTTCCCTGGATGTCTTCCACTCTTTGCTTTCACGGCCATTCTTGCCGAGTTTCGAGAGAAACTTGATTACGACGCGCTGCTCTTCAACGGAAGCGGGCTCCATGCCGACGGGGTTTCGTTAAGAGGTAACTTCACAGATGGCGTGACAAGCCAGTTCGCACCGCACGGCGGTCAGACCAGAACTGAAGCATTGTTAGGGACATAAGGAAGGGGTCCTGCGCTTACCTGGCCTCCCCACTCCTCTTTCTCGCATTCCAGAACACTTTTATACGAACTTTCCGGACAGACCTCGTAAAACATAATATCTAATATAACAAATACATTCCCTTTAAAAATGTGAATAAGTACATACTATCAACAAATGCATTTACTACGAAACTGTATTAATTAGATAAACCATAGTTATTAATTATTCTAATAAAAGTTGCGGGCAAAATAAATATGCTTTTATAATTTATTTTAGATACACAATATCGTCCAATTTATTATTATGATTGAATAGGAGAGCAAGATAATGTATGCTGACATATTTAAATTTTCATGTTATTTTTTCTAAACACAATTTCTAACCTGTATCCAGAGGTGGAGGATGTCTGAGAAATCTCACTGTCGTAGGAGGTGTCTGTGTGTGCGTTGGTTGGCTGCAGTAGCGGCTGCGTCGGCCATACGCATACCCGTCGCAAAGGCGTCGTGTCCATTCCATCTGCACCCGGTGACGAGCACTCGTCCGACTCTAGTCGCACGTGGGACACCTATCACGTGACGACATCACGTGAGTTTTACGTAGTGTTCCCATGACAAGCTTTAGGAAAAATGTAATGGTACCCCGCCTATTCTATGTGTTAACTCTACTACTAGTAGTACTATTGGTGTCCGTTATAGGTGATAGGTGATGAATTTATTTGATGATTATCAAGCGGAAATTGGTATAACTTTATGTGAGTGCGTTTTTATAGTGTTCAAGAAAGAAGCAGGTATAAAAAAACACATGAAATAGAATAAAAATATACAAATATATAAAAACGCTGCCAGCCCAAGTTGCCAGCAATAGGCATATTGGTAGCAATTGTGAGATTTTTGACAGAAAGTAGAATTAAGATAAAAACAAATATATAAAATTTATTATAGAATATGTTTTAGTTACAGATTAGAATATAGATTATAGAATAATACGTTTTGAGTAAAAAGATCATATAGGCTAAATTACGGTTCTACAATTCAATGTTCGTTCTAAACGCCCAAACTTATACTCAACATACATCGGGCTTGGCGTGCCTGCTGCGGCGAAATTTAAAGGTTTTCTTTGAGGGTCCCTGAGCACGTTGGAGCCGCGGCCGCTCTCCCACCTCGGGGCTGTCGGTAGGAGTCGCTGTCGCTTCCGCTTCCGCGTCCGCTCCCGTGCGCTCCACTGCCACGCTGGTGTCACCCGACAATGGGGATAGTGGACTTGTTGATGTCTCGCCTGTTCATCATAAGAGAATCGCCTTTCTGATACTGTTCTAACAATAATAGTGCTAATACTATATACAGGGGGGAAATGAATTGTTAGTAATGGAGACTGAGAATCCCATTGCTAGCAATATACCCAACCAGGTCGACCTCCTCGCGGTTCTTTCTGGAAACTATCATGGTTAATTCCTGATGAATTCATCATGATGGGCTAACTGGCCTGTTTTCATCCTCATCTATCACCCTTCACTGGTGCTCCGCCAGCGTATCCCGTTAATGCAGGTGGGGTTACCATACTATATTCATCCATCAAAAAAAAAAAACTATATACAGATATTTGAAATATTTAGATACCTGTAGTGAATTTGAATTCAACCGACGGTACGAAGCGTAGCCTTGCTTGATTGTTTGCATAAGATGGAGTGCTGACGACTGGTTTGTCACTGCCGTAATTACTAGATCCTGTGATTACAATTTATTTTATTAGAGTATATCTAAAGTTAAACAAGAGAAGTCAGCCTCAACAGAAAGTTATTATCGATTTTTTCCCTCCAAAAATTAAATTTATTATCCTGTTGATATTGGAGATTATTGCTACTTGATGGAAATCATCTTCGTAAGCACTATTTATTTAATTCTTAAAAATTAATTACACTGACACTCGGTACTGGGTACAGAGTCGTAATATTACCTATGTATGTATATATATATGAAGATAAAAGGTGTCGCTGTGATTTTGAAATTCAACAGGTAGTTATATTAAATGATACTGTCACCTATGTGAGAATTATTGTTGGCATTACTAGTGTCGCTGAGTCGGCCGCTGCCACTATTTATGGCCACCTCGAATGTCGGCATGTGCTGACTTGTTGTAGAGCTGCTCGACAGTGATTCTGCAAATGTTATTGACAGTTACTACGATTACTGGTTGAATATAGGGTTTTTCTTTTTTTTTTTTTTTTACTTTTATGTACGAGTTTATAATGAAATTAAATATGTCCACTGTCTATTGAATTATAATGTTAAGGATCAATATACAGGTAGAATGGACACTTCAATGAATTGTGCGTCCTATTAAGTGTTAAATCAGTCTATGGCGCTATTCATGTCTATAAGCGACGGTTGTCACTTTTGATCAGGTGAGCCATCAGCTTATTTGCTATTCCATGTTGTATAAAGTTTATTTCACGAGTTGTATCGTAGCGTACAGAAGTCGCATGTTTACTAAATACTTATTTTGAATTTACTTTTTATATTATAAATGGGAAAGTTTTTTTGCGACATAATCATCCTAATCGCCTGCTCCTTAAGTTAGATTAGAGAGCATGATCTGGGGACACAATCAAGAACACACAGAGCCGTAAATAAAAAAAGATGTATCCCAATTGGGCTTGAACGGGATTCTAAAAAATTTGGTATTTGTAAAGATGATTTTTACTTAATCATACTTAAACGGCTGATTGGATTTGAGTGAAATTTGGTATAAGGGTATGTCACATACTAATTTAATTTAAAATATTGTATGTATTGATTTGCGTGGGCAATCCTAGAAATAGTACTTTATAAAATTTGCTGTAGTGTGCTCTATTGGGTACTGTGTCCTCATTTTGAGTGTAATATACCTCTTTGTGCTGAGAGCGGTGCGGAAGGATGGTCAGGCGTGCGAGGCAGGGCACCACCGCGGCCCACCAGCATGGAGATGAGCGAGGGCCGGTGCTGCTGGTGCTTCTCCTGCATCGCCGCCGTCCGGCCGAACACTTCAGATGCGCGCTTACCAGCACCACCGCCTCCGGCTTGGCCCAGGTTCTCAGCAATTTGTTCTGTCATATAAAATGATACAAAAAATTTAAATATCTATCCTAACTGTAGGGGCTTTTCATGACTCGTAATATAAGAGCTTTATAAGTTTGCATATTTTGAATTAAAACTGCACTCGATTTGTATGCAGTATCTTGATTGATTGACTTATTGTATTTTAATTTCCACTTGTTTTCCAGAAAAGAAATTTGTGCGTAAAAGACATCAGCGTTTACTTTAATTTAATCTTTAATTTTGCAATAAACTTCATTATCATCACCATTTCAACCAATATCTGCTCACTGCTAAACATCCGCTTCTCCTAAAGACTGCCATAAAAAATGGTCCTGAGCCACCTGCGTCCATTGATTTCTTGCAATGCATTTAAGGTCGACTCCATAATAAACTTATTTAAAATCATTACATAGGGAAACAAAGAGGTTTCAACACATATTTTCAAATCTTATTAATGACTTAGAGGGTGGGTAGGAGCTGAGGGTTTAATTAAAAAAAAACTCCACATAACTACTGGATGCCCTAAAAAGATATGGTAGTGCCTATAAATTTAGGATAATATCTGTGGTTCTAATAGATATAATATGTAATGACAGTAATAGTAAGAATGACATACGTATTATAAGTAAAACAGGGAAATATTAGCAAGATAGGAAGAGTGTACTGTGTCATCCTTCAGGCATTGCCATTCCTGAGGACTAATAATAACATGTATGTAACTGTTATGTCTCTGTACCCTGTAATTCCATTGCCATGTTTTATCCTTCAAAGCTAAATACAGCCATGCAAACACAACTGTAAGAAACCCAAATGAGACAAAGTAGAGCACTCAAGCAGACGATTTTTGGGCAGTGTTCGTGTGGTGATCGTTTATTCAATGACGTTATTTTATTGCTAATTCATGCTGCACACACTGATAGAATTTGCATGACAGTGCTTTCATAATGCACACACTGACAGCGTTAGCATGGCAGCGGCGGTTTGCGGCAGCTGCGCGTACGCACCGAACTTGTACTGGTCGTGCGTGTCGCGCATGGTGCGCAGCTCGCGCGTCAGCTCGGCCAGCAGCGCGCCGCGCGCGCGCGCCGCCGGCAGCTTCAGCCCGCGCACGCGCTCGCGCACCACGAACTGCATGTGCCGCTCGTTGTCGCCGATCGGCGGCTGCGACAGCTGCGCCACACACACATACCATACTCGTACACGGAGTATCACACATAAATAGCAACATTTCACGTATTTGTTATGATTTTAATTTCAATTCGTTATCGTACAGAACTTTATATGGATTACTTTTTTTTTTTAACAATTATTGTACAAAATATTTCCGATTGTTGAATGTAAACTTGCTACATAAAAAATATACAATATTGTAGTTATATTTTTTTATTGATCTTATATCCAGGCTATACCTCGATACTACATATATTTGAAAAAGAACACTTAATTCCAATTATATTCACTTAAACCAATCCCAATTCAAAACGTAAAAATAATTAGAACTTTTTTATATCCCCATCAAATCAGCTTCGAACTATACATACATATATACAATATATTGTGTAAACGAATGCCCTACTTATCTATGTTGCTCTAACATGTGTGTTATTATGTTTCTTTCTTTTACATTGCCAATCTATATCCTTAAATATCTAAAATAAACACATCAAGATTTAAGTATAAATGACATTTCCTAATGTTCTTTATCTAACGCTACAATTTTGTCTGCGGCCAAAATATCCATTATCCAGCAAGCTTTTAGATGTACGTAGAAACATACCTTGTGTACGATGAACGGTTGAAGCAGTATGTACAGCGGCGTGCGATAAGTGACGACATGCTCGAGGAAGTCCCACAGGTGGTGTGCGGCTTCGTTGCGGCGGCCGAGGTCGCGCATGGCGCGCGCTATTCGCCCCCACTCGGAACACAGCTCGCTCGTGAAGCATGCGCATAGCACCTTCAACGCTGTCCCGCACATGTAATAATATTATCAATTTAACTATGTATTTACTGATAAAAAAAAACCTACTCGTGGATACAAACACGAGCAAAAACTAGCGTACGGTGGTATCCGGCTCGAAGGACTATACAATGTATAGTGAAACGTAAGGTTTGATGACAATGTAAAAAAACCGTACAGAAGGATGTAAAAAGAATCACAATCGCTTAGTAGATTATTTTTTACAATTAGATACAAGTGATGCGAGATGTTAATTAGTGATTAATAATTTAATAACTTAGCTGCAGCACTACCTCTAATAATACTACTACTACATAAAAATCTTAATTTAAAATAAATGAAGTTAAATAATTTTATTTAAATTAAATTAATAAATTCTCGTCCTTTTCTATATTTGTTGTGTGTTCTAAGGCGGGTTCTATAACTATTACCTCAGGTTGTGAGTTAGGTAGTTGGTGGGACTTTGTGGTATTTCTTAATATTATTTGTATGGATAGTAAATAAAACGCGTATACCTAGGAAGGCGATCCTGTATGTGTGGTTGGAGAGGCGCGAGGTGTTCCTGGTGTCGCGGCTGCCGGTGAACGTGAGCGAGTTGGCGCGAGCGTCGGCCGCGTTGAGTTTCGCGTTGACGGCGGCGAGCTGGGCCGCCGGCGCGGGCGGACACAGCGCGCTCAGCACCACCGACACCAGGTACGACACGTCCGACTGCCGGAGCGGCGGCACGTCTGACCACACGCGTATATTGTAACAACCCTTCATTATGAGCATTCATTATATAATTAGTAAATTGTTACTTTTAATTCATTATCATTTTTAAAATTTTGTTTTAATGATTACTTTACTTGTAGCAAAAATCACAATAGTGATTTTTCTCCCAGTGACCTATATCATAACTATATCAGACTTATATATTCTGATCAGTGTGTTAGAGACTGTTCGCTCACTATTTATGGACCAGTGAGCCGTCATGAATTTGAAAGTGCGATTTTATTTCAATATTAACTGAGTGTCGTCAATGACTCTATTAAACTCGAGCACAGAGATTTTCACTAAGCGCTAATTGTAACAATTTTTATGGAATTTATAAAGGAGATGAATAGCCGGGGTACGTACGTTATGTATTATATGATATTTCGCATGTTACATGTAATTTATTGAAATATATATATATATATATATATATATATATATATATATATATATATATATATATATATATATATATATATATATATATATATATATATATATATATATATATATATATATGTATGTATGTATGTCTATATATATTATAACACATAGCTTTACACATTAGCACATAGCTTTTTATTACCTTTTCTGCCGCTGCCGACGCGCAAACAAAGAGGCATAAACAAATTCATTAACATGTTTTCTGTTTTTTCCGCAGTTGGAAATATCGCGCTGCCTCCGCACATTTGTTCTAATGAATAGCTATCCTGTAAATAATTAGAAATTATATTATTACGCCTTTTTAATAGCAGGTGTTTACATTTTCAACACATTGTATTGTTTTAACTGAATAATGTTCAAATGCTAAAACCAAGGAGTAAATATATAAAAACAAACATTTGAAACACTTTTATAAATAAAATCTGGAATTTAATTTTCTCTAAGCTATACCATTACATTATATACTCACGGATGTTGTAAACCATAATAGTCTGTTTCAAACTACATACAATTAATTAAATTTATAATATTATTAGAATTATATATATATATATATATATATATATATATATATATATATATATATATATATATATATATACATGTTTTTTATTAGATATTTTAATTCATTCATTTTGAAAATGTCGACACCAGCAACAATTTATTATAATTACAAAAGCGATGGTGTGTTTGCATGCTCGCTATGTCCATTAAATTTTATTAAAAAGCTTTATTAAATTGGCTATGTAAGCCTTATCCGAGCACACTAATACCAACAACAGTCCCCTATGCGGACAATTAATTAATAATAACGAAGTCTAAGCGGTTGTCGTGACCGGAAACGGTCAGGATTCATCATCATATTTCTACGTTTATTCAATAGATCAGAATTCAATGTAGATGTATTACATTAATAAAAGAACGCCGATCTACTTCATATAAAGTTGAAAAATTTAACTTCCAGAAGATCCGATAGGATTTGAACCCGCATCTTTAAGTTATTTAGACAGAATGTCCGAATGAAATTCCTAGCTACATTACAGTAAGGTAACATAGTATTTAAATTCCTAAATATAAAGTATGCATTTAAAAAATATTGACATATACAAATTAAAGTTTGAATTACCCCAGTATTGATAACTTGCAAAGCGATAAGTCTGACGACGGTGCTGCAGAAGTGTGGCGGTGGTGGCTGAGACATCAGCGCTGCCGTCGCAGATGATAAGTTCTCGCCGCTATTGTTCTCCGACACTATCAGCGCCTGCCACGTATATTGTGAGTTATATATTTTTAATGTTTGATATTGTGTTGATAAATGCTTAATTGCTAGTTGATTAAGTAACATTTACTGAGTATTTTAAATGCGCAGACGACGCGTGGTTCACGGCACCGAAGAGATTCAAAAAGCAGATCCTTTCATAATGGTTTTTAATTGAATTCACTTATAATCGTATTTTCTGATATTGCTCACAACTTAGGTTACATGTTTACTTCTATAACTAATAACGCAACTTTTAAAATATTTGTAGTCTAGTGTTATTTAATTCATTATAATTGTTACTTCATTTTCTCGCACTGTATAACTATGTTAAAGTAAATACTGTGCATACCTATAATAGGTATGTGCATTAATATTGTATTGTATTTAATGTTTGTTATATATGTTATAATGCAATATGCTGTTGGTATTCCTTTAAATAAATAAATAAACGGTTGCTGCAACTAATCTAATTAAATAAATAATCTAATCAACTATCACACCTAGTCATTTATAGAGTAGGTCGAGAGAATACAGTAATTTTTATACACGCACTATCTGTTTAAAACACTGTCGGTAAAACACACAAAACATTTTATGCTTCAAAGGGATTTTAATATTTCATTTGTTGAATTGAAATATTTATCGTTGTCAAAGAATATGTTTTGTTTGTATTAAACCTAATGTGGGAGCTTGGTTACAAATGCATTTCAATATTTTGTCAAAATAATATTTATTTTTATTTAAAAGCGAATTGATGTTAGCAAATTAATATAAGACACATTGAACATACCTGTACTGTATTGAGAAGTGTTTTGACTTGCTGCCAGTGCATAATATAGGGGCATCTTATCATAGTTTCATATACACCTTGTAACAGTACAGCTGCAGAATCCCAGTCTGTGTTTCTCTGAACATAAAAAAATAAGAGTTGTTTTGAATTTGACATTAATATTATGGTACATAATCAGTTCCACTCGAATTTCTATTGCCATACAGTTGTGCAAGTATGGAGCATGTGCAGCTGGAGGGGAAAGGTATTTTAAAATAGCAATAAATTATTGAAAACAAAGGCATATCACTTTAATCTTCAGGAAATACAACATTTTAGGGGTATCATGGACTCCTTTTTTAGATATATAAACTATTTAAAAATATAATACTACTTTTATTCAAATAACAAGTAATATGATGCAAATTACAGATTGTTATTATCATTTTCAAAACTTTCAGTTTGTGAATAACAACTAATTATAGTACTTAATTACATCATCATTAAATTATCAGAAGTCTTTTTTTTTATCCACTTAGAATGGTAAATAAGCTGACGAAATGGAAAGTGATAACTATCACCTATACACATGAGCAGTACCATGGACATAACATAGTATACTGTTTCGCTCATAATACCCCCCATGCGTTGCCATTTCTGGGGACTCAGGTGTTATTCCTCTGTACCCTGTAAATTCACTGCCATATCCCTTTAAATCGAAAGACAGCCATGCAAACATAACTGCTTCACGATAGAAACACGAATGAGACAGAGGTGCCCAAGCAAACGACTTTTGTACAAAGTCTCCCTCTGATTTATTGCCAAATGCGCTAAATCATTTAAAAATATATATAAGTACAACTTGGTTTTATATATTATAGTACAAAAAATGTAGTTACCCGAATGCTAGGCTTCTTAGCGATCTTCAAAAAGACTTTATCAAGTCTGCGTAGAATCATAATGAGCGCTGGTCGGAGAGCGTCGTCGGCCCATTCGCCAGCCGGTAACACTTGCATCATGTATCGCTGTAGACCGCGACACCCCATGGACTCGGGGTCGTATGGGGATACTTTGAGTAACGAGTGGGCGATCTCCGCCAACCGCTGTTTAAAAAAATAAAGTCTAAGGCTCTAGGCAAGCACGATACTTTTAGAAAAGGCAATTGGCGAGTTTGTTATGTTATTATGGAGCGAGTTAGTGTGTTCTGATATTTTTTAATTTAATACTTGTGATGTATGATTTGACTTTGAATTACATAAATATGGCATAAAGGCGTATATCCATCGTTCTGATTATTTGCTATAGCCACAAAAAACCGAATTGGGTACCATGAGTGAAGTTTGCATGTGTACAGATTGAATAGTTGGTATGCTACATTGTGAGTTCAAATAGTTGTTTGATACATTTATGTATGTATGTATATGTAGATATGTGCCTATATTTTTACTATTTACTGATAAAAGAGTCAAACGTCTAATAAATATATTTTAGTTGTTGTTTTTATTTTTTTCTGTTGGACTACATTCTTAATTCAACACTAATCATAAATAAATAATATAAATAAAAATCAATAGCTGAATGCGTGTTAGTGCATCATTTCAGAATGGTTGAACATATTTGGTTAATTCTTTTTTATTATGTTTGTAATTATCAGGATAGTTTGTATGAAAGATTTTTTTTAGAAAAACGTGCGGAAAAGTGAAAGTTAAAAAAATATCAATATAAAAAGTGAGTGAGAAGAGAGCTTTAAATTCAATTATAATTAAAATAAATTTATAGGCAGTTTTAGTTTTCATCAATAGAGGGAGCAATATGTATAAGTACATGTATGTGAATGTGTTGTATTGCATGTATGAATGCTCACCGCATGTGATTTGCAGTCCAACAGTTCGACCGGCTTCCCCTCGCTGCCGCCGCTGCCCTTGGAGCCGTTGAGGTCGAGCAGGCGAGCGGTGGCGCGGCCAATAAACTCGCCCACCAGAGAAAGCAAAACGTCGCGTGGCCGACGGTACTCCGCGCGTACCAACTAAATAAATTAAGTTTTCCTTATCCGACTGTCCAGAAAGGAGGGTAATTTGCATTTTACAACGAGGCTTGGCAGGATGGCAAGAGCAGTGAAAAAAAGAGAGTATAGAGAGATGTTATTCATTGTACCTTGCAACTTATTTATTGCATCACTATTATAGAAAAAACGTTTCAAAAGTACGATTTCATTTTAGTAATGCTACTTTTGTAAATCTTCCAAAATTTTTTTCGAAATACTTTTTTTATTTTCTGTTTGTGTTAATAAAATTTTATGTAATAACGTTGAATTTCAGTCGGATGGTTTATGGGGTAAAATTACCATAGACAATAAATTGGTAGGGTAACATAGAAAATAAACTTCAATAAATATTATATATATTATACCAATGCTATTCTTAAGCTAGAAAGATGTTACGAAGAATTCAGTGTGTTTTTGTGTATATGGGACAACAAAAACATTTTTTTATTTAATTTTTTGATTACCTCAGAGTCCTCAGCACCTGTATATTCCGGCACAGGCATTTTATTGTCGAACTTGGAGTGTGATTCTTCGAAACCGATGATGGTGGCAGCAGTGGATCGCGGGCCGGCTCTTTGAGATGACCCTTTGTGTTCTGGGGAGGTTCTGTAGGGGCCGTTGTAAGACCTAAAAATAAGTAAAAAAATTTATATTTACAAATCTACCTAAGATAAAGTTTGGATTGTATTCAATCAACGTTTTAATATTAGATTCAATTAGTAAATGTAAACATTTAAGATACTTACTTAGACAATCCTTCGCAGTTATTAACCAATGTTTTAATTGCTATGGCCAGTTGTTGTATTATTTCCTTTTCCGTTTTCCCTTCTCTATTGTAAGTCGGTAACTGTATTTGTTTCACGTAGCACGGTAATATCGCTTCCAGGATAATCTGTATTGACGAAATAGATTTCATTGCCATTATATTTTTTTTAATTATACTTTATTGTACAAATTGATAGGATATAAAAATATGTAATGTAAAGTAAATGTACAAAGGCGAGCTCAACTCAGGTGTTACTCCTCTGTACCCAGTAAATTCACGCCATATCCCACCCTTCAAACCGAAACACAGCCATGCAAACACAACTGCTTCACGGTTGAAACACGAATGGGACAGAGGTACCCAAGCAATCGACTTTTGTACAAAGTCTCCCTCTGGTAATACTCTAAAAGTCTTTTCCAGCAAACCCAAAGTGGAAAGGAGCATCTTATATCTTATATGAGAAGCGATAGATTGGTCTGAATTTGTCTTATTTGGAATGATTAATATTTTCGACAAATTTATGTTTATACTCGTATAATTCATGTTAGTAATGTCTACTCCGTAAGGCATCTCCACTGCAGATTCCTTATGGAGTAGACAGAGAAAATCGAAATTTGGGTTGAATTATATTATGGTACAATTATTATACTTACAAGCATCTGATATCCCCTCATACTCTCAGCGGAGTAAGATACTACCATCACACATAAGCTGATACAGTCCAGAACATTGACCATTTCTTCTTCATCACGGTAGCAAAAATCAATTGGCTTTAATGGTTTCTCTTCTTTGATTAGTTCAGCTATATGAAGAGGATCCGGGGATGGGGTCTCGAGACTTAGTAAAAGGTTGAATAGGCAGCTTGATTGTACCTGAAAATATATGTATATCAGTAAGGAGTAATTATATAAAAGAAAAAAATAGCTTAAATCGGTTTTAATTCATCATATCAGCCGTTAACTGTCCACTGCTGAACATAAGCCTTCCTCATAAAGGAAATTTTGCCAGTAGTTGCCACGCTTGGCAGGCGGGTTGATAACCGCAGTTAAGCTTTTAGTGATGATTTAAGAGGGATGCTGCTGCCTATTCCTCTATCACTAAGTTCCCTTAGTCGCCTCTTACGACACCCATGGGAAAGGAATCAGTGGCCTGAATTCTGTGCCTGAATCACACGGATTAATTATTAAACTTTTTTTTATCCATCTTTGTTGTATTAAATTGTATATTGAAAAGAAAGTGACAAAAATATAATCTTTGAGTAGGTATATTATTAAACTAGCGGCACATTACAAAGACTGTGTTCTCGCGTATAAAGTTTAACAAACATTAACAGCTATGTATGGAGAAAAAAAATAGTGTTTTTTTTTTGGAAGATGTTAAAAAGGTTATCATACTGTGCCATTGATTTACTATTTATTTATTTCGAAAATGCAAAATGCATAAAAATAAAGTTTAACTTACTTTGCTAGCATCCCCATATGTGGATTCCTCATCTGTATCCAATATGGCGGATACAGATCCAAACATTTGCAATATGAATGGTTTCCTATTCAATAAGTAGAATTGTTTTACAGCGTATTCTATAGTTGTGGTGACTAATTTATTTGTTTGGAAGTTGGAGTATATTTGGAGTAATGTGGGCATTATAAGTAAATAGCTGAAAGAAAACGATTTCTTATGTTAATATGTTCTTCATAGTAATTTATTAATATACATTATTAAAAATATTAATTAAAAAATGGAAAAAATTCTGTCGCATATTGGCAAGTTATAGTAATTTTTATATTTTATTCTTATGACTACACTTACTGCCCACTTCTCGTGTTTGAATATGTCTAGGTAACAACTATCCATAATACTCAATAAAGTAGTAATTAAATTCAGTTAAAATACATACCCATTAGTGGAGAATATACTCTTAAAGTTGAAGGCGGCGTTAACATACGTAGCGATTACATATCTAAGTATCAATGAGTCTTCACTGTGTAACATTAGCGCACCATTCAGAACATTCAGGAATAAGTGAATATCTCGCGAGGAAGTGAAATTACCCGCCATGGCTTCGAACATGCGAGCTATAAGCCGGACCCACCTGAAGATTTTACTAGTATTAAATATCAGTACTAGAAATATTTATAATAATAGAAAAAAAAAAAAAAAAAACAAGAATTCAGTGTTGGACCATAAAGGAAATTGGATGAATAACTTACATAAATTTATGTAAAACATCTAGACCCAACAGAAGAGTTCCGAGGGGTCCACCACTATATAAAGCTAAATCAGCTTCAAGCGCTTTACGTGGGAATGATGGCAGCTTCATAAGTTCATCATGTAAGAACACTACTCGTTGTACCACCTAAAAACACAAATGAAAATTTGGGTTTAATAAAAAAAAGATTATCTTATAAACTTAAAACTGAGATTTGAAACTGGAATATTGTATAAAGTCCTCTGCATAGGTTTTTTTTTCAATGAATGATAATGAAATAGAAACTCTACTTGGGTTACTGATTTACGCTGGTGGGGTACAAGTAAGGGTAAAGGTAGATTAGCTGGCGCATCATGATGAATTTACCAGAGATTAACCATAAAGGTGTCGAGGGGAGAATAGCAAGAGAGTTGACTAGATAGGCTATATTGCTATTAATAATAATTCTTTCTGTCGTTGTATACATTGCATTGACATGTTCAAAGACATGACAAGTATCAGAAAAATGTGTAAATTTGACTTTAAGACATAGTACTATGCTTAAATATTGATTAACAGACGTACCATATCAACATTTTTCAGGATAGCCCAAGTAAGCAGTACTTTGCCGATCTCGACAAATTTCTGCAGTAACTCTTGCTTTTGAAGTTTGTGGAAAGCTTCTTCAGGTTCCATGTGTACAAGGCCCAATTGTGGGTACTGTGAGCGCTTGAAGAAATAATGATCGCGGACGTAGCTTTGTGGGTTATGGATTTGACCTGAACACGACCAAAAGAAAAAAAAAATGTTAATTAAGAATAAATACAGTAACAAGTCTATTTCAGTAAAGAGATTTTTTATTTTATTCCGTGCTACAAAAACTTACGTGTTTTAAAGTCTACAAGAAAATGTTCGCGGTGCAAATTCTCTGGAATACTAAAGAAGTCTAGTGATTCTTTCAGAATCTGAGAAAACACAGTATCTTCTTGTACTGGAAACTGAGATGGTATACTGCCCTCATTATCAGCTGAAACAGGAAAAAAGTGATATGTATAAATAATATATATTTATATACCTATATATGCAATTATATATTGAAATATGCAGCTTACATGGTCCGTGAACGATAATTTTCTTTGCAGCTGGCACATTAGCAGTTAACAGTATAGATGCATCACACTGCTCTTTTCGAAGTATTTGTTTCAGGTCTTTGAACATAATACCATGGACACTGTGCACGACCTAAGAAATAAATAATCAATATAATCATGGCAAGTCATTCAAAATCATTTGCTATACCTAACTCAAAGAGATAGTTTCTGTTATAGTAACATTGTTTACATAACTTTAATGTTATGTTGATATCTAAACAAAAATTCATATACGTTATGCCAATTATACAAAATATATACACAATTCATATATCTCCCTGATATTAGATTTTTAGATAGATAGATACTTTTTATTGTTTCCTCCAAAAGATTACAATAGTAAACTTATTATAAATATAAACAATTACAAGAAATAATCAGAATGAAAAAAACAATGGGCAGCCTTATCGCTAAACGCGATCTCTTCCAGGCAACCTTTGGATGGAGAGGAGTAATTATAAAAAGTTTGATCGGAGGCACAATGAAAAACAGCGGAGATATGATACATTTTTACATCTTTTTACTCATACAAATTGATTAAATGAATAAATATTAATTCATTGAAGTAACAATTCATTTAGTAATATTCAAAAACTATGACACCATGATATTATTATTTAACTAGAACAGATTCTATATATGTACAATGTCTGCCTCACACTGCAGTCTGCTCTGCTCGTGATTATGTTCCTAAGGTAATACTGAATAATTTATTGTTATGTATTATTAAATGCTCTACAACTTACCATCCACAGTATAGACAACGCAGCACCAACAAGCCTTTGTCCGTCTTCATGCGGGGATCTCACGTAGAACATGACGTATCCTATAATGTAGTTATAAAGGGCGAAGGCAGCCTGCTGCGGCAGTCGTGGTATGAATCGTATAAGGTGACGCAACAGTTTGAACATCTCGTCTTGATGGTCGCGAGTAAGACGCTCTAGTACGTGGCGGAGGAAAAGAGCAGAGTCCTCTACCAGGCAACCCCATATCACCTAGTAAGTAAATATTGCTTTAGTTTATGTTGCGCTGTAGTAGTATGTACGTAAATATTCATAGAAAATGATATACCATATACGAGGGTGTGGTAAGAGGTGACTAAGGTAACTTAATGGTCGAGGGATGGGCAGTGGCGTTCCTCATAAAACATTACCAAAGACTAATTACGGTTGCCAACCCGCCTGCTAAGCGTGGCAACTACTGGCAGAGCCCCCCTCCCCCATAGGGGGATGTTCCCTATATGTTCAGCAGTAATCAGTTAACGGCTGATATGATGATGATGATATACCATATATAGAATTTTATCCTTACAATTTTTTAAAGGATAAATTTATTTAAATCTGACGTATGCACTTGTTGATTCTCAGATTGACACATCCATTAATATTATAAATGTTTTTATCTCCTTTGATCACTTGATGTCTTACCGGCACAGCCAATTATTACATTTTGAATTTGAGAACTATTTCTCACCTGATATGCTACTTCATATACAGAGCAACCATCTCGTGAGACAGCAGCATCATCCAACAACGAGATAATTTCTGCTACCGCAGAGCATAGAGTAGATGGAAATAGAGCAGAGGCAACTTGCGTGTGATGTGATCCTCGTACACCCTCCACCATCTCTTCATCTGCTGGCGCTTTATAAAGTAGAGGACGAATTTAAACTTAATGTAATATAGTTATAATACTAAAATATTTCAATTAATAAAAAAAATAATAGTTGTTACAATAGTATAGAACTAATATAGGTAATGTTAATAAATTAAATTATTTTACATTTTGAACCCCAAAAACAGTCTCTAATTATGACTTATCACAAAATTAATATGAGACTAACAGAGGAGTAAACCTTATGGATAAAAAAAAAAAGAATTATAAAAATAACAACAAATAATAATTGAAAGTATTACACAGCGCCATCTAGTTATAAACTAAGTAGAGCTAGATAAAGAAAGATCAAGAAAAATCTTACGTTCAATGTGATCATCGGCGGCATGGTCCAATGCAGGCTCCCGTGCCGCCTGTCTCGTTATTGGTATGGTGGTGATGAGGAAGCTCTCCCTTTCCGCTCTCTTTTTGTCATTGCGCTGTTGCAGCGCGCGCTTTATCGCTTCCGTTTGTTGTTTTTTGCGAGTTTTTGTGGCCGTCACTAAAGAACGCTGTTGGATGAAGTGGATGTTATTTATTTGGCTAAAAATTGCTTTTAATTTAAGTAGGTTTTTTTATAATGCAAAATGTTTATCTAATGATGAAAATATTTTTCTGTGGGACTTTTATAGTATCCGATTTACATTCTTTTATTTTCCAATAATACTAGCAAGGTAAAAAGCTACATTAGACACAATAAAGGAAAGACATTAAAATTATTATCTTTTCAATCGACTTAAAAAACAAGGTTTTCAACGTTTGTTACCTTCATAACTCGATCAGTTTTAAACTTTTTATTTATTTTTGTTTATATAAAATAAACTACTACTTACGTGTCTTTCTTGATTCAACGTCATTTCCATATCTTTGTCTTTGACTTGAGGGCTCCATGGAGGATCAACGACGGCCAATGATTCGATACCAATTTTTGGTGACGGCAGAGTAAATTCGATGCCTGGTGGCGGCACTTTGAATGTAACAGATGCACCCTCCTCCATGCGGGGCCAAACTTGATAACGGAGTTTCCACATCACTTGGAATCGTAGTATGGCGTTGATTCTGACAGTTTACATAATACAATTATAATGTAATAATTACTAACTTAATACGGCATTGTGGTATACATGTATTATAAAAGTAGATAAAACAAAAATATTTATATATTATTATATATATTATTGTTGCACGCAAGCCAACATACCACCTGATGAAGAGTGGTAACATTTTTGCCACAAAGAAGAATTTTAAGGAAGATCCAGTCTCTTAATTTTACCACCGAAACTCATTTGAATTTTACAGTTATTATGTTTAAACACTATAAGACACGTTGGTGGTGGAACTGAAAAAATAATTGTATCCCCCAATTAACTCTGCCGCTATGCTGTATGAAAGCTGATTTCTGCTTTTAAGGGTATGTATTATTGATTCATTCATTGTAATTTATCATGTAATATCACAGGGTTCAATGGGAAAGTGATACTTTAGTGTTAAGTAAACGTGAGCTAAGTGGTAGTGGAAGGGGTGGCCTTTTTTTTTTATGCAACTTAGAATACTACGCCCACCTGATGGAAAGTGGTGGTCGCCTATAGACATGAGCAGTACCATGGACATAGTCCTGTTTCCCATGCGTTGTGGGTGGTGTAAGTAAATTCAGGCGACTACTACGCCGTGTGGTCCCGGCTTAAAATAGTCCCTCCCATGGGTGGTGTAAGAGGCGACTAAGGGAGGGCGAGGGATGGGTAGCACTGTACTTCTTAAAATATTTCCAAAGCCTAACTGCGGTTGCCTGACTGCCAAGCGTGGCAACTACTAGCAAAACCCTCCCAAGAGAGAGGCTTATCTTCACCAGTGGATAGTAAAAGGTTCATATGATGATTACTACAGAGACTGCTTATAATGGAGCAGATTTTTTTTTTGATGGGTGAAAATGGTATGGTAACCCCGCCTGCGCTAATGGGATACGCTGGCAGAGCACCAGCGAAGGACGATAGATGAGAATGAAAACAGGCCAATTAGCCCATCATGATGAATTCAACAGGAATTAGCCATGATAGTTTCCAGGGAGAACCGCGAGGAGGTCGATCTGGTTGGGTATATTGCTAGCAATGGGATTCTCAGTCTCCATTACTAACAATCCCTTTCCCCCCTATGGAGCAGATTGTATGCTTCATTTTATATGTTGAATGTTCGAGATCGATTTCTGCAAAATAATACCTGATAATCAGGTCCTGCTGGTTGAGCTTAACAAAAAATCCATGTACCTGACTCCCGGCTCGGCGTGCTTCAAGTCGCTGTGCATGATGTCGGAGGCGGTGTGCGGCGCCTTGACCGCGCCGAGTATGAAGAGCGCGGCGGCGCAGGAGCTGAGCTCGCGGTCGGGCTCGAGCAGCAGCTGCCACGCCACCGGCGCGCACTCCGCGAACAGCTCCTCGCTCATCGTCGTCGCGCCCTTGATCAGCGTCGCCAGCGGCGTGTGGTACGCCTCGCGCACCTTCACAAACAAACAAACAAACAAACACATATTTTTATTCAAGTAAACTTAGATTTGGTAATGAAGAGGTCCTCCTTAGGGTTAAGGAAAAAAGACAAATTATAAAAACTATTGAGTAAAGAAGGGACAAAATGTTAGGATATGTTAGTTACATCAGGCAGATCAAGGAAGGAGTTGGTGTCTTGTCGTATCGAGGGGGGAAAAGACTCGCTGAAAATCGTAGTGAGTGGCAAGAGATCCACCGATAGGAGCGCAGGTCTTAAATAGGATAGATAGATAGATTAACTTGGATTTAAGCATTTTTAAACAGTCATTTTTTCATTACGGCCCATTTGGAACGCAATTTTAGCCAAGAAGATCGGGCAAGAAACTCACCTGTTGTTTTTTCAAAAATTTTAACCATACAAATAATGAACTTGTGTGAATTCAAACTACTAAGCAATATCAGATCATAAAATTGAAAATATATATAATTAAAACAAATAAAAAAATCGGTTGCAGTGACCAGAGCAGACTTACTAGTTTGCTCTGGTCAGTCTACAGGCAGCACCCGTTCATGAGTATAATTGGAGAGCCAGCCATCATTGCGCAATTAGGAATATATTTTAGGAAACTCAATAACCTGGCCCATCACGCCACTATCTGTCTGGATATTTTAGTGAGCGTGACTTACTCAAGGCCCCCAACCACATCATACATTCATTCAAGTTTATTACAAGTCATCGTCTCATAAGTCGCTTTTGAAGGCTTCGTAGATAGAAAAAAGCTGTCTTCTAGCGAGAGTGACGGCTTCATATGGGTAATACTAGACATTTATTATATTTATTTTAAGGAATTACAAATTGACAATTGTAGTATATGTAAGCAGTTTTAAATACGACTGTAAAGAAAATGTATAGAATTGCGGAATTCGGTATAGAAGTAAATGCCGATACGCTGATTCACTATCATGGCTGATATATATATATATATATATATATATATATATATATATATATATATATATATATATATATATATATATATTCAGCAGAGGGGCGTAAGTTCCCGGTGCGTACCTGTCCCTTGAGGTACTTGAGTATGGCGGGCGGGTCGGGCGGCGGGTAGGGCAGCGCGGCGGGCCGCGAGGGCGGCGCGGCGTCCTGCGCCGGCAGCGCCTCGCCGCCCGCCGCGCGGTACGCCAGCCCCGCGCTCTCGATCACCGACCGGTCGATCCTGTAGCGGCCATATGTTATACTAATCAACCCAAGGTTATCAATATAATTCACTCCACATATCATATTATATAGTACATTACTGCAGCGGCCAGCAACTGACGCATTGATGGACGAACGTGCAAACGTCTCACATATGAGTGCCTCGGCTACGCCTCGGCCCACATACGTGAGACCATCAATGCCTAGTTGTGGCCAAGGTTTGTATAGTACTTTTTTAAACAATGTGCGGAAATCAAAAATACAATTTTACTTTTTAAGTTCAATGACGAATAACGAACAATAATAATTTTTCAGGCGTCATAATGTTCCTTTGTTTTTTTTTCAATAAACAACTTTCTGTTTGCAAGCCAGTTCGAAATTTAAATAAAACCTTTTATTAGTTACCTCCTTGGTAGCCATGTTTCGAAGTAAAAGGTCACTCCATTTTTAAATTACAGGACAAATATGAGTTTATATAGTAATTTATCTGGCCGCAAAACACGACAGATATGGATTTTCATACAACTTTTGCCGGCCGCTGTCCGCATGCCATGTACCGCAGGCCAGTACGGCAATTTTGATTCATCTCTAAGAAGATTGTTAAAATAATGCTCACATTTCCAAGCATGTTTGAGAAAAAAATATAATATTTATACACATGAAAACAGAAAATTTAAAAATTAAAACCAAATAAACAAATCGTAAATTCACCATTACACTTGGTATCTCGATAGCGAAGTGTAATTGGCTCTCGATATTTAGGGAAACGGTATTCAGTAGCAAAAAAAAAAAAATCATACACCCCCGTACAATTGATTATTAGTAATGGTATTGCTAGCAATAAATCCTTATCCACTCGATCTTCGCGTGGTTCCACCTAGGAAACGTCACGATGGGCCAATTAACCAAACTATATATTTTTTATCGTTATTAATTTTAATCCCGCCAGTGTATACCGATAGCGCGGGCAGGGATAACAATCAATTCTCATACTATTCAAAAAACTTACTTCAATGATGTATAAAGATACATCATTCATTAAATGTCTAACGATAGGACGTTTACGACGATATGACTATTTTAATCATTGAAGCGCTTTATTGTTTTTTTCTTTTGAGTTTAATTCTAAATTTAAAAGAAAATTCTTCAAGGTGTTTTGAAAATATTTTGTTTTGTTTTAATAGATTTTTTTTTCATTTATAAACTAATAAAATTAATATGTTACCTATCAGTAGAATGTTCAGATGGTTTACGAGTCCGGCGGCCGCGACGTCCGCCACATACGCTCTCTTCCGACGAAGTTGCATGTACTTCAGGGCCAAATTTTTCTCCATAAATCTGAACAAGTATAGAGTGAGATAAAACATTTCTGTATTTTTTAGAACGTTTATAAAAAGAGTTTCATTATTACTTTCAATCGACTTTAGAAAATATGAGGCTCTAATTCTGTTGTATGCTTTATGCTTTGGATTTTTTTTTATAATCTATAGAAATTTTATTAAAATCGGTTCAGTAATTTTAAATAAAAGTGGTTTAAATAAAACCCAGTAATAAAACTGGGTTTGTCACGATTTAAGTCGGTTCTTTTTTATTTGGCAAGATTCTAAATAATAATTCACGTAATACTTACCTTCAATACAGATTTCATGAGTCTGACACTAGCTCGCATATTACGCCGGAAGCAATAAGGATGACAGAAGTTTTGATGGCAGCAAACATAGTTAAATGAATTCAAAAATTTCACCATTACCTGAAACGTTAATTGTAAAGTTACAATACGGTTTTTTTTTTTACATTAACTATATATAAACAAACAAAATAAACATGAGGGCTTAGATTATATAGATAGAGCATTGATCCCGAAAAACGGGTTAACTTTTTGTCAGTTAATTTTCAAATTAGTAATATTAGTAATTAATATACTTACGCACACAATGCATCTTTACGTATCTGTATTTAAATATTTAAGAAATAAAATGAGGTTTTGCGCATTAAAAAGGTACAGAGTTTATAAGACAAAATAAATATAGAAGTTATAAAGGAATCACTCATAACTATTTATCATGCAAAATTGTATGAAAGAGTTAAACCGTTTTTCTCGAATCATTTGTTGATTCCATCTAAATGCTCTATCTATATAACTAAGTGTGATCGGTATACTTTAAGCCAAGGAAATCCCTTGTTGTTGTCCGGAGGATCTGTGGAGTTGCTGTCCGGGCTGTCAGGAGGATGGTCGTGGTCGTCTGACAGTACCCCTGGACTCTCCTCGCCGCCGCTGTCCACCTCGTTTGGCATTATCACTGTACCGCCTGTAAAATAAGTAAAATACACTATTATGAAAGGATACAATAAGAGAAGTATGTAAGATGTTGTTTTTTTTTCAATAGTCACCTCGCTCAGTTCCTGAGCGAACAAAAAGATATATATGGTCCAAGGATGTGATCCATTAAAAGGAGGAAATGCTTGCGTTCGTCCGTTTCTGACATGAATTGACAAAAATTTATAGTATTTAAACTTGTGAAGAAAATATCAGACAGTAATTGTATCGATAAGCGTAACGTTTACCAGAGGGAAACTTAATATAAAAAGTTCACTGTTTGACTATCTCTGTACTTTTCCTGTATCTGCCATGTGGCAGTTGTATTTGCATGGCGTGTGTTTTGGTATGATATGGCAACGAAATTACAGGGTACAGAGGAATAATATCTTAGTCCTCAAGAATGCCTAAACGAATATGCCGAACGCATAAAGAGAAGCATGGGAGACATAGTATATATGCTTGGATGGGTCGTCAGCTTGCTTGCTATTCTAAGTTGCATTAAAAAAAAAAAACGCTTTAAATTTAGAATAAAAATATATCTATCAACATCCAAATAACTAAAAATTAAACAAAGAACCTTTTATTACTTCGTATTTAATATATTATACAAGCAAGTTTTTAATAACAGTGGATAACAATATGATTTCCTATTTAGGACAATTAAATAAAAAAAATAATAATAGATTTACCTGTCCCTGGATAAACTTCTGAGGTATCGCTTCTATCGGAAAGAGATGACACTTTCCTTCTGCTCTGTATAGAATCTGACCTTCTAGCAACAACTGTAATAGAGTAGAAAGATGACGAAGATTGAAATTGTATATACAATTGAAATAAGACTAGAGTGGATCGAAATAAGAACCAGAGTTGTGCAGTTATAGTCAAGTTTAAATTTTAGATAGTTTGATAAGCGAATATATACATACTAATGATTGTGTAGCCGGTACTCCACTCCCCTGGCGATTTATGAATGTATGAAGGTATTATAAATGTAATCTTACACTCTTCGACGTCTCTCGTGTCCTTCTGCCTCAGTTTGATCGAGCGTCGTTTGATCGAGCCATACGCATGGGCCTGTTGCGTGTTGCGGCGATGCATGCCCGCTTTGCTGCGAGAACCCAGTCGACCCTTCTTATCATCCGCCGACGTTGGGACTGCGTCTGCCAGCTAAATAAAACAATAAATAAACAAATTTATATATCGAAACATTTGAAAACATAAAAATTATATATAATACGAATGAATTTGTGCTTGTAGACAATTGGCAAAAAAATCTAAACATGTAAAAATTTTAATTTTGACTCTTAGCAAACTAAAATTACTTCTATTTTATTATAGATAAATAAATAAATCAGCTCATGTATGAGCGTTCATATGACATGACAGAGCTAAAATTAGTAAGTTATCAAAATTTTTGAATTTGTGAATTATTAGAAAATGATCTTTTGTCTATCTGTATTGTTAACTATATCTTACTGTAGCGTTACTTCCACCGGAGACGTTTTCTGGTTCATGGATAACAAATGAGATTTTTCTCTCAGTTTCAGCGCAAGCAATCGACTGCAAGCTCTGGGCGGACGCTTGCGAGTGCCCCATACTCGACAGAGCCATGCTCCAGCGGCGGTTCGCTTCCCTGTATCGTTGATTATAATGACATTAGCACGAGGGCGGTGGAAATTTCCAACGATTTCGGTACAACAGCTATAGAAGGTCAGTAGCTCCTATTTTTTCTCACTATTTAATTTTAAATATCAATCCTTTTAGATCGTATTGTGCATGCCAATGTAGCAAAGCGAATTTATTTAATTTATATACTAATTCAATCTAAACTATTTGTTGCTTTTATAAAAAAAATAACTATCGGAAATTTTGGTACTGAAAGGGTGTAATTGATAAAAATATTTTAATATTCGTGTAATTAATTTAGTATTTCTTTAGTAGTTATGTGGATTTGTTTACAACATACCATGCAGTTTAATTGTGCGTATGCACTTTTTACCAGATAATTTGAATTTTATTATTATTATAATACGGCCGGCGCTTGCGTAGCCACTTTAAGAATCCACCACATTCATAGATGTAGCGATTTGTGGATATGACTAGTTCAAAATTGAAAAATGTATCCGTCGTCGAGACAAGCGGTTACGTTTGCGTAGGCCCTAAGTGCCAAAATTGTCAAGAGGTGAATAATCGCTAAAAGTTTTCATTTTCGCAGTGATTTTGTACATATTACTCCTTAAAAGTGTACATTATTTAGAATTATGTACATTCTATATACGCATGCACGCTCAGTGCAAGTATGCAAGGAAACATGCATTATTTCTTTAGAACACATACTCGACTGGCATTAATGTGTGTTGACTGCTAAGAGCCCTGTTAAAATAAAAGTTTTGTCAAAATATGCACTCTTTAACACATCATTTCAAACGAACTGAACATAAGGAACTCACTTATTCTTACACAACAAACGTCGTTTTTCCATCCATCTTCGCATAACATAATAACAAAACATAATCAATTTACACCGAACATTATTAGAATTCACTACTTACCAAAATTTAATATATATACGAGAAAATATACTGAAATTTAGTACCTGTAAACTCTGTCCCATGGTCCTCTTTCCTTTAACGACGAGCGGCAAGACTTCGGTATGTTTTGGTAAGTCTCCCGTAGGAATGCTGTTATTTCAAAGAGTAGTACGCAGGCCACCAGGCGAAGAGCTCGGGGACATTCTGCGCCGATAGGTTTCCCGGGGAGCCGGATACTGGCTGCGTATTATTACAAAGTATAAAAAAAATTTGTGACGAGGAAAAATGTAGACTGAGTACACTGTACTCAGTGAATAAACTACAATCATTGTTTAACAATTTCGTTAATATTTGAATACAACATATGTCAGGAATAGAGCATTTTTCATGACGAACTTTTAATATTAATTATTAAAACAATGGACTTTTTCAAAATTTGGACTATAGTGAGATTGAATATTCAATCACTAAGTTCTATCGTGACAATAAAAAAAATGTTTGTGAATTTTATATATACGTATATAATAATCTTTCCCTCTCTGTCATTGTGCTTAATAAGGTGGCAGTATAAGATTAAATTACACTGTTTACCTTCATCCAGAAAGTCCTCTTCTTCATCTTGTTGCAAAAGTTCTCGTTGCCCGTCTGGATCAGTCACTAAATTGATAACTGTATCAATATGTTTCTTATCTTCCACCAACATTTCTTCTAATCTATTACCTATTGCCTATAAATAGATTTTATGGATTTTATTAGTTATTAGGACCAAGAAATATTTTTAAAAGATAAAAAAATATTCGTTACCTCCGCCCACTGATAGAAAAGCTTAGCTGCTAATCGCTGTCTTAACTGAGGACTTGAGGCCACTGTAAAAATTGTTATTGATTTATAACGCTGTTCTTCTGATAAGTTAAATTAATATAGAAAAATTGTTTCTATACGTGAAGTACTTACTAGTGTTTTTAGCTATATTCGACTTGAGCCAGTAAGGCCATTGTCCTTTGTTACAGTTGTGTACTAAGTGGGCACATTCCAGTAGTATCGCCGCTCTGCCCACTACAACAGTGTGTGGCTGAAAACAAGTACGCGTACATTAAAATTAGAAATTTACCAGACATCATCTCTAGTGACGTACAGTTCCGTGGTCACCTTGAAGATAAGGTGAAGCTGGCATAAAAAAAACTCGGTGTGCTTAATAGAGCGAAGCAATACTTCACGATGGATCAACAATTAATGCTCTACAAATCACAAATCTGGCCTCACATGGAGTATTGCTGTCACTTACGGACAGAAGCACCTGGATACCCTTCGACTCAGTGCAACGACGAACTATGAGAATTGTCGATGATCCCAGGCTTACAAGTGGTATCGAACCCTAAGTCTTAGGAGTGATTTTTCTTCGTGTTCTATCGCTAGGTCATGGAATGAGCTCCCTGTCGAGGTTGTTAAACGGATCAACTTTTAGTTAATTTGACAATTATCTGACTAAAACTTGACCCGTTTTTAAGACTCGAGGCTTTATCTAAATAATCTAAGCGCTGTATATATATAAAATATTTATTATATTTAGTACCAAATCGAGCAGCGCAGCCATGAAGAGTGCATCAGGCGTGCTGCCGGGCTGCGTGGCGTCAAGCAGGAAGCTGAACCGCGCCAGCCCCGCATATAACGGCGCCGCTGCCACCAGCCGCCGTCGCTTCAGCACTACCACCTCTGATTCGCCGCCGCCGGATCCCCCTTCCGCGGATCCCCGGCGAGACATATCTGCACGCGGTGAGAATATGAATGGACCATGAAAGTGTTTATTGGCAATCGACATCAGTCATTTGATTTGTTTTTATGGTACAATGGTGGCTCTATGCTAGTCTCGTATTTACGGATTGTTTGAATAAATTACTCCGTTAATCACGAGGAGCGCAATGTAAGAACTTTGTGTCACATTTTATAATGAATGGGATGGTCGCTAGCGGACTGTTATAGCGCATTTAAAATATATAGTCAATGTTCCGTTCAGATCTTTGTCGACATTTCCCGTTAAGGCAAATTAAAATAAGGAGGTTCTAAAAATTGCATAATTTTTATTAAGTTAGTTACTCATGCTATATAATAAATTTATATACTACATAATTTTTGCCAATTAAAAAACAATTTGAGTAAATAATACTTACATCCACCGCTGGTTTCTTCGATACTGCCATCTCGTTTCTTCCCCATTTTTCTTAGACCAAATCTGTTAAGTCTGTCCTCTACTCGCTTCCGTGCTCTAAAATGATGTGTAGTTATTACATATATTTATAATTTATGATCATCCTATTAACAGTATCTTGTACTTTCAATAAAACTGTCAAAAAGTTTGTGGATGCGAATTCACAAAACTTTAGGCAGATGTTTATTTAATTGTCCAAAACGTAAAAACAATGTAGCTTGAGATCATCTATTTTTGTTCTAAAACTATGTAATATAAGCATACATTTTGTATGTTGGTCTGAAGCATAAAATAGCCAATGTGCTATGTGTTATATCATATGCTTCAGTTAATAGCCTAGATAATACTTTACATGTATCCTATATTTTTAAATAAACACAGGAGTACTCAAACGATATCGATGTGTTTCACTCGTTTATTTTATTTCCGATAAGTATAAGAGTTAGTTTCATCATCATCAATTCAGCTATTATCCGTCTACTGCTAGGCATAAGCCTTCCCTATAGACTGCTATAAGGAACGGTCTTGAGCCACCTGCATCCACTGACTCTCTGCAATGTATTTCAGGTCGTTACTCTATCTAGTGAAAGTCGTCTTACGCTGCGTTTGCCTGTAGAAAGAGGGGAGGAAGAGGAGAGAGAAAAGGGAAGGAGAGAAGAATGAGTTGAAGGTGAAGCAGAGAGAGAGAGAGAGAGAGAGAGAGAAGAAGAAAGTGGTACCTGTTGAGCGTGTAGCCGACGCGGCGCTTAACGTGTACTGGTCGCGCGGAGTGGTGAGCGGAGGGCCCGGGCAGCGGCCGCGCCAGCGACACCATGCTGCCCGACATCGGCAGCGACTCGCCCGACCCGCCGCCGTTGCGGATCAGCGAGTGGCCCCGCGGCTTTTGCCGGAACCAGTTCACTGATGCCACACATTTCATATTATCAATAAAGTGTCGGATAACCTTTACATAATACAATCATAATCCTCTCCTAAACTAGATTTAATATCCATGAATCAGGAGAAAAATATTTTAAATCTATAAATATTTTTTAATCGTTTATGTAAAACCACGTAGTCGTATGATCCAGACTTATATCTCTCTAAAATTCTAAAATTAGATCTCGTGTAGATAATGTTACTAGCTCGTTTAAACATGTACACACAAATGACTGTATCTTTTATAGCAAAAACAAATTTTTGTAGATTAAATTTACAATTAGTTAAAAAACAGAAACACGTTAACATTCTGAAACAAATTTGACAAATTTATTATTTTTTAGTGTACAATCAGTCGAAAATTATGAACAAACATAATGTTGTTTGCAATATGATTTATCTGCATTGCAGCATACAAGCTCATGGCCCATTCAATTGCCAAATCTCGCTAATTCTGCCATACGCAATACTGCGTTATCTGCATCGCAACATACACCCAGTTTGATACACGAGACTATCGTGTAATACCTGTTTTGTTAACTAACAGTAGAATAGAAATTATATTTATATAAATATTCTTGTTTACAAGGTGTGAAATGTTGTTATTGGCTGAGAAGAATCCGTAACAAAAGCAGTTACTTCTTCAATTTAATTTATATGTGTCATTCAAAGTAATATCAATTAATTCCGACTATATTTTATTAATATAATAAAATTGTAAGTATGTGACGTCTGGAGGTTTTAATAATACTAACAGTTGTCAAAACAATAATTTTTAGCAATTTTATTTGTCTGTATGTTTGTTCCGGTATGATGTAAAAACTATTGCATTGGATGGACGCGGTTTTCATTGTTTTGTTTAATTGTGTTACACGAAATAGTGAACAAAAAATTTGTTCATTAATAATATTAATACCAATTCCGCTGATGTGGAACTTGGAGGGTATGGACTTGGAGTGCGTGAGCTTGTGGTGGGGCGTGACATCGGCGGAGGCAGCGGAGCCGGCGGAGGCGGCGGAGGCCGCGGCGGCGGCGGCGGCGATGGAGGGGATCGCTCGCTCGGACTGGCGGGGGGTCAGCTGGTAGCGACGCGCGCGCACCGACAGCGGCGACTGACTAGCTGACTCCGCGCCTTCTGTCTCCAGCAAGCTCTGTGGAACCACCGTTGGAAATAATTTGTATTATTACTAGCGACCCGCTCCGATTTGGAAAAATCCGTCGCGTGGTTTAGAAGAAGTAAAGGAGGAAACAAGACGGGAATAGTGACTTTGTTTCATACTGTTTAAAGATAGACGATACTTATCGTCATTCGTATATATCAATGTAGGTCCGTGGAGCAAGGAATAAGCAGTTTCTACTTCACAAGTTAATAAATTAGGAAAAAATTAACAATATACTTATCTTAGAAATCGTTAAGTAATAGGGAAAACCGTTCACTCGTCGTCACATTTGAATATCGAACGTTTGTACTTCATTTCACTCATATTATAGTCTTTCTTGTAGTTCGCGTTTCAATACTTGCATACGATATACATTCGTAGACTAAATTTCACAATATTTTATACTGACATGAGCTCCAGTAGAAGAGGTACTTCTCTTCTTGAAGGTAAACTTTTTATGACTTCGATCATCGGCAGCGCAGCCAGAATCCGCGCCTGTATCAGACCCACGCTCGTCATCCGCCGGACGAGGGATATGCCTAGAAAAAAAAATTAAATACATTGAATGAAACGATAAACAACAAAAACATCGCTGGATGTTTCCTATGTAGGTACAATATGTAGATGTGTATTAACAATATAAAGTATTTAAGTATGATACAATTTGTCTAGTACTGTCCGGCGGTTTTACTTGTATTTCATGATAAATTAAGACATATTAAGTTCCACATTCAAAATTTAAAATTAATTATATTAGAAATTGTACTCTGCAAATTTATTTAAACAAATTAACCTTATCACTCTTGTCGTTTGCATATTTGACTCCTTCTGTTGACTATCCGGTCTTTCCGCTGTGTCTAATAGTGCACTGAATGCGACTACACGGAATTGTCCGCCGTGAGCTTCTCTTACATAGCTTAGAAGTAAACGGACTTCACTGTATAACGCCTAAAATAAAAATTGCAAATAAAAATAAAAATGTATAATTTACAACTATTTATATTAAAAATGTATGTATATATTTTGAGTTTTACTATTTTAATAATAATGAGATGTAAAATTCTTTTTCAAAGTCAAAATAGTAGAAGCTGCTGATTATAATATATTAATAAAATATATATACTTACTGAATTATCAAGCATTTTCAATTCCTTGTGCATTAATGCGAACCTGGTAACTAGTACTCTGAATGTAGACTCTATTATGAATGTCTCTATAGCTCTGTTTGCATTGGCACCCTGTGTTGCACCAAAGTTCGTCGCGTACCCGGCTTGCAAATGGCTCATTTCTGGTGATTTTGCATTGTTACGTTTTTGTTGGTCTGTAAAATATAATATATACATAATGAGGTCGATTCTGAGATACTGTTTCTCTAAACCTATTTTTAAAATTTGAATTCCAATGTAATATAATAGCGAAATCCTTATTCTAAGAATCATTATGAATACAATTTTAAAATATTCAAGTTAAAATTATAAAAAAAATTGTTTATGATAGTCCGTAAATCAATAATTTAGAGAAATTATCATATTAAAATATTTGATTAAGAAATAGGTTTAGAAACTTGGTGAAAGTTTTTTTTATACGACTTAGAATGGCAAACAAGCTGACGGCCCACCAGATGAAAAGTGGTAACCGTTGCCTATAGACATGAGCAGTACCATGGACATAACAGTACACACACATACTGTTTCGCCCGTGCGTTGCCTCTCCCATGCGTTGCCATTCAAGGACTCAGGTATTATTCTTCTGTACCCTGTAAATTTACGCCATATCCCACTCTTTAAACCGAAACACAGCCATGCAAACACAACTGCTTCACGGTAGAAACACGAATGGGACAGAGGTACCCAAGCAATCGACTTTTGTACAAAGTGAACCCAATGTGTAGTAAAATAACATTTTAGAATAGAAGAAAAAAAAAATGTTCAGCAGTGGACAATTAATGGCTGATATGGTATGGTATGGTGTAGATTTAACAGATACATAAATACATAAAATATTATTAATGACTTCACTTAATATATACAATTGAACTAATGTAAACATTTATCGGTTAAAATTTGATCATATATAACGTATCAATATAAAAAAAAGTCTTACTCATAGGTGAGACTAACGATGCAGGCTCAACACAAAACCCAATAGTGGCGTGCAAATTATCGAGTACTTCTCGTATGGGTGCAAACTTGGTCATCTCCTTGAGACGTAAAGTGAACTTGGGTATGGAGGCCGCGCGCAGCTGTCGTAATGAGCTGCGTGCTTGTACACGTAGGCATTCCGCTTGCGGCCCGCGAAGTGCGCTTGCGCATCCGTGCGAGCAACCCAGCTGCCGCAGCAGTCTGACAAGAAAAAAAATTAGAGAGTTCTAGTTTAACTGCTAATTATGGGTCACTTATGTTTGTGTTTTGATTTATGATGTATTTAGTTTGGCAATTCATACCATTTATGCACTCTATTCCTCTTTCGAATAGAAACTATATATCTACTAATACGTCGAACCTTACATGTATAAATAGTTGACGTAAAATAGTTGTATCATAGTTGAAATATATTACGTACTTTAAATAAATAAATCTTTGTGTAATTATGGAAAGTAGTATGTGCATACCTGAGTATAATATTCATAATCATGAAATATGGACAATCTATATTTTCTTCTTCTTTCTTCTCCTTAGTACTGTCACCACCTTCTACATTAGTAGAATCTTGACTTTGAGCACATGGTAAACCAGAATCCCTTTCCTATAACAAAAAAATAAATAAAAATATTGTGATGCAATTCTTAACTACACAATTTATTAAAATATAAAAATGAAATCACCTTATTGTCTTTTCCTAGATCCATTAATGGATCCACCGATCCTGGTTGCAAATCTTCAGAAACGTTATTCTGCCAGTTTTTGTGAACTCCAATTTCCATTAATGTATCAACCAAGTTCAACATTACTTCCATTACTCGTAAGGTTATGTAGAAGCTATCCATAACAGATACTGAGTAAACAGCCTTAAAAATAGAAAATATACAGAAAACTAAATATAATAAAAGTACAGAAATTATTACTTTATATATATATTGCTTTTTTGTGTATATATTATTTTGTCTTTTTACTGTGTATGTCTGTTGTTATTTGTGTGTTGTAAGTAATCATTATTATAAATTATTATTATTATTAAAAAAAATAAAAAAAGTACATAGTCACCTACTAACTAAAAAAAAAAAATGAATTCTGCGATTTATTTAAATTTTTTATATTAAGGAACAATTATCATCATCATATCAGTCTTTGGCTATCCACTGTTAACCATAAGCCTCTCTTTTGGGGGATTTTGCCAGTAGTTGCCACGTTGGACAGGCGGATTTGCAACCGCAGTTAGTCTTGAGAGATTTTTTAAGAGGGGCGCTGCTACTCATCACTGGTCCTCCCTTAGAGGCTATTATGACACCCACGGGAAAGGAAGGGGTGGTGTGTTCTATGCCGGGACCATACGGACATTAAGGCACAATATTATTTAGTTGCTCTTATGAACATGAGTTTAAAATATCATCAAGAGGTACTTGAGGTTTTATGATTGATGTAATATTGAATATATTTCCTAATAAATTTCGTAGCATACTACTAATGTATTTCTCCTTTTCATCAGCCAATAGTAGTATATTGTTGCTTAGTTGATTTAGTAGTCATTGTAGACAGATTTTGGCTCGTTCGTTAGTACTCTTTTAATTTTTTTGATGAATGCACTTTGTTTTCTGTACATATAGCACCCTCAACATGCTCTATTTTATTTTTTATTTTATTTCAATAGGTACACATTACAGAGAATTAACATGGTTACATTAATTTATACAGTACAATAATTTTTTGTTCAAGCTAACCCTCCAAATATATGCGTACACAGAATGATATTTTGAATTTGATGAACTCGTATTCGGATCAACATCAAATTGATTCTTTACACACTTAAACCCCAAGATTTACTAATGTATGGGCTTTTACGGTACCATATATTATACATAAAATTATAGATTCGATATACCTTTAGAACGACTTGAAAATCTATATCACCATCTTTTGTAATATAATATAAGCTTCCAGGCGCCTCTTGTATCTCCTCTACAACATAGGTAATATTAGAGTCTGTTTGTGATCGGGTCAGACTTGGCTTCCTTTCTGGAGTAGGCATGTGTTGGGACCCTTGCATGCTAACTGAATCGATCTGAGATTCCATTGAACCCTGTGATTAGATAATTTTTTAAAATATTTATGTAAATCTTAATTTAATTCAAGACAAAAAATATGTTACAATGTCAACTTTTGCACTCAATTAGACTTGTTTCTAATTTTAAGTATTATCAAAATGAGTTTATCTAATCTGACATTAAGAAAATTATTGTTTTTAAATTGATATATTAGCCAACAAATTAGTTTTCATTAATCAATCCCTGGGATAGTAGGTTTAGGTATAGCTATAATGTTAATCCTAATAATTATAATATAATATATTCGAAAGGGATGGATGTATAGATGGATGTTTGTCACTTTTTCACGTAAAAACTACTGATCGGATTTAAATGATATTTGATACACAAGTGGGTTATATTTTTACTTAGCAACTTGGGTATTTTATGTGCTACTTCACGCGGGTGAAGCCGCGGGATACAGTATAGTTTGAACACAAATCTAATTGTTTAGCGACTATGAATATAAATGGCTTTAAAATATAAAAAATAGACCCTATATTAATAATCATACCTGTCTTGTCTTAGAGAGATAATCGGGAGATGGCGTTGGTGTGTGTTCAGTAACAGTTATTATGGGATTCTTCTTTTTCTGTATACTTGCAGGCAGTGTGTTAGAAGGCCCATGGGACCTTTCTGTCTTGATTTCCCCGATGTATCTAAAATATAATGGATAATTTAATTACTGATTTTCGTTAAAATATGACTATTTTCATAGAATATCATTAAGTAATTAATAAGACTGAATAATGGACGGTTAAAAGTGTATTAAATATTATATTATTGTTTAAAGTGTAAGGTGGTGTGCCTGAGTATAATAAATCTAAATTAAAGTGTATTTTTTTGGTATCACACAATCTCTTTCTATAAATGTAGGTACTTGTTTATCGTATGTAGTATGATAATACAAGTGAGAAGTATTTATAATTCTTTCCATGCTACAAAAATTCAAACCACCCTTTCTCAACATATTTATAAGCAGCAGTTTTTGATAAAAATTAACAATGAAAAAAAGTATATGTAAATTTTATTTATATAGTTTTATTTCATAAATCAATGCTGAATAAACATAATGGTAAGGAAAAGAATATAAGTTTAAAATCGGATTATTGTATCGAAAGGGTGTTTTTGTTTTCTCAGATAAATTTTAACCGATTTAGTAAGTATCAGTAAGGATAATGTATTCTACGTCATGCTATATAATTTGTTTATAATTTCATAACGATGTTTGCATTCCAACTGAAATTTGTTTAAAATGTTTAAAATTGCAGTACTTTACCTGGTCAAAGTTTTAGTTGAAGCATCTTATAAGCGAATTCCATGGGCTAACTACTCAAGTATGTAATGCGTATTACGATGTTTACTGTGTACTAGATACGTGGTTAGTGTAGTGCGTGCATACAATCACTTTGATATTTATGTTACGTATATACAAATGCTATTTAGTGCTTTATCAAAGTAATTGTTTAGTGTCTTACAAGCTTGTGTACTTATGAGCGCATTTTAAATCCATGAAGTTTCGTGACACGCTAATTTAGGCATAAATTTACCAAGTTCAACACCTATGCAATACAATGTAGTGTGTATTATCTCAGAGCATTACTTTTATTTAACTTACGAAGCATCTAAATTCCTTGTAGTGTTGCTTTCACACTTACCCATTAGATGCTAGCTCATCAATCAGACAGCTAGCGACCGTTTTGTTCATCCATTACAATATTGAACGGGATTAAGCGTTAAGAAGACGGGAGAAAAGAGAAAAAATATAATTTTTAAATAGGAAATATTACTTAGAGAATGTGTTAAAAACAAATCATGCTGTGCTGTGAAATGAAAAATGTGAAAATTTATACGGTGGCGTTAAGAAGTAAACATTTTCTTCATATAATTTTCATAATTATATCTGGTATACTGCGGACCTTTGAACTTGTCAATAGTAAATTGTATACATCTAAACTATTACTAAAATACTTTTTTTAATTGAATTTAATATAAAATTTAAAAGATAGGATGGTATTCTGAAATAACGACGAAATAAAGAGTAAAAATATGATAGATACTATGAGAAATATTGAATAAAAATAATAAATATAAAAATGTTAAAAATTATACTTGCCTTAAACTTGGCATACTTTTTCCTTTGATGAGATTGCACTGTAGGAAATCACCCGTTAATCTGGGTGCTAATGGCGGAAAATTGCTTGCTAGGGCTGAGTTAGGCCTGTCGTCAGCATTGTCTAGGCTTCTATGATAGTCCTGTAATAATGTATCTTTTAGAATATATTGATAAACGATAAATATATATTAAAAGAGCTATAAAAAACAATAAGTACAGATAGCATTCTTACTGCTGTGTGAAATGAAAACTTATGGTCGTCTTGACCAATTTTTTCTAGTGCTTTTTCAGATTTAGAGAGTAGTTTAGTCTCAACGAATGCTTTTAAATCAGCCATTTTCATTTTTCGTTTTATCTTTTCACTAGATCGACGTGACATAATACATTCTTCCTCAATTTTTGGCGCGTTCGGAAATGGACTTTCGTTTAATGGTGACATGTCTTTGACTTCTGGAACCTCCATAAAATTTTTTAATGAATCTCGTTCTTTAATATCGGGGCTCTGGTATACAGATACTTCTATTTTTGGTATAGGTAATGAGTTGCTTCTTTTTCTTGGTTGAGTTTGTTTCGATATATCGTCACATATATCTCGCAATCTAAAAGAGTAAAATAAAAAGTGAAGTAATATTTTTGCTTAAGCCCATTATAGACATCGATATGATTTTCAACACTGAACATTTTAAAGACTTTACCTATTATACAAATAATGCAATGCCCAATATACACCTTCTTCTTGCCATTGAGAAGTAAAAAGACATCGTAAAGTAGCAACATCTAAAAATGTGGCAGCTGATACCTAAAAATAATTACATAGTGGATTGTAACTACAATTATATAATGATTCTGTATAATGATTTATAATTAATATAAGTATTTTAAGACAAATTTATTGCTATTAATTACATGGCCTTGTTTCGTTGATGGTGGATTCTCGGTAGGAGGTGTCTCTTTAGGCCCTTGTCCACCCCCACCACTATCTGATAGAGATTCTTTGTCAGATGAGCTGAAATTAGGAAATAAAATGCGATAAGTACTTGTACTACTATATTTTTTTTATGTTAATTTAGTAGATACCTCCCAAATGTGCTGAAGTGTGGTAATTACTACGTATAAACGTTACGGCTATTATGATAGCCTATAGTATAATCGATATATTGCCTGTGTCTTTTTAATCCATTTGTAATAAGTTGGATGATGATTTTTGAATTAACTTATTAAAAAACCGTACGAGGTTTGTCCGGAAAGTACGTATAAAAGTTTTTTAAAAATTTTATTTTACAATTATTCAGGTAAATCAATTTTATCTCCTTCAAAGTACTCCCCCTGTGACATAATGCACTTGTGCCAACGCCGTTTCCACTGTGAGAAGGCTCCTTGAAAGTCCTCTGGTTGTAGGTTTCTCAGCTGCCCCGTCGTAGCTTTTTTTATCTCATTTATGTCCCCCAAATGCCGCCCCCGAAGTACCAATTTGGTTTTTGGGAACAAGAAGAAGTCACACGGGGCCAAATCCGGCGAATAGGGGGGGTGTTCGGTCACCGTAATGGAATTTTTACTCAAAAACTCACGGACAACAAGAGAGGTGTGGGCAGGGGCATTGTCGTGGTGAAGAATCCAACGCCCCTCTCGCGCCAATTCTGGACGAACTCGTGCCACACGAGCTTTGAGGCGTCTGAGCACATCGACGTAGAATTTTCCATCAACTGTCTGGCCTGGAGGGACGAATTCTTGATGGACAATCCCCCGAACATCGAAAAAAACAATCAACATTGTCTTGACATTTGAGCGGGATTTTCTTGATTTTTTTGTTCGTGGTTCCCCGGATGTCTTATCGAATTAGATCGGCAAAAATTTCACGGCCATTCTTGCCGAGTTTCGAGAGAAACTTGATTACGACGCGCTGCTCTTCAACGGAAGCGGGCTCCATGCCGACGGGGTCTCGTTAAGAGGTAACTTCACAGATGGCGTGACAAGCCAGTTCGCACCGCACGGCGGTCAGACCAGAACTGAAGCATTGTTAGGGACATAAGGAAGGGGTCCTGCGCTTACCTGGCCTCCCCACTCCTCTTTCTCGCATTCCAGAACACTTTTATACGAACTTTCCGGACAGACCTCGTAAGTTGCACTTAGACATTACAGTATTGTATGAAAGTTTTATAATAGTATATCAATGATATTGTAAAATAAAAGTCATTATAATTATATTAATACCTCATTTTTGGAATTTGCGGAAGTGGTTTGATGCCAGGTAAAGTCGGTTTCGTGGAGTCGGATTTCCGTAGTTGGAACAAGCTCGGATCGGCCGCGTATACCGTGTAAGTCTCTTTGATAGCGCCACCAAAGTTTTGTTCAGAAGGAAGTCGGTAAATAAACTAAAACAATGTATTGTAATTTATATGTTAGTTACTACTAACATAGAAATGATTCTATACTTGAATAAAAATTATTAAATATCTAAAAACAAGTTGTCAGGATTGCTCGACAGATCTAGAAATACGTTCGATATTTTACTATTATACAGGGTGAAAGGGACAGGTTGGCCAAAATGAAAATAGCTTATTCAAATTAATGGTCTGAACCAGATGGTAGATTATTTTCCCACCGGAAATGCAGCACAGCCATATAATTAAGATTCTTAGTTTTAAAGAGTATTAGTTTAAGTGTGCAACTTATTTGAAATTTTACTTTAATTTTACTGCTCAATGGGACGCAGGATGTCTATATCGCGCGGTCAACGGCGCTTAATTGTAAGTAGTTTTTGTAAGCTTGTGGCTTTGACCTTACACAGCTGATTCTGCGCGTTGCGGTAGGATTTTAAAGAGAATATTATATTACTCTTTTTTGGTATTTAATAGTGTTTCACTATAAAATATTGTTATTTCTTTATATTATGACATAATATCACTGATTATATCATTTTAAATGAAAATAACAATGCAAAATAATTAAAAATTTCCGGAAAAAATTTCCACTGATTTTTAGTTCAGAATAATGATCTGAATTCATTGTTTCTATTTTGCTAACCTGCCCCTTACATCTACCTAGTATATATCTCGATTGTAAACTTATATGAACATATTACATGTTCGGCATATTATGTTTGGCGTAATAAAAAAATGATTACCACATGTTCTTCTTCAGTGCTTGAGCTTTCTTCAGGAATAGTTTCAGGGAAGATTGTATCTTTTGGTGAAGAGAGCCAAGGTTCTTCTTCTGTACTTGCTTGTTTCACTGGTACTTCAGGTTGAGAGATAGATATATTTTGACTTGGAGGGCTTCCATTTACTGGGCCTTCCTCTTTAGAATATTTGCCTGTATAATTCAAAATATTTATATTGAACATTAATATGACAATAATATTTATTGTTAATTATAATATTTTTAAATATTTTGGATTTGGTCTATTATTGATTATAAGCCTTGACATGTCAAGCACGGTTTTTGGAAATAATAAACAAAAATTGCTGATATATAGCTCATCAATTGATATAAGCAAGAATTTCCCATTATAGGAAAAAAAAGAAAATCTTTGATACTTACGGCCCATAAACACATCTCCATGCTGATTACGCTTAGAAAATTTTCCACCTAAAGGCTTAGGCTTAGGTTTCACATGTGTGGTGAAGCATGGTGCATCAGGATGTCTGAATTCCCACAATGCTTGCCACAGCTTCAAACCATTCTCCAATCGATAATTTATAGTGAAGTCAGACTCCTTGAGGTGGTGAGATATTGGTGCAAATAAGAAGACAAAGAGCTGAAATAAAATCAAATATTTATTGCATTACATTTATGAATCACAGTATGTCTAGGCACTTTTTTTTAATATTAAACACTCCAAATATCTTTAGTAAATGTGAAAGTTACTAAAGATGTTTGGATAATTGTTATTGACATCATGGTTAAAAAATGGATTTGAATAAAATTGGTACACAGATAGGCCATATCATAGATTAAAACATAGTATACTTTATGTCCATGATATGACAAAGCTCCATGTTGCAGTTAGTCTAAAGATCATGTACAGGTGTCTAAATACCAAAATAAATGCACTTCCCTTTCTAAAAAATTGTTTTATTTTATACTATTTTATAATAGTATAAATAAACGATTTTTAAAAGACCATGAACATAACACTAAGTAAGTTTTACTTAATACAAATAAAAATAGTTTGTAATTATTAAAATAAATACATACAGTCATGGCCGGTATAGAAAATAAGTAGTGAAAGGGATTGGATATAAAAATCCCATTTTCATAATCATTCTCAGCACATTCATCTGAGGCATCAAGGAGGATCCAATGCAAAGTGTAAAGTAATCTGGTTTCCACATTGCCTAGGGACTGCATGTTGTCTTTTACTCTGTAATAAAATAATAAAGTTACTTATATTTACTTATAGGTACTTTCTGTTATAATGACAGTCAATGCAGATTATAATTTATAACTTGATCAGTGTACTCCTATTAATGTTCTATATTTAAATGCAAGTTGTTTATGTAATCAGTATCCTATAAAACAGTATATTGTTTAAAAATAATACATGGAATAATAATTAAAACAAATATTTTTACATTGATTATAAACAGAATTGATTTTTTTAAAAATGTTTTCTTTATAAATAAGGATAAAATTATAATTGTAACTGACTGAAAAAAAATATACTTAAAAAATACAGATGAATTAAGAATCTCACTCTTATTTAAAAACCTTTAAAAAAAGGAAAGAGATCATCTAGATACCTGTTGTGCAACAACGCAGCCAATGCATGCATCACATGGGGAAATGCAGCTTGTATGAGGCGCCATCTTGGTATTGCTTCTATAGCCTCATTCAAACTCAGAGATAATTCAATACGGATATTCTGCACCAAGACTTTTTCAAATGACTGTAACAATTTTTATTTATTCCATTAAAGTCATAATTCAACATAGAGATTATTCATTTGGCAAAAACATAATTATGCAGAAAGTAGTCAAATTTCTTATTAATATCTGATTTTAATAGAGTTAATATTATGAATTAGATACTATATAATGTTAGAGCTTGTGATGGTTTTTGGATGTTTAGATGTTTGTTTTTCAATTATTTTTAAACAGCCAAATGGATTTAAGTTGGTACATATTCTGGATTTATGATTTTTTTATAAATAGGTAAAGCTGCGGGATACAGCTTGTATTTTGATTATGAAAGGTCTGTAAAAAAGTCTGATGTTTGTTACTCATTAACATAAATAGTTGAATGAGGTGAATAAAATTTGGGTCATGAAAATAAGAATCCTAATCTCTACTATAACACTTCCTTTTATTTTAAATGACAGTAAAATGGCATACTACTATACTTTAATTTCCTATACCTTATTAATTATTTTCTTATATATTATAAAACTTCTTGAATATACTAGCGACATGAGATTATGGTCAATGTTGTTAGAGTAATGAAATATACAGTGTTAGAGTATGGGGAGGAAAATTAGGCATCTAGGAATAGAACCAGCTCCCTGGCTTACTGTGTAGAAATGGTTCACCTATAAGTTAATTATCTATAATGCTGAAAATTCTTACTAATATTATAAATGTGAAAGTGAGTTTGTTTATTACCTTATCACACATTAATAGTCTAACCAATCACTGTGAAATTTGGTATACATATACTATATAGGATGACCAAGGATATAGGCTATTTTTGATTCCCGTCAGGAAATATATCCTGCTCAAGCGAGCGAATTCGCGGGTATAAGCTAGTTAAATTAATAAAAAAGTACAACGTATGGATAGATGTTATATTTTTGTATTTTGTTTAAGTTGCAATAAGTTGATATTTATCTTATTTTACAAATATAAATGGTTTACCTTACAAGCTTCTTTCAATTCCTGTGTGCAGGGAAAGAAAAATATATAATGCTGTTTATATCATTAAATTTTCAACGGCAATTAAGTAATATAATCACGGAGAAAAAGCAATTTGTCTACTAGTTAATTATTATTACATTTGGTTAACATTTTAATTAAGTTTTATGATTTTTTTAAGCGTTTAGTTAAACTTTGATTTTGAAAAATAAGGATGAGAATGTAAACAAACAAAAAATTTGTAGGTCTTGTTTGCTTGTGACATTATATACTTTGTCGTATTGACAAATTGTCAATGTCAGACTCTGACAGCATAATCACTGCTAGAGACATACATAAATATTTTTTAATGAATGGGAGGGCGGGGGGAGGGAATTGTTAGTAATGCAGGTTACCAGTCCCATTGCTAGGGGGGAAAAGGATTGTTAGCAATGGAGTTTGACAGCCCCATTGCTAGCAATATACCTTATTAGGTCGACCTCCACGTGGTTCCCCCTGGAAACCATCGTGAACAATTCTTGTTAAATTCGTCACGATGGGCTAACTGACCTACTTCATCCTCATCTATCATTCTTCACTGGTGCCCCGCCAGTGTATACCGATAGCGCAGGTGGGGTTACCATTCCATTATCATCCATTAAAAAAAAAGTCCCATTGCTAGCAATATACCCCCGACCGATCGACCTTCACGTGGCTCCCACTGGAAACCATCGTGCTGAATTCCAGGCGTATTCATCACGGTGGGCTAACTGACTTGTCTTTTCATTCTCACCTATCATCTATTACTGGTGACCCACCAGCGTATACTGATAGCTTAGGTGGAGTTACCATTTCATTATCACCCATTAAAGACCTAGGGCGGGCACCGGACAATTCTTGGATGAGCACGGCACATCCGGTTCCCTCTTAAATACGTCTATTGGTAGTGATTTTGTACCTACATAGTTTCCTTTTGCTGTAGGTATATTTTCTAATATAAATATGGTGTTAAGAATATGAACTGGCATTAAAACATCTATAATTAGAAAACCACAATAATAAACTCACATGGTGTCCAGGAGCTCGTTGGCAAAACTGTAAGGAAAAAAGTAGAAAAATTTTAATACACATAACGATAATAATTAGTTGGCAACAAATAAATCAATAAATAATGTAAGTCCCACATTTGGTTCCACACAGTCACACCTTCAATTATTTTAAAAAATTAGGATGCTGATATGAGGAATTAAGTAACGATTATCTAGGGTGATAATCCAGGACATCCATAATCGAGTCAGTCAATTTAGAACAGTTTGCGTCCAAGATTGACTCTAGTGAGAATCAGATCCGGGATCACATTTATGTAAAACAACGAAACGAATAACGAAATAACCTATTAGTATATGTTGTGGAGATGGTTATTGCCGTTAAGCCAACAACCCGATATCTATTAGCACAAAAAATCTTATCTAGGCATGGATCTTACATAGAGATATGTTTAGTACAATCTACTGTCTCACTCAACAATGAAACTGTACATTTTCCAAGGAAGATTGAAGATTAGAATAAAAAATATAAACAAATTACGTAGTTATGTCGCCGATTTTATATGAATCATTCTATAATTTTTTCTCATTAATTTTCATGCTGAATCTTTGGAGGAAGTTGTTTATAAATATCTACTATTGTTGGATTTCGGATTGTCCTATCCTAATTATTTTTTCTTTTGTAGATTCTGTGGAACTATGAGTACTGACCATGCAATCTGCATCGTGAACTTTTCCAAGTCTAGGCCGTACGAATGGCGTGGTTTGTGTCCACAGGAATATCTGAACAGGAATTGGGATCACTTCCTCTGAGTTGGGGTCTTCGTCATTGGAGTCCTTCATTCTTACTTCAATTTAGTAAAATATCTGAAACATACAAAATGATAAGTGAAATTTAATCGCATTTAATAAGTACTTAGTTTATATCCTTTACTTAGACATAACTTTATTTCTGCTAATGGAGAATTAGTTATTTACAAAATCTTTGACAAAATGATTTGTATATGCTTGCTTGTAAAATCCGGGAATATTGAGTAGTGACTGACCAAATTGACAACCTTTGATTTGAGATTATAATTATGAATATATTAATTTTAATTTCAATAATGATAATATTTATTTAACTTTTATTGCAGTAGAAACATAAAAATAAACAATGACATATAAACAATTCAAGTGAAATACAATAAAGTACAGATTAAAAATATAGGTATATATAAATCTGCATGGGTATTCCTATACCGTTTGAGGTTCTGTGGTTAAGCAGTTTTGCATCCTTGGCTATGTTTCTGTTTGATGGGTGCCTATAGCAGTAAAGTTATAGGGTATGGATGCATACCACATTCTTTATGGGATAAAAATTTAATGGCACAGCCATCTGTGCAGTTGATATTGGTTAGCGCGGTTTTTACGGTAGGTAATTAACCATCATGGATAGTAGAGGGACCACATAGAGGTCGACCTTATAAGATATTACGAACAATTCACGTGTAACATATTGGTCCTCAGTAATGTCAACAGATGAGTGTTGTCCATGGTGGAGGTACATATATTATTGTTTTAGGTATACATATTTATTCTAATACTAGCTACATACTGCGGCCTCATCCGCTTGAATCAGTATATATTGTAACCTATATTCTAAGTTAGGATATAATCAATCCGTCTAACAAATTTCATTTAAATCTATCCACTGGTGCGTGTAAGACACCGGCATTTATTCACCTTCACAAAATTTCACATTGTTAGTAGTAGTAGGAAGTAGGATTAATATGTTTATAATAACATTAATATGTTTACTACGGTTATTACTTTTTTTTTATTAATTAGTATAAAAAAATAAGTTGCTGTATGGTCCCGCCATAAAATGAGCCACTTCTTCTTTTCCCGTGGGTATCGTAAGAGGTGACTAAGGGAACATGATAATCTAGGTCGAGGCATGGACAGCAGCGTCCCTTTAGAAACATTACCAAAGCCTAACTACGGTTGAAAATTCGTCTGTCAACTGCCCAATAGGGAGAAGCCTATGTTCAGCAGTGGATAGTTAAAGGCTGATATGATGAAATTATAAAAAAAAAAAAAGATTTTCCAGTGAATGTTATAGATAGTTTTTGGTGTTGATTATTCAACCAGATGCTTTCAATTACTGTTGAAGATAGTTTGATTTATTCGAAACAAACTATGAAGCATTTCTTTAAAATCTGTTTTAAAGAATTAAATTGAAATTCGTTCATTCGTGTGGATATTCTATATTTTCATACACATACACAGATATACAGACTGACTGGTTTTAAACTAATAACACTATTTGCGTCGCAAATTATTAAAATTGAGTAGTTGCATTTATGATCATATTTTGTAATTGTTCTTTATCATATCACATGCATATAGAATGGTAGAGATCATTTTTAGCAGTAAGGTTTTACATTACTTTTCTCTTATGCTGTTCAGGTATTTTTTTTTATAATTTTATATATTTTGGGTGAGCAATAAATAATATATTACTATAATATATTAATAGGATTATCTAGTATTATTTTTTTTTATTATAAAACAAAGGAAACTCACTATTGAGAATATTTAAGAAAACGTGGAACAAACAATATTTTATGTGTATAAATATTATGAATAAACAAAATAAAAAGGTAGGTTCATAGTAACAGATACTTACCAATATCGATGATTTTGAACTATGTTCACGAAATAAGAAGTACACAGGAGTACTGTTTACATTTTGGTAAGAGGCCCAGAACCGGCACGGTATGTGGAAAATGGCGTTGAGAACGCAGGTAGAGACGCGCAGTAACAGGAGGGAAGCTCGGTTTAGAATGAGGTTTTGCGCATTCGTATCCAGAGGGATACAGGGTTGTCACTTTGGTCCATTAAACTAATCGAAATTTGTTCAGTGTCTGTTATTCTGTCATTTGATACGGCTGTAGTTTACAGTAGGTCTATTTCGCAATTATTACATTATTAGGTGTACGAACTGAAATTATTGGAAACTACAGAAAAATAATCATATTTCGATAAATATGTAGGTACTGAAATCTTTTCTGTTGTTATTTTTATATATATAGATAATCTGAAATATCAATGGGTAGACGAATCAATGGAATACCGGGGATATTGTTACATTTAAGTTTTTCTTAAGAAAATGTAGCTAGCAGCCCTATAAAGATTTCATTGATCTGTGCGCGCAGCCTCCCGTTGTCATAGGAACTAGTGGCATGGCTGCCTATCGAGCAGCTGCGAATATAGGTCATATTCATTCAACTTTTTCAAATCTAAATATTAAATTTATGATATGGGCTTAATCAATGCGAAGCAAAAATCACACAGGGCTTTAGAGAACTTACACTTCGTTTATTATATTATACGAATTAATAGCAAGAAAAATTTATAATAATTGAATCTAGTAAGTCAAAGGCTTATGTTCAGCAGTGGACAGTTAAGAGCTGACATGATAAAGTCAAATGATTAAATGGATACGTTTATTCAGTCTGAGTCTTCTATTTATATTTTATGACGCAAGGAAAATTTAGATTTCATTTATAATTACTTTAAAATACATACTATATTTACAATTAGTGAAATAATATTGAACTAATAAGATTGGCATGGATATCAATGTTCACTTTACGTCAGGCAATTTACTTTATAAATAGAGTCGCCTGGGAGCGGCAGCACTAAACAGTTCCCACTTTATAGATTGTTTCTTCTGTTTATGTGTTAATGCATTGTAACTATCTTTATATAAAGATGTACATATGGTATGTGTACCTCGCAGGTTTATTATTTTAAAATTTCTTATTATAATGATTGTTAAAAAAAGTATATACTGAGTCCTCAGGAATGGCAATGCATGGGGGGGTATCATGGGCGAAACAGTATACTCTGTTATGTCCATGGTATTGCTCATGTCTATAGGCGACGGTTACCACTTTCCATCAGGTGGGCCGTCAGCTTGTTTGCCATTCTAAGTTGTATATAAAAAAAATACACATTTAGGGGAACCCTAGTAATAAACCGAAAAAAAAATTGTCTGTGTTTTTTCCAAGATTCTATACTATTAATAATATGTTTTTTGCTATCTGCAAAATGTATACTTCAATGATTTAATTTTTACTATTTTAAGTAAAATAGCAATTTTATATAAGTGGCACTTACTTACACTCGTATATTGAAAGTATACGGGTAGTTATGAAAATAATTAAGACATCTATACACATAAAAATTTTTTAAAATACCTTTTCCTGATTTTCAAAATGGTGAAAATCAAAGGAACAACATTTCATCGACGATAAGGTTAAACCGTGTTTGTTTACGATATCGGCGTGACGTCATCTTTGAGGCAAACTTAAATACACTTTCATACAAATATATACATTTTGCTTCCTTGTTTTGTCATGATAGAAGATAAAGTCGCGCTTTGCCCTGTACAGTTTTATATTTTTAAAACGACCGAAAGCATCCGATTATTACATAATAAGTGTATGTTGTTTTATTTAAATATTATTTAATACTTATTTTATGTTTTGAAAAAACGCAACAAATTTAATCAGAAAGAATAGTAAGAGTGAGAAGTAAAAATTATTGTTCCAAATATCATCACCGTGCCAAATATTAATTAAATATTTAATATACTTAGTACAAGCTTACCTTTGTATTGAAAATTATTTCTTATACGAGTAATAGTAATTTGAATCTCTTTGCGTGATAGAATTCGAAATGAGGATATCCGCAAAAGAATCAAAGTAACCGACATATTCCAAAGGATAAGCCAGCTGAAGTAGTAAGTTGGTAAGTAAGTAGTACGAGTATGTAGGTTGGTCAAATAGCTCGAAGAACCGACAACCGATGGGGAAGAAAGGTTCTTGAGTGGCAGCCCCGCACAAGCAAACACAGTATAAGACGACCTCCAACTAGATGCGACGACTTGAAATGCAGTGCTGGGAGTCAGTGGATACAGGTAGCCCAGAACCGTTCTTTATGGCAGTCTATGAGAGAGGTTTATGATCAGTAGTGAACGGATAATGGTTGAAATGATGATGATGATTAATTATAATTTGAAGTTAACAACAAAGGAATACCTACACGTGAACTTTATAAGAATGGTAACAGTCCAAGTTTGAAGACGAAGGTCTTTAGCCACTTTGTATTGCCGGTGATGATCCATGAAATTGAAACATGGTCCTATACGGTTGTCCGTATGCAAAAACTTTTAGTTACTCAGCGAGCTATGGAGAGGGCTACGCTCGGAGTTTCTTAGCGTGACAGAATCCAAAAAATGAGGATATTTGCAAAAGAATTAACACAAAAGAAAGGCTCAGACTCTTTCTTATGTCAGCTTATGGGGGAGGCCTATATTTAACAGTTATAGTGACTGATATAATGGTGAACTTTCAGGGCACATCTCTCGATAATAAGTCGAGTCTGGGGATTCTTGGCGTCGATATATCTAGCCACGTCTAGTTTTGCGGTCATCTGTGAGAAAAAAACAAAGATAGCTTCCAAAAATTGGGGGTGCTAAGTAGGGTGGGACGGTATTTCACGCTGAAACACCGCCTGAAACTGTATAAAGCTCAAGTCAGGCCACATATGGAATACTGTTCTCACCTATGGACAGGAGCGCCACAATACCAACTCCTTCCGTTAGACCGCATTCAAAGTTGGGCAGCTCGAATTGTTGACGATTGGCGCCTTACTGTCCGACTCTACCCACTGAAACTGCGTAGAGATGTTGTATTTCTGTGCATCTTCTACGGAATTTATCATGGGGAGTGCTCTGAGGAATTGTTCAGATTGTTACCTGCTGCTGATTTTCACTATCGTACAACCCGCCATAAACTAAAATTTCATCCCAACCATCTGGACGAGCGGCGGTCCTCCACCGTGTGTTTTTCAAGGCACTTTCTTCCACGTACAGCCACTCTTTAGAATCAACTACCAGTAGCAGTATTTCCGAATTGATATGACAACATAACCTTCAAGAAAAGAGCATATTCCTTTTTAAAAAGCTGACAGTACATCTGCAATGCCGTTGGTGTTGTAGATGATCACGGGCGGCGATAGTCACTTACCATCAGATGAGCCGCACGCTAGTTTGCCCCCAGTATTGTAAAAAAAATTGCAAAAAAAGCAAATGTATTTGCATAGGTATATTTTGAAGAATCGTGGACTTTTGATCGATGATTCCGGTAGTTAGCCTATTCTCCAATCTGATATATTTAAAAGAAAAGCACCTTTGAAATGGAACGATACATAATCTTTCTGTATATGAAATATGTCATATAGGTACAGTGTCGTAATTATTTGCCATATATAGTGTTAGAGTTATGTGGTCTGTATTACTAATTTAATGGAGTATTTTTATAATAGTATTATACTTGTAGATATAGAGTTGTATCAATATGCTTTTATTGCTTTAAAGTGCATTGCTTTAAAGCACAGATATTATACGCGCAACAGGTACCAAGGCGTCACAGTAATGTTTATGGTGCAGTTTCAGTCTATAAGCTAAAGGTGCCATTTTCTACCATGTGAACAATTAGTTTATTTGTCATTCTATGTTATATTAAAATTATTATAATCGAAATAAATAATTCTCAACAAATTTTAATTACGTATCGCGAAACGCAGCCGATTAGTTCTACCTATATTATGATACGAAACTTGAACAAAAATAGCACGAGGTTGACGAATAACAATAATGTAGCTATCGACGGGGCGTTACTGAAATAGCGACGCTGTTTTGAATGAAATAGGTAGATAGGTATTTTGTATTTTAAAGTAAACGCCAGTGTTATCTTTCTATAGATAAAATTTATTGAGTATTGTTTTTTCCTCAATATTGATGTTTTTTTAACGGGTTTTCATAAGAAAGAGGTTCTTCATTCGACTGCATTTTTTGCAGGTAACGATATCTGAGCGATTTTGATAATTCTTTCTTATTACTGAAGAAGAGCTTACTTTCTTGATACTTTTAGCTACAATTTAATTTTGCCAAGCTTGAAGTTGGTTTTGTATAAAAAACAATATTTTGGACTTCTATTACCTACCTTACTACAATTTTATAAATCTGGAAATAAGTATTTTGCTGGAGTTTTTAAAATTAAAATACTGGCCATAACAATAAGAAAAAAATAAAACTGTCAAGATATTTATTTGACACATTTTTTCATTCAGGCTTAATCCTCATTTCAAGAAAAATAGGCAAGATGACTAATAAAGAAGGTATGTTTTTGGATTTGGAATCGTTATTTATGTTTTTAGATCTTTATTTATAGTTTAAGGTCGATGTTGTTAAATAATAGGCCATCATATATAGATATGGACGAGCAATCATACAATCCGCGATTGGCTGCGTTGTTAGCAGTTCACCTCGTTAGTCAAGTATTGGATGAAGCGTACGTTATAGCAAATGCTGCAAGAGAATCAGGTAGTTATTACGTATTTTAAGTACAGTACAACTTTTACACCCTTTTCTATGTTCAGAATATTATATTTTATTCAGAAAGTAGTCTAAGGTATTATAAGAATTTTAAAAAAACAATCAATTTTACAATTGCGGCACAGAAAGATTTTTAACAATGTTGTCAACTGTTTTCTATTAATGTCTAAATCATACAGTAATTTTGATTTGACAATTTAAGAAACGGACCGATTTCGCGTACATAATCTATAAGATCACCAAGCAATAAAAAATGTTTTAAGACTGTATAGATTTTTCCTGTAGAAATTTGATGGAGAGATGTACAAAAGTATATTATTACATATTCGTGTGTTAGTATTTTTAAAATGCTGGCGATTTGGCCTAGTTTGTTTTAGACTGCAAATACGAACAATTATGAATCTCCATTATTAATGATAGCAAAATAATTTCATTTATTTTACGATTATCGGGATTGTTAAGCTATAGGTATAATATTTTGATTATTTATTATTATATGTCTTTTTGCAAAATATGAATAAATATGGTCAAAATATCTCAGTAGTTCTTTTTTAGGTTGCTTAGACTGGATATTTTTTATCTAAGTTTTCTTTAGTACTCTTATATTTGACCATATGAAATAGAACAAAATTTACATACAGGTCAACCATGGCATTATTTATCAGTGATGAAAAATTTGAAGGTTAATAAAGGTGAAGTGGAAGACGAGGAATTTTCGTATAATATAATACCGAATGACGACAACGACGATGATTTGAGAGATAAGTTGGATATTGCTACCAATATTGTTGTTACGTCTACACCTCAAAAGAATACTGGTAGGTAGCTTTAATTTAATGAGCAGTAAGTTTGTAAAATTCCTTCCAGTGGGTGTCGTAAAAGGCGACAAAGAGTACTTAAAAGTCAAGGGTTGGGAAGCAGCGTCCCTCTTGAAACATCATCAAAGCCTAACTGCTATTACCAACTTGCCTGTCACGCGTGGCAAGTGGCAAAACCCTCTTTATGGGGAAGATCTATGTTCAGCAGTGGACAGTTAACGGCTGATATGAATGAATGAATGTTTATGAAATTAATTTGCCAGTACTCAAATTATTTTAAAAGAGCATTCCTTTTTTGAAAATAGTTTGGGTTTTTTTTTTTAAATAATTTATATAAAGTACTTGTGTGTAGTGAACTATCCTATATTTTAAGTTACAACAAACCACACACATTCATAAAATTCTATTGAAATCGGTTGGACGGTTTCGGGAATTAGTGTGTCCGAATATAGTGATTTCGTAATTTTTATATATAAATTATTTTTTAAATCAAAATTTTACAGACGAAGTTGTAAAAATAAAGAAAATGGAAACAAATTTTATTGGCCAAGGCGATGAAGAATATATAGTAAGTGAAATTAAATCTGTTATATGTACGTACCTGTTTCAGTACCTGTTATTTGTCTTTGATAAAAGTTTATAAATGAGTGTGTATTGCAATCTATTGCTGTTATCGTAACTGTGAAGACCTGAAACATTGACTGAGATGCAGTTCTTTGAACATTGTTTATAATATGCTTACATAATAGATAAGTTCATATACATACATTAAACCAGTTATCCGCTCCGCCTTTGCACGGATATATTAATGAAGAAAATTAATGTTAAACATTTTGTTCTAATAATTACAAAGACAAAAAAAAAAGAATTATCTAAATATAAGCAGCCGTTTTGGAGGAGTTCTCTTAAAAACATTAGGCGACAATTTATTTATATATATATATATATATATATATATATATATATATATATATATATATATATATATATATATATTGCTAATTGTTCGCCATTTTAGTTTAGGCGCATTGTAAATATAGTGTTATCAGAATATCTCCCTTAAATTATTTAAGATTTTTAAAAATTACAGCACTGTAATGAATTAACAAAATCAACATCCATGTTTATTAATCATCTATTTGATATGAGCGAAGTCGAACATATGAGTATGCCTGATGAAGATGAACTTTCAATTAAAAATTTTAAACCAGATTTACTTATTGAAGACATATCAAAAATAATAGAATCTTACATAAATGTTGCCCTAAACATCGGTTTTACCGGAAAATATCAAGATAATATAACACAAATGACTGCAAACACTTCTAGCAGTACAACTTATTCATCTTACTCATTTCTATCTGATGTCTGTCTTAATAATAAAGATAATGAAGTAGCAATATTCACAGATGACAGTAATAATGATAAAATACAAGAGTTAGGATTGGAATTAAATGAAGACGTAGAGGTAATAGTATACTTTTAAATTAAATACGCTTAACAAAATTATTAACTTTTTTAGACAAGAAGAAGAAAGCAGTTTTATTTAAAATATTCCAATAGTACTTATTGTAATCCTTACTGTGATTTTGATATAATTTGCTAACGTTTTTCCTTTTCATTTTTGTAATAGAAAACTAATGTACAATGCATTAAAGAGGACGGGAAAAATACTTTATCATTTGAAAATGCTTATTTAACTTTGAATCGTGAGTAATATTCCATTTCATAGATTGCATTTGTTTATTCTCTGATATTTCTGTTCTTTATTACTTTTTATCACGTTTCCTGAAAATAAAGAATTGTTATAATTCTTGGTATTTCCAGAGAACCTTTCATAATGATTACATATTGGAAGAAAGTATAAATTCCGTTTTAATTGGTTGGGAAGGTTAGGTGCAATTTATAGGAATATAATTGAGTTTACAATTTTAAAAGCTTAGGATAAATTACTTCGACTCAATATACATATGTAGGTATATATATTTTTAGCATGGTATAATAATAAAGAAAGATGATTTTGCACAGGTGATTACGAACAATGTTCTGAAGAAGATGGAGATCCTGTATTACAGGATCCGAAGGCCCTTACATTGCAAGAAGTAGAATTGATGACTGTTCACACTTCGGAAGTTGATTTGTTTCCATATAAAAAATCTATTCAAGTAAGTAGCGGTGGTAGTCACTTACCATCAGGTGAGCCGCATGCACGTTTGCCCCCTGTGTTGTAGAAAAAAAGTAATAATACCTTTCGAGTAGATTACTGAATTGTACTGAAAAGATATATATATATATATATATATATATATATATATATATATATATATATATATATATATATATATATATATATATATATATATATGATTTTTACATATAGATCCCATGGAAGTGTTATCAAAATCGGTTATCGGTAGCTAAATTTTTAGGTAAAAATAATTTGTTTTATCACAACTTAAGTTGGTTTCTTTTTATGAGACACAATCTTTAATTACGTTGTAAATAATAATTATTTAATATATCACTTTGCAATTAGAAATCGAAGGTACTTAAAGCAATATCTGCAGCACCGGCCTCTGTAAGTGGATCTCGCAAAAGCAGCTTAGTTCACCGTTGTCGTACACAAGGAGCTAGGTTACTGGCTTGCCTTCGCGGTTGGTGGAGACGCAAAACTCCAGGGAAACGAAAGGTATTGCACAAAATTAAGCAAAGTTCACACAGTAGTAATATTTTCCTATTATTTATATATATTGTGAACCAGGTTTTTAATAATTTTCAGGAGTCCCGTGGCCCATTGCGTGGACTATGTCCTTTGTCTCCAGATGCTCGACGTCGCACTGCCAGCCTTCTTGATCAAAGTCGGATGCGCTCTCCTTCACCTTCACGGGCTGTCGTATGGAAATTCAACACTGTTAACGAAACTTTAGTAAATTCCTCTCGTTGGAAGGAATATCCGTTCGATATCAGACCAGATGAATGTGGCGAATATAATTAATATCTTATTTTAAATATGTTGGCCCTAATGTTTGCTTATGATTTAAATATTTTGTCATTCTCTTCAGTTAATAAATACAGTTTTTTTTTAATCATAAATACAATAATTTAGAGGACAAAAATCCTTTATGTATGTAAGTATTATAAAATTGATAGATTACTTACTATGCTATTACCAGATGGAGACTTTGTACAAAAGTCGTTTGCTTGGGCACCTCTGTCCCATTCATGTTTCTACCGTGAAACAGGTGTTTGCATGGTTTGCGTTTCGGTATAAAGGGTAGGATATGGCAGTGAATTTACAGGGTACAGAGGAATAACACCTGAGTCCTCAGGAATGGCAAAGCATGGCGGGTATCATGGGCGAAACAGTATACTCTGTTATGTCCATGGTACTGCTCATGTCTATAGGCGACGGTTACCATTTTCCATCAGGTGGACCGTCAACTTGTTTGCCATTCTAAATTGCATAAAAAAAAAACTTGGAATTACATACATGTATCACATATATCGATCGAAATAGTTTAGGACAAATGTACATATATCTGAGGAATCGGAGTCGGCCGATAAGTCTATGGAGCAATATAAAAAGACGGTCATCTCGCTCGCTCTTGTATGAGCAACACTCGTACGAAGATGCCGCGGTGTTGGACCAACTCCGCCGAAAATAGAATGATCGCGGATTCCTGGGCTAAATCTCAAATATCCAGACGGGTGCGCCATCTAAGCCAGTTAAAACAGTCCCGCGAAAAGTTACCGAGCCCCACTTCTTGTCTGAACGTCTGCCAGTGAAGACCGGGAGGGAACCAACTAACACCACACAAAATGGTGAGTCATCTGTGATGGCAGTGATATTGTGAGGAAGAAGGTGTATAGTGTGGACACGAATATTTTTCCCAACAAGTGACATATGGACTCGCGCGTCAGCTTCTCGTGATACGATTTCCGCAGACCGGAAGCGCGAGAGCGAATCGTTTGTTACAAATTTAAATTTTACAAATTAACTTCAGTGTTGTGCTCGATAAACAGTGAGAGAAAATGGTACCGTACACATTTTCTGCTTAACAATTCAACATCTTTAAATACACAAACTAACTAAGCATACAAGACATTACATGTTATTGTAAGAAAGAGAGTAATGAGTATTTTAATAATTTTCAGAGCGACCTCAGCAAGAACGATATCGAAAGTAAGTATTTTATAAATTTTTAAATCCCTAATTTATTATATAAATTACTAACATGAATTGAAATAATAGTAAGTCTAATACGAGCGGATCAGGTGCGGAAGTTAAAACATTTAGGGGAAATTAACAATTGTATCTTTACCGAACCTAACAAGGCACTGTCGGTTAGGATTAGGTGACTCGTAATTTTGACGGTATTTTTTTTACTTTTGATCACGTCCACAAAAATTTTTATTAATGAAATGAAAATGTGCATCGTAACATCTAAGTATAGCGCTGTTTCTCATAAAAGGTCGCGTTGCAAAGAGACGTCGGCTGTTCTGTGTGGGTACGGCCATGCTGCGCGCGCGTTGCGTTCCAAAATTAAACTAGCGCGTCACGTGATCTCAGATCGCCGCCCGCCCAAACAGAGAAACTCCACTCGGATTTCACTGAAAAAGAACTTCACATATTTGGTGTGTTCGCCAAAGCGACTGCTCTATAAATGCAACATACCTAATATTTACTGTGCGTGAAGAGTTAGTGATAAATACGTTGTCAATATCAAGGTCATCGTAACTGTGGTATCTAATCAGCTGATTCTTGTTATAGTTTTTATTAGAATTTCTTGTTAAATTGTCTTGCCAAATTATAAATAAGTCTTATTTATTAATTAAATAGGAAGATTTTAAATAAAATAATTTGAAATTGAATTCGTCGGTAAAAATTGTTTTAAATCACTTACGACTATGATTTCGCCTTTTTGAATTCTAAACTCAACTGATCTTAGGATTTTTGTTAGGATCTTGATTATTTAAATAGATTTATTAATTTTAGAATTCTTCAAAATGCTCGTTTGGACAGATAAAAATAAAAATGGGAAAATACATATATATTACATAAAGTAGATTAATATTGATTCATATAAAAAATGTTAAATAAGTTAAACGAGAAAGATAATCTATCCACACCTGGTTAAAATTAGGGCATAGTTACAATCGTGTGTAATAATAGAATGTGACTCACAAGTGAATATATTGAAACGTGCTATGGAAAAGTATTATTTTAAGCTAAGAATGTATGCCCACGCGTGCCCGCCCCAGCGCTCTACCTGGCGCGGATTACCGTTTCCAAAACAATATACTATTTATTCATTCTAGTTTTAAATTATTCATTTAAAATATTTTCTTTATTATTTTATATACCTTAGTTTACAAAATGAAGAGAGCTAATTAAATTTAAGGTACCTACGTTGGTACCTTCTTGATGTACTAGTATATTACATGGTGTGAAGTTTTAGAAGAAAGTGAATAATTATTATCAATAACAATGAGTAGGGAAGATAATTTCTCCTCCCGTGGAATATTTTTAAACACCTTTATAAACAAATTATAGCACAACACGTTTATCTACTTATGTTATTGTTTATATTAAATTATATTGATTTATGGGGCAGGGTATGCCTGGTACTCGTTGATGTTTTAGGTAGTTTTAAATTGTTTACGAATATTATAAAGGTACTTAAAATTTTTAATTTTAGTTATAAACAACAATTTTAAAATTAAATTTTTCTTTAATGAATAATGATAGATTTTTAACTATTATTAAAGATCATTTACGATATATTACTTTACGGTGCTACGCATATACTTACTTTAATGTGTATTGAGAAATTACAACCTTGTTATTTGCTTACTTTACTAAAATGGAACTAGTAACTATAAAATGAAATCGAAATTGTTAGTGGTATGTAAAACTAACCCTCTTAATTATAAAAACGTTAAATGCCTCCTTAACTGATTAAACTGTTTAGTCTCATTCTTTTGCGCTAAATTCTTAATTTGAAAGAAGGTGACAAAACAGTGTAAAAGTTAAAATCGGTTTGTAGATTTTAGTTTTCATGAATTGCCTTTTTAATACCCTGTAAGAATCTACCCACGCTAATTTTGTGAATATGGCAGTAAATTAAAAATAAAATTAAAATTAAGGTTAAAATTTTTTGTCTTTTTGATCCATATTTCTGGTTGAAGAAAATGTTTAGTTTCGCTACTAGAAAGGGCTCTGTTCAAAAGATACTCACCATCTTAATTTCAGTATTGTATATTTGAATGTTTATTAATCAGTAACGCTTAAAGATTGAACGGATTTAAATAGTTACGTAGGTTAATGGACTACGAGAGATAAAAGCTGCAAATTAGATAATAAAATTGGTTGAAATTTTTTTTTATTAATGTTTTGATTCCGTTTGTGCATAGGAGCGACATTCGCCTTCTCCATCTACGATTTCGACGGCAGCGGTAAAATCGATGCCTTCAACCTCGGTGATGTGCTGAGGGCGCTCAACTCCAACCCCACACTCGCCACCATCGAGAAACTCGGCGGCACCAAGAAGAAGGGCGAAAAGCAGCTCTCGGTATGTTATCATATAACGTCTCAGAAACGTTATCTCAATAAATTTACAGCAATTTTTAGAAAATAACAAGATGTTAGTTTTTAATTAACTGGTAGGTGTCCTGGGTCGTGTCTCTAGATTTCATCAAGAATATTTGTAATACCCACTAATATACCACTAATATAATGTAATATATGCCCACCCAAGTATAACAAATTTACATCAGTCTACCAGAGGGAGAGATTGCTTGGGTACCTCTGTCCCATTCGTGTTTCAACCGTGAAGCAGTTGTGTTTGCATGGCTGTGTTTCGGTTTGAAGGGTGGGATATGGCGTGAATTTACTGGGTACAGAGGAATAACAACTGAGTTCTCAGGAATGGCAACGCATAGGGGGTATCATGGGCGAAACAGTATACTCTGTTATGTCCATGGTATTGCTCATGTCTATAGGCGACGGTTACCACTTTCCATCAGGTGGGCCGTCAGCTTGTTTGCCATTCTATGTTGTATAAAAAAAAAAACAATCTATACTTAGTGGTGATTAAGTAAATATCTACAGTTTTTATACACTATGGTAGCAAACAAGCATACAGCCCGTTTAATGATAAACGGTCATTGAAGTCTATGCACGCCTGCAATACTAAGAGTATCATTTGTGCATTGCCGACCCTAAAGAAACCTTAACATATCTTTTTTGAAGAACACCATATAGAAGAAGCCTTGGTAGGTATGTCATTTCACAACCTGAGCGTTCGTGGAAGGAAACTCTGAAACCACACTGTTTATATTTTTTTTAACATTAAGCAGTGTTTAATTGTTTTTGTAATTTTTTGGTGAAACATCAATCTTATTTATATCTACTGCTAAAATAGCAGTAGATATAACTTCTAATGTGTTCTTAAGTTTATTAATATCGGGTTGTTTTATGTATTTATAATGTTACTGTAATTAACTTTGTAGATAGATGAAAGTAGGTAAACAATGAGCCAGGCAAAACCTCTTATCAGCTAGTACCTACCATTGCACCTGCAATATCATGTAGAAATATAACCGTGGACACGGAATTTGGAACACAACTAACATGAAAGTATGCTTGTACTCATTGACGATTATAATTTCATTATAGCTTGAAGAGTTCCTTCCTATCTACAGTCAAGCCAAGAAAGACAAAGACCAGGGCTGTTACGAAGACTTCTTAGAATGTCTGAAGCTGTACGACAAGAACGAGAATGGCCTTATGCTTGGCGCTGAGCTTACACACACCCTCCTCGCGTTAGGTGCGTATGTCAAATATTTAGTTATTAAACAAAAAAAAATTATGTAAAACATGCGATTTAAAATAAGTAAATAGGAGGACGTTAAAATTGAATTACTAAATTAGGTTTTCAATTTTACTAATAGAAATCTATACTTGTTGTATGTGATGTATGTGAATATGATGTAAATTGTATTTCTTCACTGATTAATTTTATATTACGTTTTTTTTCTCTAATCATAATTATTTTTATTTATATATTCATGTATAAATTAATATATTTTATATTAATTTATTCCTTTTTGAGTAATTTTTATCTCACAACTTTATATTTTTATATTGTCAGGCGAGAAACTGGAAGACAAAGAAGTCGAAGAAGTCGTAAAGGACTGCATGGACCCTGAAGATGACGACGGCATGATTCCCTACGCACGTAAGTTACTTAACATTTGACTATGTGTATATACGATTATATATATTACTTAATATTATATAAAAAAATTGTTCTTGTAGAATTGTACTTATGTAGTTTCAAAACTGTACATAGATCTGTGTATATTGTGTGATTTTTATTTAGATCTCCAAGTTATATTTTATTAAAGCACGAGTATTTATTACGCTGTTTCTGATATAATTGTGGAAAGTCTAAAAGATAGCACACGTTGTTTATCTCCACGTATACCTACGCATGTTGTACATTTTTACGTGATAAATTCAGAGCATTAATTCTGTTAATTTTGTATGCTTCAATGGAGTGTAGTGTAAACATATTGATTAATCAAGTATTCAATTCGAAACAAAACACTCTATTAGTATTACAGTGTAATTTATGTGACATTTAACTGAACTGGGACCCAATGAGCATGCTTTATATATATGAATAATTATGAATACAATTTATTCTGTCATGGAATACAATACCAAGTTGATATCATACCTTATTTAGTATTATGTATTAATTTATAATTAGCACTCATTTACATACCTACGTTATAATGAGATATCCTAGTAGAATACATATTGTGTACTTTATATATGTTTTAGAGCATGAAATCCAAACATGTAGTGCGTGTGACCCCTTCTTACCGATTATACATTTTCAGCATTCCTGAAGAAGGTGATGGTGTAGAAGACATCTCATCTCATCATATCTTTAGTTATAAGATCGTAAGTGAATCAACGTGAAGGATACTGCTATCGCAACTCTTCGTATGCTTATAGCCGGACTTTTTTCTTTGATAAATCGTTTTCGTCTCATCACTAATTTATGTTTCTGGCATTATTTTTTTCTTCCACGTCTTATTTTCATACTACTATTAAATGATAATTCATTATAATTCTATTCATCAGCTTTATAACAAAAGGTCGATATTGTCATTATTTTAGCTAATATAAGTTTCTTTTACTTAGCCTTCCTCCGGAAAATGTGTGACGGCTGGAGCAAGAAAGGTGCGGCAGCGCCAGCGGACGCAGAACCCGCGGAGGCATAAACATAGCGCGATGATGCGCCTGCGTCGGCCACGGCAGCCGACGGCCCGGCGCCGGCGACGCCGCATCGCCACGCCGCCACCGCCCGCCGCTTGCTGCCTGCCACCCAGCCTTGAACATCCCGTATACGTCATCTTAGATACGGACTCTCTACCCCCTTTTTTATACGTCACAGCAACAATACCAACAATTTTGTACAACCTACAATCTATGACTGTACATACTAAAGTAAGATTTAATTAAACTACTGTAAACACACGTTGTACGTGTTTTTTAAATTTATTATTATTTATTAAGTACATTTATAATGACAAAAATATAAAAAACCGTAAATTATTTTATAATAAACTCTTAAAATCATTTCTGGTGTTATCTTCAATTAAAAGTATAAAGTGGTATTGCAAGAATATGGCCTCGGCAATCTCGCTCATATGTCGTGTAATAGGAAGGATATTTCGAAGTGAAAAATTTAGCCAATCTTTGATAGAGATATATAATAGAGAGAAATTTATTGTATGAAACTTATTATCTACTGCTAAATATCTAAAAGTTAAGTCAAGCTTAGAATTATAAGACATGCAAGATACCTATATATGAAAATGAATAACCTAGTTGATATGCGTAGAGAATTGTGCATTTGTAAAAACTGAAGTTTCCTGATACCAGGCGAGACGAAAGTATTATCTTTAATATACGAATTAAGACTAAAAATATCTATTAAGAAGATTACTCATTCCGTGTTAGCGACATGATTTTAGCTTTTGTGTCATCTGTATAACAGATATCAGCGACTGTGACAGCGTTTAGTTTAATTTAAACGTCATTATCATCATATTAGCCATTATCCATTGTCCACTGCTGAACATAGGCCTCTCCCTATTGTGGAGTTTTACACACCCACAGGAAAGAAACAGACGACCCATTTTGTGCTGAGACTGCACCGGATTTATATGTCATATATATACATGTAAATGCCATGTGCTTCTGGCACCTGTATGCTAAAATTAAATATATATTCTAATGTTGGCAGAGAACTAGTGTTGCCCATTATACCACTAACAAACGGGAAACGAGACGGGTATTGAAAAGGAACGGTAAGGATTCTGGTATCAGTGATAGATATAGTTTGAAAAATAAAGGAAATTAAGGAGTTATAGATCAAAGGATCATGATGAGCTAACAGACATAAAATGATATAATATTTTGGTCTGAATACGCTATCTTGTGGTACTCTAAATATACTTGTTCTTGGATTACATTTACTTTTGGCGATTCCATGTGTTGCTAAAAGACCAGCCTTTTAAACCTAAGACAGAACTGGCTTTTGAGTACGCGTGTTAAGATGTAGATTTCGCATGAGGCAATTTTTAGAATTTTTTAAACTGAGCTGTATTTACTAATATTATAAATGTGAAATTATGTTACTTTTTGGCCTCATAATGGTTTTTATACAACAAAGGTTCATTTGATGGTGAACCTTCATTGTAGCACCTGCAGTGACAAGTTTGCGTTGCCGACCCTGAGAAAATTAATATTAATACTCCTTTTTTAAAGACCCTCATAATAATAAGAATAATAATATAATAATAAATTCTTTATTGAGCACAATAGAGATTTATACAAGGAGTATTTATACAGATTGTGCATATACAAAAGGCGACCTTATCGCTAAAAGCAATCTCTTACAGACAACCTGGCATAAATAGTAGATAAGTACAGAGAGAAAGGCAGATGGCGCAAGTCAGACACAGTAAAACAAAAAAGTAAACAAAGAAAATGCATAATATTCTAAATATCATTTATACCAAAATAAGATTACAATACATAGACATACATATATAATATTAGTAATAATACATAAACATAAATTATAAATATACTAAATAGATCAAGGTAAATCACACGTAGTAAATATCAAAGCAAATGAAGGCAGGCAAATTAAGATAGGTAATGAGATTTTACTTGCCTATTGGACGAGGCAAGAGATTGAGTTGATCTAATGAAAAGAGAAGTTCCAGAGACGGATAGCTTGTATTCTTTAGATTGGTTGGTTAGTTCAACCAATAATCACATAATATTTGGGATAGAGAATTATATTGGCTGCTTTTTATCGCAGTTTACGTATTTAGGTCACGCGGATGAAGTCGTGAGACAAAACTAGTAAACTATAAAAGTTTAAAAATTGGCCCTATAAAAGGATTAGGCTCAATTTAAAGTTTAGGTGTTTATTACTGTCTAAAAGGGTAAAGTTCTAATTCAAAGTTTGTATGTTTATGAGCATAAACGACTGAAGCGATTGAAATTAAATATAGTCTGTAGGTTCTATTCTTAATCGACGAACAGTTATAACGTATCTACAAATTGATGAATATAGATTTGTTATTTTTTTTTTTGTATTTGCAGGCATAAATAAGATAAACTAGATAATCTTGTCTGTTCTATAATATTTCTTATATTTGAAGCTGTATGTTGGTAATCTTTTAGGGCTCAATAAACAAAAACAACAAACCTTTCTAAGAGCAACCTTCGACGCTTACCATTGTAGCTGAGCGAATTAAAATGTTTATATATTTTAAGACGATATATTTATTGTAAGATATTGGGATCGTACTCAGTACGATCCACGATCTTACTGTTAATTCTATAATCAGATATACGTAGACCAAGTTGCGAAACCAAATGGTACGTATCTAATAAAAAAAAAAAAAAAAATATCACTGTCCAATACCTTCATGTACGTACATTTAAAATAACTAAATATAGTTAGGATTATTGTTAGAGACTAGACTTAATAAAACATAATTCATTTTTCAAAATTTGCCTTTAATAGCGCTTATTACGTAGGAGAATATTTTATTAAAATTAACAAAAATACTGCGTTACAGACTAAAATACAGACGAATTTAAAACCTCTTGTATGTTGAATGCCAAACCAAGCTGCCTGGATGAACTGAATTTAAATAGTATCTAGCAGTTTCCTTGACTCTTCAAGTCTTTGTGTTGCAGTTAGTTTTGGGCTTTTTTTTATCTTTATATATTATTTTATGATTTTGAAACTTATATTCAATTTAAATTCATTTATATTGATCAGAAAGTTTTATACTTGTAAATTGTGAGAAAATATGGAAAATGTAATTTAACTAGACAATGCCTACAAATACCCCTTACTCAAATTTTATTTTGTTCTAGTATATTTGTGTTCTTTTTAACACAAATAATGAATGCATATTCATTAATTATTTGTTTCTAGAATATCTTAATTTGATTAATAAATGATTTAGAGGCATACATTTCTTACCAATCAATTATATTTATCTAGGGAGCACAAATTACACAATATTTGCTACATTAGAAATTATATATAGGTAACTGGTCAGACGATAAACAAATATAACCCAATTGCATTAATATTTCTATTATATAAAAATCCGTATTTATCTGGTCAATGCCCGGTAAATAAAAACAGGGGCGTCCAGACAATCGCTTGCCAAAATTTGCCCCAGTACCCACGCCAAGAAAAATGGCGCGGAAATTGTTTTCCCGGCATCAATACGAGGGTTCGGTAGAACTCGGCCATTTTCGGATTTACTCGCTAACTGCAGTCTAGTGAGGCTGTAAATTAGTGTAGCCATATTCGTTGTTTTATCCACAATAGCACGTAAAATATGAACATCTATTAATACTGGTACAGGCGATGAACATAATAATTTACCTATATTACAGGTAAGGTATAAGAATTGGAGATTGTTTAAATATACAATTTCCACTTAATATAAGGTATATTAAGGTATATAATATAATGTAAAAATATTATATCGATTTGAGAAGGAGTAAATATTAGTTTGTATAAATTTGTTTATCAGGCCGTGTGATCCTGACATACAATAGGATACCCCTCTCATTCCCATGGGTATCGTAAGAGGCGACTAAGAATGAGTGTCGTAAGAAGCAGCAAAATTTCTCTTAAAATATCACCAAACCCTAACTGCGGTTACCAACGCGCCTGCTAAGCGTAGCAACCACGGGCAAAACTTCCCAAGCGAAAGCTTTATGTTCAATAGTGGACAATTTTGATATGTCTATAAAATTTGTATATTGTTAAAAATTTAAGTTATCAAGTTCTAAATCTATATTAATATACTTGATAATATTAATATTAAAGCGATTAAAATATTTAAATTTTTATTATTCAAAAACGCTTAAACTTTTTGGATTCGGATTTTAATGACACACGGATGTACTATGTTATAAAAGAATAAACAGCGAGTAATAATTGAGGCATAAATTAAGTTGTCAGTCACTAAACTTTAAAATCATGTAATTTGTTAATGCGAATCTTCATTTGCTTACATTAAATTATGTTAGTGGGGTAAATGTTCCGTCAGACACTGGCAACTCCAATTATATCAGCGCGCGATTCTCGCCCGGTGTTTCCACGCGCAGTGTTTATCTTTGTGGCGAACGTTTTACTCGTACGGTCTCAGCGTCTATCGCGTCATAGTGTTTACGTTGTGTGTGGTTATAGTGATAACGAAGTGCCCGGTGTCGGGGACCTCACCTGATCTGTAAGATATCATTCCTAAAAGTAAATAATTTTTTTAACAACTTTTAAACAATAATATTATTTTGGCATGATATTTTAGTTATTTACATATGGGGGAAGCCAAAAAAAGACAAATACAATTTCATATAATTTGGTGCGTAATACTGCGTAATTATTTATTATACATATAATTTAATATGTATGCATATTACACTCGCATATGTAATGCCTTCTAAAATGGCTATGTACTAAACACGTAACTAAATACAAATGATCGTCCGATTAACAAAATAGTATGAATCATCTACTTTTGATGTAAGGTCTAAAAATGTTTACGATTTATGTAATAAATGTCACCAACCTACTGTTTTTAAAGGTATCCACGGACAATAATTTTGTAATTCCGTTTCCGTTGATTTAAAAGGGTCCAAGACTCGAACTCGTATACTCCTTTTAGGCTCTACTTGTGACTTCGTGTAGATTTTATGCTAAGAAATTTCTAGAAATTTTCGAGTTTTGACCTAGAATACTAGATAAGCATATTATATTGCATATAATATTAGCATTGTATACAGTTAATGACATAAAACAGAATCATGTTTTATCAAAATCCTGCATTTTCTGCAACAAGTTATATCAAATTCCGCGTTTTCGCATATAATCTACCAAAGTTTTACGGGCAAATATATTTTTTTCATGAAATTTTATTGACCCGATTTAAAGAAAAAACTGAGAGAACGAAAGGAGATGCATTTTTTAGTTTTTAAGCTATCTCGATGGAGTATTTAATTATTTTTGTATAGAAGAATTAGTATAG